TTGACGGCTGCGCTTGTTTTGAGTGAGCGCGCGGGCGGGCATCCATGGGACTTGCGCACGGGTAAAGCCCAAAACCACCTTTGTTTGGGGTTCATTAGTAACAGGATTCCAACATATTTTATAACAACTTAACATATCCAGCCTTTCTGTACAAAAATGCAAAAAGAGAACAAGGACTTGAATATTGGAGCCATTTTGAGAATGAGGGTTTCTAGAATTTCTGCAGATTTGGAAATATCCAGGGAAATTTAGTGCATTGAAAAGAATGGCATTTAGACACGTTCTCACATCTTCTAGCACACTGGGCTGGCGGAGTTTACCTGACATCCTTGCCAACGGTCATAGAAGCAATGACCTTCTTCACTGCTTCTTTCTTCTTTTCCTTTTTGTCACTGTTGAGCTCTGCTTTGAGCTCAAAGATTTCGCCTGACGATTTAAGCGAAAATGGAATTAAGTTAACCTGAGCCAAAGACTTTGACTCCATTGAGGGATATCAATGTCACATGTGGGTCTCTCTTCCCCACCTCAAATATGCTCCAGTTTTTCCATGAGCAATGTTGGCCAAATGTTCCGTGCACAAAGCACAAGGGAATTTCTTCTGTCTAAAACACTACACTTCTGAAAGGGTGGAGTGAAACAGCGGAAAATTATTTCAACTTAACATCCTCTGTTTGCAAGAACTTCCTCCTATAACTGAGAGGGTGGGAAATAAGTTGCAGTCTGCATTGCAATAGTTACTTCTATACCCATAAGAGCGCTGTGATCTCAATTGGTCAACAAAGCTTGTTCAGCAACTAACCCAGAAAACATCCGAATATCACAATACACCTCCTGCCCCCCCCACACACCTCCTGCCCCCCAACACTAACCCGCTTACACCCCCCCAACACTAACCCGCTTACATTCCCCCCCAACACTAACCCGCTTACACCTCCCCCAACACTAACCCGCTAACACCCCCCACAATTAACCCCCCAACACCCCCAATACTAACCCCCCAACACCCCTTCAACACTAACCCGCTAACACCCCCCACAATTAATCCCCCAACACCCCCAATACTAACCCCCCAACACCCCCAATACTGACTCACCAACACCACTACTAACTCACCAACACCCCCAATTCTAACTCCCTAACACCCCCAATACTAACCCCTAACACCCCCAATACCAGCACCCCCAATACCATCACCCTCAATATTAACTCTACAACACCCCCAATGCTAACTCCCCAACACCCCCAATACCAGCACCCCCTATACCATCATCCCCTATACCAACACCCCCTATACCAACAACCTCAATACTAACCCTCCAACATCCCCAATACTAACTCCCCAACACCCCCAATACTAACTCTGCAAAACCCCCAATGCTAACCCCCTAACACCCCCAATACTAACACTCTAATGCCCCCAATACAAACTCCCTAACACTCCCAATACTAACTCCCCAACAGCCCCAATACTAACTCCCCAACAGCCCCAATACTAACTCCCCAGCAGCCTAATACTAACTCCCTAACACCCTCAATACTCACCCAACACCTCCAACAACCCCCAATACACATCCCAAACAAGCCCAATACACACTGTCCAATACATACCAACATCCCAGATACATGCTCCAATACACGCCAACAACACCCCAATAACCTCCAACACATACCAATACCCACTCCCCAATGCAGACCACAAACAACTCCAGTACACTCAAACACACTCCAATACACACCAACAAGCCCTCAATACACTCAAGCACACCCCAATGCAACACCTCAAGCATCCCCACTACATCCCAACACACCTCAACAATATCCCCAATGCACCCCACTACAACTCAATAGAACCCAACAATACCCTCCAATACACCCCAACACTCATACCCCCTACACTTCCAATATACCTGCAACTACACCCAATATAACTTCCCCACTCAATGCCCAATAGCACTTTCCAACTCCATTTGAGATTGAATGAACAGCAGGCTCTGAACTGGTAAAAACTCAACGAGCCAAAATGGCCTTCTTCTGTGCTGTACATTTCTATGAATTCATTGTATTTAGCCTGTGCTTAATATATTTGCAAGACTTCTTATTTTAAACATAATTTACATCAGTTTTGAAAGAGATCCCTGCAGCAGACAACAGTATGCTTGATAGATAATGTGAGTTAAGATTTTTTTACAGGTTGCAATAATGTAAACAGTCTTTCAAATGATCAATCAGCCTTATACAGTATATTATGTGGTAAATTGAGTTAAGCAATAAAGTTTGTCTTTACAAAATGCGATCATTACACCCTACAGTATATCCTGTGGAGTGCTTGAGATGTTTTGGTAATGTGAAAGGTGCTGTATCAAATGTAAAGATTCTGGCCAATAATCCCCAAATAAAATCAGTCATGATTTTTGTTTGTGGGACATTGTTGTGTGCAGTTGCGCTGCTGTGTTTGCCTACAAATACAAAGTCACTGCATTTCACAGAAAATCCCGTGAAGCACTTTGCGCAGTCCTTCTGACGTGATAAAACAGTATACCAAATGCAAGGATTGTTATTTATTAAGTAGTGTAAGTTACTCTACTCCATTTTGGCAGCAGTACCACAGAATTGCCAGAAGAGGGTACCAAAATGTTAGCGGAAGGAAGGAATTTACTCTGCATTTTAAGATCCATTTGAATTTTGCCACAGAGTAAATGAAGGAATAAATTCTGCACAGCTCATATCTATTTTCTGCGGCATAGTTCTTTTGCATTTCTGGTAAAGAGGAGATACAGGCAATGTAAATGCCAATTAGAGGTGTTACTGTCGAAATATTATTTTGTGGAGGTGGCACGCTTCTAACCAGCACATTAAAAAATACTTACCAAACGACTGGGGTATGTGTGGTACATTGCCCGGAAATATTTTTTTGTCCAATTTCTCCACTTGGTTTTAATCATATATTTTCAGATTTAAGTTAAGAGACTGGCAAACGTGATTTTCAATTTGCAGAAGTACAGCTCTGAAAAACTGAAGTATGGATTTATGTATGAAACATAAGTGTCCCAAAGTGGCTATCTGAAGCTAAGAATGAGTCACCAAAAGTCTCACGGCATTGAAATGAACGGCCAAATTAATCTGACTTTGAATGGATTTGGAAGGAATCTGGACCAGGATACCAAAGAGATCCCTGCTTTTTGAGATATTGCCATGGAATCTTTAATGTCCACCCGCTGGGGATGCCGGATCAATTTAAATTTTCAAGACTGAGGTCGATAGATTTTTGTCAGGGTAAAAGTATCCAGGGGTAATGAGCAAAGGCAGGTAAATGGAGTTGAGATACAGATCAACATAGATCGAAAAGAATGGCGTAAAAGGCTCGAGGGGCTGAATGGCCTACTCCTGTTCCTATGTTCCTCTAAACACCTTACGAGAGCGGAAGATAGCCATCAATTGCTCAAGGATCCACTAGATTGTGAGCTGAACGACCCGGCCTGATCACTGACACAAACAAATAAGCCCTTTGCTTCATAAATATTTGCCTTGACAGAGCCACACTGAGGCAAGCAAGTCTTTAACCTGCCAATTTGTAACTGCAACCCAATGGTAAGAAACGACTGTACAACATTATGTTTCTGTTCTTTACGAGCAGGACTGAATAGTCAAGATTGCTTCTGTGTCTGTTATCTAGCTAAGCTGTAGACATGAAGTGCTCAGAGCGTGCCAGAGTGATAGCACACAAATTCTGCACTGATGTTACTTTATTGCGGGCCACCGATTATCACAAGGAACACGTTGCAAAATGTCACAAATTTCACCCCATATGTGGATTGATAGGGCTACAATAATAACCTGGATTTACAAAGCATCATTCAAATAAAAATAGGTGTCTTGCAGCACTTTACAAAGGAAACTTGTTGAGAAATGTTGTAATGCAGGCAAACACCGCAGCTAATCTGCACCAGTCACGTCCAACACACAGCAATAAAATGAACCAATTTGAAAGATCAATTTACATTTAAAAAGCGCCTTTCATGCCAGAGAACATCTGAAAGTACACAGTGGACTGGGCATCTAAGCTGGGGGCGGGGGGAGGCAATGATTGAAGGCTCACTCAAAAGATGGGTCTTAAGGCAGGCTATGAAGGTACCAAAGAAGGAAGCAAATGAATTTGAGTTTGTTAGTGAATTTGGAGTCGAAGGGAAGAGAAGGCAGTATAACTCGCTGAGGGCCTAAATTGCTTTGAGATAACCAAAGATAGGGAGGTCCGTTCACACCCACCTGAATCAGAGGGTTACCGGAGCCCTAAATTGAATAACACAAATTTAAAAGAAAATGAATTGATCTGGAAATAATTAAAATGCACACAATACAGAAAGAATGTTATATAGTTCTAAAGCATCCATTAAAACATATATTAGGACATTCCTCCCGAAGTGAAAGGCGCTATTTAAATGCAATTTGTTGTTGTTAAATTGAAGCTATTTCATTCATTCAGTTGTGTTGTCACTTAGACTTCTTGTAGGTCCTAGCCATGACTCACTTGTTAAGTAATTGGTATAAGTTTTCCACCTTCCAACAAGTTCAATCAATTTCTTGCAGAACACGAGAGAAAATATTGCAATCTGCTTAAAAGTCTCAACGGACCTCTGCCCCCAATTACTTTAACCACCTTCTTACCTTAAAATGCTTTTTGTTAAGAGAATGTCAGTTTTTTTTTGTTGCAGTACTGTGCTACTTCCTGCGTCTGCAGAAGAACACTGCAGTATTTTGCTGGAGCGCTGGGAGTCTAACCTCATTGCTATCAAGCTTGTGGTGCAAGGCAATAAAATGAACGAGTTCTGCATTGACGTCTGCCCGGCTGGATGAGAAGGAGCTTGCTGCCAGTGGCACTTTAAGCACTGATGATGCTGGAAAGTATTTCAGTTTGATGCCACTAGTAATGTGAATAATGCATTAAGAAAAAAAATAAATAGCAGAAAAGGTGATCCAGTGTTCTCCAGTGTAGAACTACCTTGTCCTTTTAAGACTCCCAAAAAACACGCACAATCTTATAGAATATATGTTTAATGTCCATTCCTTTACATTACAATTTCCTTTTTGAAAAGTGACTTAAATTAAAAAATATATAAATTCAGCATTTTTTAGTACCTGTTGGAAGCTATAAAGTAATGGGAGAGAAGTGTTAACATTCATGGTTCAGCCAGAACAAGATCCTGTGTACAAGCGAGCACATCAAACAGCTTAACCTACCGTTTGGACCCCGCTCACCAAAAAAACAAAGGGTCAATGCAATGAGGCAGAGGGAAATAATAGGCCGTGTCAAGTGTTTGAAAAGGATGGCAAAGAGCTATCAAGTCTCCACCACCATCACGTTTTAATCCCTCTCTCCTATTAGTGTATGGTTCAGGCGTCCATTAAATCGCTCAAGTGGGCATTATCCCTGTTCCAGTATGGGGAGTCAAGCCCGCTGCTGTCCTTAACTGATGTCCACCCACACCTCTAGTTTGAGTGATTCAAAGCAGGAATCCTGTCTGATTTAACCCCTCCGCCACTCCCAACCCCTCTCCCAGGCCAATTCGAGAGATCTTCCTGGTTTCTGTGTGACTCAACGACTTGCTCATTTCTAAATAAAAAAATATAAGATTAATCGATTTGGATCAAACACCCACCACCGTTAAGGTGTGGAAATGATTTGGGACTCAATCAATGTTTGGCTCAATGTTGAAATGAAACCAAATGAAAGAGTGATCCATTTAGCCTTCTCACTGTGGATAGCTGGAACCTCAGTAATGCGTTTTGAATTATGGGTCAGGAGATCTGAAAGCATCACTGGAGTGCTGTGAACCTCCGCCTCAGGCTGTGTGTGTGGTGCTCATGTCAATTTGGGTTATTTTACATTGCCAACCCCAGCCCCTTCCAGATCAGTTGCCTCAGAGCGATAACATTCCATCTTCTTTTTTCTCTTCCCCCTCCTTCCTTCAATCTTTACTAAAAGAATAATGATGAACCAGGTGGACATCTGAAAGGGGAGGGATAGGAAGTAAATATCCATTAAAATTAGATTACCAGGATGAAAATGCTTTGCCGTGAAAAAACACCATGAGTATGACATCTGAGCGTTGGCACTTATAATGGCTTGCTTATTAAATTGGGAAATCGTTAAGCAGGTGACAATGTTTTCACTAGTTCTCAAAGGCAGCATTGTTAGGAAGTATTTTAAGTCAACTTCATATCATCTGTTTACACACTCAGCACTAGGCTGGCGTACAGTAATGGGAGGCATTAACCCGTTAAGAGATGGCAACTCCTGTACTGGCTGCTTTGGCTGCTCCTGTACTAATGTTCCTTCACTGACAGAGAAAGGATCTAATCCTGTTAAAAGTAAATTCACGCTTCTGTATCATGCCCTCAGTTTGATGTCTTTCAGATCTCTCTAAAAAAATATCAAAAATTCATCACAAAATCCTGTACTGTTAACAATGCCTGGGTATTGTGATCTCCCAACATTTATTTATAGTCAAGAGGAGGTTCAACAGCTAGTTCAATTTGTTGCACAGAGTGTTGGCGATGCTTACTTAAAAGGCAGCACACATGCCAATCTATATTCTGCTCTCGAACCCAAAATACTGAAAGGAGAAGGCTTATTGAGTTGCCTGAATACCCCTTACAGCACACGACCTCTTTGGCGTCAAGCGATTTATAAAGGTGCTAGTTTCTAAATAATAAATTAACTGCATTGCCCTTTTTTGGCACTTAAAAGTACAAACAGAAGGTAAAAAGAACCTTAAGATTCAATATTTACATTGGGGTAAACCGATTACAAACGTGGAATAAAAATAAGGCATCTGTTTAGATCCTGTGTTTTGTCTTAATCAGTTCTCTGGATTTTCTGTGGGCTGTCTTCCTCGGAGTCCACATGGGCCGTCCGTTTCCCGGTGGGAACGTCCTCGCTGATCTCCGCAACGGGAAACAGCTGGACGTGAGTGGGGGCGGAGGATTCTATGGCAGAATCGCTGTCCAAGTGCACCTCCACTATCTCCAGCGTTGTGAGACCTGTGGGCCCGTTTGATGAACCATCTGTAGGTTGGATGAAGGATATGACGCTTCCAGAGCTCAGATCCATTTCGGACCCTGCGATCATGTCCTCCGGTGACGTCATAATCCCGTGCTCCGAGGTCATGATTCCGTGTGCTGTTGTCATTATGCTGGTGGGTATTGTCAGGGTAATGCTGCCGCTTCTGGGGGACAGAGTGGAGGTGGCCACTAGGGTTCGTTTGTTTCGAGAGTCTGTTCTGTCACCACAGTTGGCAGCCGAGTCCTGAGTTGAGTAGCCGGGGCTACTGTCAGTTTGCTCCTTGGTCTGGCTGAATTCCTTCCGTAACGCTTCCACTTGCATCTGTAGCATTTCCCTGTGTTGCACCTCCATCTGTTCAATCTGGAATCAAAGCATTGTCATACTTTTACTCACTTGCTTGGAACATTCCATTATTCCTTTGGTGTATTTTATTGCAAGAATTAAGCTCATCCAGAGGAGGTTTGTATGTGGAAGGATCTTTGACCTATTTAATGTCATCCTCCTAGAAAATCTATCCTACTATTTTCCTTCACAACACAACATTTGCTAAAAGATTCCAATGTTTTATCCCAAAAATAGCCTCACCCTAACTCAATCCTAGGTAATGATTAACCTGGTAAATAAATATTTCCTGATACAAGTCTTAATATTACCCTTGCAATCCGAAGCAGTTTCCCTCTTGTCCTACTGCCTTAGTGTACCTGAAACTACTGTGTTGGATTTACTTTCTTCATTCCATTAAGCATCTTACATAAGTTCCCCTCTGAGACATTTCTCTGAGGCTGAAGAGCCTTTTTTCCCTTGTCTGTTTTCATAATAGATCCCTCTAATACTGGCGATCTGCCTCATTGCCTTCCTCTGCACCAACGTCTTACATTGAAGGATGCCAACACCATCATCAAAATTCAGTCAATTTTTCAAGCACAGTTTTACTGCAAAAATAATTTGCATTTATCCGCTCTCTATTAGACATTATGTCAAGTCACCACTGGATGCTCCATTTGAGCAGTTTGTCATTGATCATAAAAATTATCTCTGGAGTGAGATTATTCATTTTCATGGTGGAATTAAAACAAAGGTATCTCAACGACAATTAACCCATAAATGTTCAAGTGTCTGGTTTTGTCAGACGCGGCATCTAGAGTTATGGAAAGTCCCAATCTGAAGTAATCAATAAAGAACTGATAATCACCATTTGTTTCACTTTGTTTTCGGTGCTTTCTGAGGATTTATACTGCTTTAGTTCTTCGGCTATTTGTAAATTAGCCTGCGTCAGATCTGCAATCTGAAACGATTTATATCAGCATGTTACATAAATCTTGGTTGCACACTGAAATGATCGTGATCGACACATCAATTCAATCATTACAACATGTCATTATGGTGACTGACCTTAAAGACAAAGGAAGAGGGAACTGTGAAAAGATAAACCTAGTTTCCACTCCGTGTTATTTTATACAATTTCACGTCAGGAGGACGTCTCAAAGTGCCTTAACACTGCTGGCTAGGCCCCCGAGCTGAGGTTGGGTGCTAAAGGGGAGGGAAAGAATCCGAGCTTTGAGAGTGGGGAGTGGGGCGAGTTGGAGGGACTCCAGGATGGAGTTCCTGAGAGCAGGGTAGAATAGCTAAAATTTAAGACAATTTTTAAAAAAATCCACTTGGCTCACAACCCTTCTTGTTTTCTGTGTGCGGCATGCGTGAAGTACTGAAGGACATTACAGAACTGGGAGAGGCAGGACCTTAACACATTCCTTGCTGCCTCATTGATGAAGTTACCCTGCTCTATAAATAGAACCGTTTCACCAGTAGGAGGCTGAACGCCAATCAGTGAAACCCGTACAAATCACCGCTAGCTAAATAACTGGATGATGAACATCAAACCCCAAGGTCACACACACAAAAAAAAGTAGCAATGGATCAATCAGCATGACTTTGCAATTCCTTGCATGCTGCACCCTTACAGTCTTTCTGAATAAAATCGCCAGCTTCATGCAGAGCTGGAGGGCATTTCATACGCTGAGCACTCCTCTGCACTTACATCAGCACTAAATATAGAATGTCTCTTCACCTTTAATCTCATTTGTCTGGTCTGGCTTTCAAGCTAATGTCTCGAGCTAAAAGAACATTAAGCATATCAAACAAGAAGCACTGTAATGGGAGCTCTGGCCTTAAATTCAGATTGGAAATGCTCAGAATTGATAAATTCCAGATGTAATTATTAGGGAAAACAGATATGATGGTCAACCACACGCCTCTGTTTACCTGGCAGTAAGTAGGAACCCGTTTGTTAGTTGACTGGCGGATCACTTTCTGGAGGTAATAATCCCTCCCCCCAAAAATAATAATAATAATTTGGTCACTCAATCCACAACTGTTTGTGAGACACTGCTGAGTGCAATTGGCTGCTACGTTTCGCCCACAAAATTTACAATATATTCTGTGAAGCCCTTTGAGACATCTCAACAACGTGATAAGGTGCTATATCAAATGCAAGGATTAGTATTACTCAGGATGCTAAATTTGTCGCAATTATTTTTAATTTTTGAAAGAAAACCTGCTCATGAACAACACCAAGGACTGAATGAATGTGGTGAATGAATGAAGCTTGAATTATAGATAGTAAGAAAATGTTAAAACTTTAAATTCTCTGTTGGCTAATGGACATAAAGACACTGATCACTAATCCTCAATGACCACACATTGCAGGGTCAAGTCATGGCCAGGGTTGAGTTAGCTGATTTCTGGTGGAGCAGCAATTAGGGGATGGGGGCTGGTCTAAGGAGAGGAGCAATCAGCAAGAGTTTCCCACTCCTATCCATTGACCCTCCTGAATGAGTGAGAACACGAAGGAACTAGGCTGTGATGCCCTCTGTGGTCAAAAAAAACATAAGGTCACTCCGAGTTAAGGCATGGATAACAGCTGGTTGAGTGAGGTATCAATAGAAGTGGGACACAAAAAATAAGTCAAATGACTTGAAGAGGAAAAGACAATTTTAAGAGACTAAGAGAGGAGGAAAAAAAAAAGGGTGAATCTTAAGTTAAGACAGAATTGCTTCTGATTTCTGAACGGTGGTATAAGTTTGATCCAAGGCTGACTGTGTAGAAATAGGTTCCCCATACTCGCTGATGGCCACCGTGTTGCAACATACCTGATCCTTGAGTTGCAGGATTTCCGACCGCAGCTTGCTCTCGGTTTCGGATTTCTCTGCCCGAAGCTGCTGGTTCTGCTGGTGCAGCTCCATCAGCTGTTTTTCCATCAGGAGATTCTGGTCCAGATCTTCTCCGTTCTGAAAGGTTCAGGCATGGACACACGCATACTTACGTTAACTAATTTGCAAAAACATCACGTCGTGCAGTAAGAGGGGCAGGAAGAACACAGTGGCCCTAAATTAGTCCCCACGTTTCACCCACAATACAGTCAATCCACTTTACAGTTTATTCTGTGAAGCACTTTGAGACGTCTCAATGATGTGATAAGGCGCTGTATCAAATCAAGCATTATTATTATTTAACAGAAAACCTGCATTGATGTAAATTGATTAAAGAGTGCGGCTGAGACCTCCCCCCTCCCCACTTCTCATCATGATCACGAACGGGCTGGTTTCTGTGTAAGAGAGACTTTGTTGCAAAGAGAGACTTTGTTGAATTGGACTAGTGGCACCTGGTGAGGGGATGACGCAGGCGCAGCAGCAGTGAGCCAGGCGGCCGCGTGGCAGGAGAAGGAAGAGTGTGTCGTGTGAAGGAGAGAGGCGACCGCCATTTTATACTGGGACGAAGATGGAAAACCTCCTCCTAGATTGTTTGTGTAAGAGACTCAGAGACACCGAGGCAAAGGAGAAGGAGGGCAGATCAACAACGTACACAAAGCCGTCGCCATTCTCTCCCAGAGGAAGGATTGGATCACCGCCTTTGAATCCAAACGGTCCCCGGTTGAATGTATTGACTTTGGTTATTTAAACATGAATTCTTGTATTACATTGTGAGGGACCCATGTATGACAATCTATCCCCGCACTACAGATTTTGGCAGAAACAGAGACAAAGACGTAATTGTTTAATTGTCTGAATTGTGTCATCTTAGAAAAAATTATTGAGTTAACTGGGAACTCTTTGGAAAATAATCTGTTTATTTAATGTTTCTCCTAAATGATTTACAGATTAATTGCCTTCAAGATCCAACAGGTTTTATTGTCAGTGTTTGCCACGCTTGGTTTAATAGCAACTGACTATTAATTGACTGCTGCAACTCAGGACGGCAATGAGTCACCTCAGACAATGCATTAAAACAGGCAGCTTCAGCAATCTAAACTGCTTAATGTAGGTCTGCTCTTTCACAGTTCCACTACTGCAGCACAGTGAAATGCTATCCCCCTTAAATAATATTCACGCTGACTCACTCATTGCGGTTTTTATGCCAGCCGTGTGAATGTCAAATCCCCATCAGAAGGTGACCGATTAGCTCTCTGCTGCTATGGGCACAACTGTTGCAGGAAAATAATCGCCCAGAACTATTATTTCAAACCATTGAGAAAGCTCCTTTCTTAATGCTGTGAGTAATTTATACATTAACCCTTTCCCAAACTGGAATTCACAGACATTTCCAGAATTTCAAAGGGAATGAAAAAGGCAGCTACTTTTCGCAGGAAAGAATAGACATGGGGAGAAGGGTATGGTGAGGGAGTACCCCACGGACTAGTTGGGCTGAATGGCCTGTTTTCGTGCTGTACATTCATGTGAAATTAAGAATATTTTGCAACCAAAAACTCAAATTTACATTTATTGCAATAACCGGAATATGCGGCTAGTCTGAATGCTACCTGGTCTGTGACGAGGGCTGTAGCGTCGTTAAACACCAGCTCTCCATTTTCTCCATCCGGGTCCATCAGCACCAGTGTCTGATGCCCAACTGCTGAACTCGAGCCCACAGTCTCTTCTGCAGCCACTGTGATGCCATTGGGCAGACTGCTGTCCTTTTTGAAATGAAAATAATTAATATTTTGAATTTTAAAGAGTTAAAATTTAAAGAGATACAGAGTCATTCTTTGTTGGGAGGCGATTGCGTGGTTTTGGGTTGCGATGGCAAAATATAAACGTTTTGTTAATTTTAATGCAAATAATAACAATATAACAACAACTTGCATTTATACAGCGCCCTTCACACAGTGTAGTGTCCACTTCACGCACTGAAGGCACGGTCTGGATCCTCCTCCTCGACCACGCCTTCGGTCACCCTCCCATCCTCACCCTTCCTGATCCCACCCCCTGGCTCGGGTGCAAAGCCTCGACTGTCCAGCCCTTTGGGACGTCCTCCTGACATGAAAGGCGCTGCACAAACGTAATTCGTTGTTGGTGTTATGTTGCATCTCGGAGAGCTTAAATGGGTTATTTATGGACATATTTGAGACTGCTGACCTTTACCGCATTCGTTTGATGGAAACTCTACCAAAACATGATGTACATGTTGTGCTTATACTTAGTTAGTCGTCAGGAATCTGCAATTTTTACCTAAAATAATAGTTAAAATAACCATTCATTTGATATAGCATCTGTAATAATAATCCTTGCATTTGATATAGCGTTTTTCACGTCTTCGAGACGTCTCAAAGCGCTTCACAGAATATACTGTAAAGTGAATTGACTGTATATTTGTGGGCGAAATGCGGCAGCCAATTGCGCACAGTAGTATCCAGCAAACAGTCGTGGATTGAATGACCAAATTATTACTTTTTTTTGTGAGAGATTATTATCAGGCGTGTGGAGTAAGCAAATTCACGCAAGGTTTCACCCTGCCGGGAATCAAACCCAGGTCTCTCGCTTGCGAGGTGAGTGCTCTAACCACCGAGCTACAGGACTTGACTTTGGTGCCATCTGTAACACCAAAATGGCTCAAAGTGTTTCAATTGCTGTCAATCAAACCGTCTTATTTGTATTCAAATATTATTACTGATTAGTTATTTGTGTTGACTGTTAAAGTAGCTGGAATTTACTCCTGCATTTCCACGACAGCACGACTAAGAATAGTCGAGGCAACTCCCAAGAGGTGAAGTGCGGAGTTCTCAATGCTGTGCTGATATCCGTTACTGTGACCTAAATTAGCCAGCACGTCTCCCATGGATTTTGCTTCAAGCCTGCTGCAGGATAAATACAGCTTGCACACAGTATACTGCACACGTTTCTATTTGTTGTCCTTTTTTGTGTGTTGCATGCGGTTCCTTGTGGAACAAAACTTTGTTAATTAGGAACATGGACTGCATGACGCGCCGGGAACTGTCAGATATAAAGCAAAGGGACCAAATTTAGTTTGACTGATGTGAAGTGTCAAGATTCACCCTATTTATGTAGGTTTTTAGACCAACCAGAATATTTAGCATGTTGGAATTCAATCTCAGCTTTGAAGGTCTCTCCTGGTCTGTATAGTTTAGCTGCTCACTGCATTAAACCAAAATTGCATCGAGTTGTTTTTTTCATGCAAAGTGAATAAATTCCGAGATGTATTCATATTTCACGAATGATGTGTTCCATATTGAGTGACGTGCCGAGTACACATACCTTTCCAGCCTGGCGAGCGATATCAGTCTTTTCTGTGGTGAGGGTAGTGGTTGATGTGGTTATAACGGTCTCTGTAAGAACGGGGCTGATAGATGTGATATCCATTGCACCGCCCGAGGTAACTTGGCTGCCCCCATAAGCTTTATGTTGAGCCTCTCCACTCTGTTCATAATACTGTCGGTTATTTACCTCCTAAGAAAGGAAAAGGCATGCGTAAGAGCGTGCAATACCTCACAACACTGTAACTGTCAAAACGTCACCAATACAACATTTGGATATTCTAGGTCATTTTGCAAGTTAATAATATAAATAATAATCCTAGCACTTGCTATAGCACTTCATCACGTCTTTGAGACGTCGCAAAGTGCTTCAAAACATAAGGCCTTTTTTTGTTAATAAATTTTTATTAAGTGATTTTAAAACATTGATCACGGTCAAGCAGTGACTTGAAAGCAGAAAACCTTCTCAAATTCCTCTCGAAAGAGATTCCATTTTATTTTCTCCCATATTTTCTTGCTGGGGTAAGGTTCTGCAAAAGAGATCAAAGCACAGCTAAAACCAGGAGGGAATCTGAATTGAGCTGGTGATTTTCCAAACAGCATAACTTTATAAAACTGCCTTTTCGCCAACGTGGAAACTTATCCCTGAACATTTTTACTAACAATCCATCGGTTGTCAAATTAGAGCAATTATGTAACTGCTACTTTAGATTCTGTGTGAAGTTGAGAAACTCTTCCTGCAAAATGCTTCCCATTCAAAACAAAGTGCAGTGTTTGATCGATTACCCTTCATGTTCACATAAGAGATTTTCTTTTAAAAACACAAAAACTAGAGATAGCAAAATCTGCCTATTCGAGCAGATAGGCAGGCAGGTGAATGGGAAAAACAGCCCGATCATTACAGAGACTGACACACGCCGATCAGCAAAACAAATGAACGTTTCATTCAATTGCTTGTTCTTACTGAACTCACCTGCGTAATCTGGATTTGGAAAGTGGTGTGAGGGTTACGAAAATGCGTCTTGTAATGCTTGACAGCCTCATCCCGTCTGTTGAAACCATTTCGACATCGGTAGCAATGCCAGTGTGCACCTTTAAATTTCTTTTCTCCTTTGATAGTTCCAACAATATCACAGTGGTTGCAGCAACGAAGAATCTTTAGACCTAATAAATATGTAAAAAAAAGTACTTATTAGCATAGCCTTCATAAAGCTTTTTTGGAACTGGTTAACAGATTGTAGACACTGGGAAAATAAATATTATTCACGCTTAAGTTAGTTTGCGAATTGGGTTGTGTAGTGGGCTATCCTTTCAGCACCAAAAACTGGGTTTGAATCCAGCCCAAACTAACAAAGCTTCTCACTCAAAGAGGAACATAAATTGTGTTTGAGCAGTGACAACCATAGAAATGTACAATATAGGAGGTCATTTGGCCCATTAGTTCATATTGGAATATTTGAAATAATTAATATTTTATCATATTCATATTAGTCTGCTCCTTCAAGAAGCCATCCATCCCAATCCCAATTTTTTGCTCTTTACCTTGTACCATCGAATACCATTCACTTTGAGCACAGCTGTCAAATTGGTAACTTCATTCAAAAAGCCTATGATGATAACTGAAGGAGGAAATGAAAACCTGTACATTGACGCAGTCCATGAAGCTGGGTTAAAATACATTGTAGGAGAAGAGAAAAACAGCCTCAATTAATTCTGTGTCTAGACAGTACGGTAATTGACCTGGGAATATTGGAGACACACAAAAATTTGAAAAAAAAACACATCAAAATGACCCAGCAGTAAGCACCCTTTCCTGGACAAACAAAGTTACCTATGTTTTTTTTAAAAACTTGAGTCACTTTGCTACTAGAAATAAAATTTACAGCCGTGTCCCCAGGCTGCCGAAGCACAAGTGTAGCCCAGGGGAAGGACATTTGTCAAACATTTATCATTTTCTCTCCACAAACCAGAACCCCGTACACAGTTACTGTAAAATGGCCTGGTGTCATGTAACACTCCAGGGATTTGAAAATCCATTCATTGTAATTTTCAAAGAAACATAACTCTCAGGCCCGATTTTGTTTTTTGACCTTATTTTGTGGTTCATCACAAAGGTTGGTTGAGATCAGGCTCATTTAAGAAACGGCTGGACACAGTAAAAGCAACACAGTTCGTATTCTGGGAAAAGGAGGATCAAATGGGCTGAATGTCTTCTTCCTCCATCTTTTTATTTAAAATGCAAACAACAGCATCAGAAACAGATTACTAGCCATTAATTGTAACCTAATTTTCCTGCAAGTGAAACCATAATTTGTTCCACAAGTATGCTTTCAATTATCTTCTTTAAAAAAATGTGCTCACTCAATCCACGACTGCTTGTGGGACAATGCTGTGCACAATTGGCTGCCACATTTTGCCCAAAATATACAGTCAATTCACTTTACTATATACTCTGTGAAGCGCTTTGAGACGTCTCAACGTTGGGTACTATATCGATTGCAAGGATTATTATTATTACCTGCTCAAATTAATCTTTTCAGTTCCAGGTTTGGTACATCCTTTTACAGAACCTGAACCCCTTTAATTATAAAACGGTTTCTCAGTAGCAGGTTTGGGTTCCTTAAATATTCCTCATTGCTCAACAAGAGAATGCTACTGTGCTATCTCCCACAGAGTTAAAAATCAGACAGCGCCAGACAGGTATAAATGATTCACAGCCTCTGAGGAATATCAATACATACTGTACATCTTACTTGACAATATGGAAAAAGAATTGAAGATTGATTTCTATGTCCCTGCCCTATGGCGCCGAGTTTCAAGTAAGCTGGGAGGAATGCAGCAACGAGAGTGTTTTTTTTACAACTTAAATCAGTGCTGTCTGCCACTTTCTTAGCATTGTTTTTAAGTTCAAAGATATTCAACTGCATGAGGATTAAGCGATGTACCTTTTGTCTTTACCGAGCTTACACACACATTTTACACAAGGGAATTTGCTTTATTTTTATTTTAAAAATCAGACAAGGTGACTCGTCGTAACCGCAAACAATAATGTTTCTAAGGAGTCTATTGACATTTGCATTAATTAAATGACAATATGGCAACGCGATTTAAGAGCAGGCACAGAAAAGGCTTGAAATGAAGGCTGTGGGTCCTGGAAAGCATCAGTCATCCACACAGAAACAGTCAGAGCAATCTAGTTGTCCATAAACATCACATTAAGTAAAAATATTGCAGCCCATTGGAGCGCAAGCACGTAGAAGAATGTTTCCGCCCTGGCTGCAAGCAATGCAGTGAGAATGCGTTAGTGCTTGAATAAATCCACTGGTGCACAGACACTCAGTCAGCACTTTTTTCCTGACATGTCTAATACATCTTTTTTGTAATTGACCAATTTGAATTTCAATCCGTGAGTACTTTACGATAAACCATTAAACACTACTGCACGTCCACAAAAGTACTAACAGAATCTTTTGCACAATATAGAGAGCTGCAAAAAATGTGAATTTCATAATAATAATCTTTCCATTTGATATAGCACCATATCACGCTGTTTAAGGCGTCTCAAAGTGCAACACAGAATATACAGCAAAGCAAATTTAATGTATATTTTGTGGGTGAAACGCTGTAGCCAATTGCACACCGCAGTGTCCCACAAACAGTCTTGGATTGAGAGACCAAATTATTATTAGAATTTTTTTNGAAGGGATTATTATCCCCCTTAAAGCGATCTGCCAATTGACTAACAACCAGGTTCCTACTTACTACTATGTAAACAAAGGTGTGTGGGGTAGGGAAACTTGCCTAAGGTTTCACCCTGCCCGGGAATCGAACCCAGGTCCTCTCGCTTGCGAGGCGAGCGCTCTAACCGATACGCTACTGAACTCCATGAGAATGAAAGAGCGAATGACAGAGTCACAGATTTGACAACAATATCTCACAAGGCTGAGAAACCTACCAATACGCACTCTCCAGCATCATACACAATGAATAATCGCTGGTACCCACCCATTGAACGAAACTCCAACATGGACCACCTTAAGAGGAATGAGGCAAGAAACAAACGACAACAAACATCCACACTAAACGCAAGAACCAATTGTTCTCACTATTAAATAAACTCACTTCCCCAGAGGCCATTTTAATGCCACTGCAGTGTAAAGTGCTGCTTTAAGACATTAGTGTGGCTCGACAAATTGCCTGGCAAGGCGGATGTGAATGAGGCATTAACTTCAGATACATGGGATCCTTACAGTGAAACTTGGTACATTGAGCTCACATAATCACTCGTTGAAGATGATTTACTGTAATAGTCTGATGTAAAACACTGCACCTTTGATCTGTATAAGCATGACCCAGAATAAGCTACAGTAGAGGAGTCTAGCTGCAAAGCAGAAGGTCTTGGAGAAAATGTCAACATTGCTATCGTTTGAAAACAATTAGAATAGAATTCTAATCCAAGTTAACATCTCCAGTTTTAAAAAAGATGCACTTAGTCATACAATTGTAGAAACAGCCTTGCAGGCGTTACCAAGAACACAGACAAGGGAAGAGAATTGACATGTACAATCATGGAAATATTCCTGTTGGGTTAATGGTTGAACCTCCACTGATGTTAAACAGTGCCATCACACCATTTTTTTCAGCAATAGGTTTTGCTATATATTCAAATGCATACAACTCATAAATAAGTCGATTTGTGTGTGTCCTCCCAAAGTGAAAGGGGTTATTCAAATGTAATTTGTTGTTGTGAGATGCAAATTTCAAAATCCATTAGGAATTTTGGCTGTACATATTTCTGGCACACATTATTGGTTTAATCCTCTATCTGGTCTATCTGTTTGTCAGGCTAGTTCTAAATGTTCTTTACTGAGAGAGAGCAGTTTACTGATAAAGATTAAAAATAGATTTCACAAAGCCATCTCCAGAATCACACAAGAGTCTGGTGAAGAAATAATAGTCACTTAAATTCTGACCTAGAAGATGAACTTGGATCAAGATCCTTACTACTGTTACCTGAGCTGCATTTAATTCCAACCACTTTCAATTGTAAATTGATTTATAAAGGTCTATATATTATATATGCAAGTGACAAAGTTGCCTCTGAGATGAAATGTCTGAACATCACTGATCCAAAGTGTTGACGTGGAGCATATTCCTTTGCTTACCTGCAAAATCAAGTCCTTTATCAACATGTTTAATTCGGTAGTGGGCTCGCAAGATGACGGGGTCCTGGTAAGCCTCGGTGATACTACAAAAAGGACAGTGCATGTGGCTACCCTTTTGACTCGCGGAACATTTCTCATCCTGGCAGAGAACGGGGTTGTAGTTATGCTCTGATCCTTTCACCCTCACGGTAGGATGTGTCTGCATGAGAAATCAAGAGAAAAACAAGCATTAGGCAAATGTAATTCTACATGTCAATTACCCTCTGCAAAAAAATGGGTAGGCCACTAAATTAGTCTTCATGCCGTGACATTACTACATTTGTAGGACATACTGGAGAAGGCGGCATATTTATAGAACACAAACTTATATATCAAATGACCAATTTATTATGGTTTTTGTTTTGGAGGGATTATTATTAGGCGTGTGGAGTAAGGAAACTTGCCCAAGGTTTCATATGTACATATTGCAGTACTCATCATCTTATCCTACCAACTCAATACTCCTATAGTTGCAAATAGTAATAAGGGGCAATCATCCCACTAGACAGATATAATTTGTAACTGGCTATTCCTCTAAATAATCTGCAACACATATACCAACCAGACAGGCAGACTTTGAGATGTCTCAACGATATGATAAAGGTGCTGTATCAAATGCAAAATTTATTACAGATATTCTTTTTTCTTAAAAAGCACAAATTGGGTCAGAATACAAAATGTTGAACTTTGATCATTTTTTGTGTCACTTGTTTAAACTGCAGCTCTGTAACTGATTTACCTCCTGGACAGTGATTTTTTATTTTTTTTGCATGTAGGGTTGGAGGAAGGTTAAAAATAAGTGGGAGAAAAGGCTTTACTTTATCTTTCGGTGATGTGTTCAGCTTGTTGTATTCACACATTATCTAAAGGATTCTCAAAACGTTCATTTGCACAAAATTTTACAGCATGAATTCACAGCAAAAAAACAAGCCATCAAGATCGATTTACTTCTTCCTAAGACTCTGATTGTTTCCACTTTTTATTTTTTATGCACAAACGGACATGAAAAACACTGGCTTTGCTGCTGTCATTTTACATTAAGCTCAAAACACCTGCCATGTACGTGTATATGATTGTGTAATATTCCCAATGAATTGATAATAATGTGGTGTAGATGGCTTTGAAAGTTTTGGACAGACTATCATCATTCAAACTACACTGTAGGTGCCAATGTTTTTGAAAGACATTCACCTATTTTACAAAACAAACTCAAATCATCAGACTGCTTTTGCAACAACACTGAGACTCCTTGGGTGTCCCTAACTATTTTTAGATCCGAGGTTCAGACTAGGCTGTTTCTTCCATTTCATCTGACAGACAGGAAGATAAGACTGGCAACAGGAAACTCAACTCAAAACCCATTTGAGTATTGATCCTAAACCTCTCTCTTCATTCTCTATTTAGAGAAAATGTTAATTGTTAATCTCTTTGTTACGACATTTGTTCTTTACCTCCATACATGGAAACAAAATCTAGCTTTTGACAATCTTATCTTTTTTTTGACAATTTCCTCACCTTTTTGCCCTCTACCCATAGATGCTGAATCTTGCTGGGTACAGCCTACAGGTCCAGTGCCTCACCCAAGGGGCTGTTCCTCACGTGGAGCCTGGACAACAAGTGACAAGTATCACATCAGAGCCTGATCCTGTTCTCCCACGTCTACACATATTCTCCGTATAATAACTATTATCGTGACTGATTAGCTTTGCTTTCCTAGCCTAAGGGGCTTGAGCAAACCGTCGTGTCCCAACCACTGAAATAATCTAACTCAGCCTAGACTGAGAATTAAACCTGCAACCAACTTGACTGTACGCCTTATTTCTGTGCTAAGATAAATGGGGCCAGAGTATTTTATGAGATACAGGTCAGCCGAGGACAATCCATTTGGATATTCGTAATGCTGCAGACATTTTACAGCACCATTTTGCTGCAGGGATTTTCTGATCGATGCTTTCTCTGGTTGTAAACCCAGTAATTAAATCTTTGGATAGCTTCCTTTTTTTGCATCAACTATTGCTGATAAACAATAGTAGCTTTTTGTTTAAATCTCCTTGTTACGATAATTGATGTCCCTAGAATTTTGACTCCTCCTGCAAGACCCTTTTCTGAAGGGGAGTTATCACTTGAGTTATAAAGTGTTAAAATATACCTCTTAAATTTAAATACAGTAATTCATTAAAAGTACAGAATACAATCCTTTTCCCCCAATCATTTTATTTTTGACCTCCTTTTGCTATTTAGTGAGCCTATTGAGAAAATGTGAATACGAAAAGCAAACATTTGTCATAACATGCACTGCAGATGTTTTAAGAATGCAGCAACATCAGTGCTAAACTACAGTTACAGCATTAACTGGGAAAAATCTGCATCGGCCACTCCCTTTGGTGCTCTGTACACAGAACACTGCACTGTCACTGAGATAAAGGTTGCAGGATCCACTGCAGTAAACTTCTACGCCAGCAGGAATAGTGCAAACAATCTATAATTCGGTCCCAGGATAGTTACAGAGCTCTCTGCCAGAACTACAAAAGCTGCAGCATAAAGCAGAACTAGAAATTGAAAGGGATTTGATCTTGCTCAGACGATAATTTGTAGTGTGCTAACCTGATCTAACGGCTTGTCTTACACAATTCCTAGCTTTAACCTTGAAGGCTAGGAAGCTGTACAAGTTTACAGGTCATCCTTAATACAATAACTGTTTGAAATTATGTTGTTCATTTACCATCACAAAAAAAGGTTATTAGGACTCAGAAAAAGGATTTGAAGCTGAATTTAGCTGCCAAGGGAGAAAACAAGAACTTGGTGATGTGTGAGATTTTTTGGTGGGGAGAAAATGACTACTTCACCAAAGCACAGTAATAATAATCCTTGCATTTGAGATAGCACCTGCTAATAGTTCTAGAATATAAATCACATTAAAAAATGTTTAGTAAAATCACCGATCTACTGTTCCATTCCTTTTACCAAACACAATGTTTCACTAAATATTTGTAGCTTATCTACTCTTCCATTTGGAATGCATCTCAAGCCCAACTTGTAGTTTTTGTTCCTGAAAGTCTCCCCCCTCCCCGCAAAAAAAAAACTCAGTACAAACAAAAGTATTGAACGAACAAGCATTTAAGGACCTTGTGTCTTGCTGCATGTTTTAAACACCCCTGAAAAAATGGTATCTGCAGTGCAAGATACACAACAAACTAAACCTCTGACGCGTAAACACAATTAATTAACAGTTCGTTTTCTTCCAGTCGTCTCCAAACAAAAGTACATTTTATTGCCAAAGTGCAGCACAATCTTCCAAGAGAAGGGAGTTTCTCCCGGTGTCCAGGGTGACGATCGATCTCCCCTCCCACCTGAAACCAGTCACTGACTTCACAGCGGTTCACAGGTCGCCACCGCCCACAACAAAACACGAACAGTCACTACACATGGCAACAGCGGCGACAACAACATGGCTTAGACACGGAGAGCAACACTCTTGCGGGGCGTTTTTTTTTGGGGGGGGGGGGGGGGTGTTCTCCCGACGCGGTGGGCGCTGTGTCAGTGCGGAGATGATGCTCAGTAATCATATTATTAGAACCAACCAAGGGTGGCCGCCATCTTGTGATGGGCCTGGGCGGGCGGGCGGGCGGGCGGCGGTGTGTGGGAGGGGGGGTCTCCCCAAGCGGCGGCCGCTACGCGCTACTCACAATGAAAGCCGCCATCGCCCCGGTCGGAGCTCCACCGACCCCTCCCTCAGCTCACAGGGAGGTGCGAGAGGGAGAGGGCGGCGAAAGAGACCGGCGGTTTATTGGTTAAAATGCCACCATGGCGCCCGGCCGGCGCTCGGCTCCTGTGTGCTTCGTCATCACTTTCCGCCGTCTCTCCCTCTTCTCCCTCCAGGCGGAGAGACGGCCGAGATTGCCTACGTCACCTTCGGGGTAACCGACGGAAAGAGCCGAAGTCGAGTTCGCCTCCTCGCTCGCTCGCTCGTCCCCACCTTCGGCTCCTCACGGAAACGCACGAAGATCTCCACCCACTTGGAAGTGTCCCCAGCTGATTTGTTGTTAACCCTTGAAAGTGAGCAGTAACCCTAAACCCACTTCTTTGGCACTCTATCCCCCCCCCCCCCCCCAAACTCACCCCCAATTTTTAGAATGACTTTTCGAGTCACTTTTCGAGTCCACTCAAAATGCGGCTAGGCTTGACATCACACGATAAAACATAAATGTAAAATAGATACATATAGAGCGAGAAATAATAATACCAGTCCACGCATTTTTTATAGAAATATTTATATATTTATTATTATGTGAAAATACTTTGCTGCAAGGCCTGTCTGTAGCTTTGCACTTTACGTCCCGTAATCCGTGACAATTTTAAGTGTTTGTCATGAAATATTTGAAATGACATTCAATGCACCAAAAGTTCACTATTTTTTGTATTTGCTATAAAATTCAATTTCATCAGTGTGCAGTTTTCAGTTAATGGAAGCAAGCAAAAAAAAACCTCAGTCCAAAATGTCAAATATCTCCTCAGCTTTTGGCAGCCTATATGTTTTAATGTGAAATACCATTAACTCCTCTGTAACCTTGAAATGAACAGAGGGAGAGAGAGTTAGACTTTCCAAAACATACAAACAATCAGCCTTATAGTACACGGTTCAAAATAAAAGGATCAGTGTGACTTAACATACATTCAACCTATATCCCTAAACATCTAAATTGCTACAAGCGCTAAATTAATTATCATGTTATCGAGACGTCGCAAAGTGTTTTGCAGAACATATTGTAAAGTGGATTGACTGTATATTTTGTGGGCAAAACACTGCAGCCAGTTGCGCACAGCAGTATCTTGCAAATGGATTGAGTGACCACATTTTTTTGTGTGGTCCGCCCAATCAACAAATAACTGGGTTCCTACTTACTGCTGGGTAAACAAAGGCATGTGTGTAGAGTAAGGAAACTTGCCTATCGTTCTGCCCAGTCTGGGAAGTGAACCCGGGTCCTCTCACTTTGGAGACGAGTGCTCTAACCACTATGCAATGGGACTCCACATGAAGACATTTTTGACTTTTTACTTTGTTCCCTAACCCATGTCGGATCGTAGGTACCAGACTACTGGAATCTGTAATGTGCAAGATTGACAACAAGTTGTTGAATTAGGCAATTGGATAGATTAATTAAAATAATAATTCTTGCATCCGATATAGCAATTGATCACATCTTCAAGACGTCTCAAAATGCTTCACAGAATATACTGCAAAGTGTAGTGACTGTGTGTTTTATGGGAAAACACAATAATAATCCTTGCATTTGATATAGTGCCTTATCAGCCTTATGTGTATTTGCAGGCAATTTGTAGCTGTAAGTTAAGAGGGGGGAGGGAAAAGCTATGTTATCAGTGCTAGATATTGGCAGGATAAATTAATAACAATATTGATAATAGTCCTTGCATTTCATATAGCGCCTTATCAGATTGTTGAGATGTCTCAAAGCACTTCATAGGATTTACTGTAAAGTGGATTGACTGATTATTATTATTACATGATATTATAATTAATGAGCCACATTAATGACACCGGGCGACTGATGTTTTATTCAGATGCAAAACAAATATGTCGCCAGGTGACTTTGCAAAACCGGTGGGGAAGTCTCGTTGGATGGGGAGGAGTCTTGTTGCAACGTGGGTGGGTGGGAGATGAGGGAGAGAAGCATTTATGAGCCCTGGTTTGCAAAGAACTATTTCATACCCACCGACACAATCAGCAATCTCAGATCTGCAAGTGGCTTCTCTTTCCAACGTGAGGAGCGCAGCTTTGCAGCTGTTGGTAGTGTGTGTGTTTTTTTTTAAATAAACCACCTTTTTTAGTGTGTTGGTTGTTTCGTGGCTAGATTTTTTTTTAAAAGCTGAAAGCCTCATAGAGTGGGGAGAGGAAAAAAAAAAGCCAAGCAATAATTATGAGATGACTTTCCAGTAAAGGTCACACACACATCATATTGCACTGCGGAAAAGGAGCTTTCCACTTGCTCTGGTGCTGAAACAGAAAGCGCTTCTGTACTTTATTTCTTTTAGACCCTCCACACACACACACACACACACATACAGAGGACAAGGACACTACATTTACCTTCACCCCCTCCCTCTCCCCCCCCCCCCTCCCTCCACCTTGTGGGTTCCTGGTGGCGAAACGGAAAATAAAACAAGCAAAGAAAAATAAAAGCCCCAAAACATTTACACTCACACACACTCCGGTTGCTATAACATACTCTAAAGTCACACAGTATATATATATATATGTATGATATATCCAATGCAACGGTTATTATTCTATAAACTTTAGCACAGAGGAGGAGATAGGAGAGAGACGAACTATAATGTTTTTTTTAAGACATCATTTACCAGACGTGTCCCGATGGTTTGAATTTTGTTTTTAAAAAAAATCTTTTTTTCTTTTTGTAACAACAAAAAAAGACCCTCTCTTCCTTATTAAAATCGGAAATAATTAATAGCGACGCAGGTTACTGTGTGCGTGATCATTGCTAACTCTGCAGTTAAACTGGTACTGACCAAGGTTTGGCTGCTTTAATGCTGGAATGGAATAGACCTTTGTAACTGAGCAATGCTAAAAAAAAAATGTTAAATTTTACCCCCAAACACCCCTCGTCCCACCCAATTGATGTCCTTTTTAACTTATATTTCAGAAATAAAAATGCAAGGATTATTATATGTGTGTGGGGGGGATATACATAAAAAAAAATCCTTGCGTTTGATATAAATCCTTATCAACTGAGTACATTGTAAAGTCAATTCATTGACTCTATATGTTCGTGGAACGAAAAGGCAGCGGTCAAACTCATTCCTTTCCTTCCCCCCCCCAAAAAAAAATAAAATAAATAAAAATTAAATTCCAATTAAAAAAAAAGAAGTTTATTTGAAGATCAGTTTCCAAAGTGTTTTGAATTGCCTAATTTGAGATACCAGATAAATAAAAATCGTGTCCTTTTTGCCTTGATAACCTCAGGCTGGTTGTAAATATCCTTTTTTTTTTGCAACACACAGTGAGTATATGTAATATACACAATATGCATTATATATATAAACTATATATACTGTAATACATCTATATAGCTATGTGTATGAGTGTATGTTTTATATGCATATATATATATATATACAAAAAGAGATGTCTTCAGCAGATTGGTTGCTGGTGCGGGTTTCTTGCCAACTTAGCACATTCTGCGGTGTATAAAAGGATCCGCCTCATCTCTCCTCCCTTCACTGCAGTGTTTGTGAGCTCAAAGCACCATGAGTTACAGCCTGGACACTATGCTGGGCGCCTCCTCTTACCGCAGGGCGCTGGGAGACCCACCAAGGAGCGGTGGTCCTCGCTCCATGGCCAGCAGCGGGTTCCACTCCCAAACATCATGGTCCAGGAGCCCCGGCTCCATCCTCTCCTCCTCCTACAAGCGGACCAGTGCTCCCAGCTACGGCTCTCAGCTCGCCTCCTCCACCGAGAGCCTCGACCAGGGAGCCCTGGTGGTGGTCAACGGGGACCTGAGGTCCCGCAATGAGAAGGAGGTGCTCCAAGCGCTCAATGACCGCTTTGCGCTTTACATCGACAAGGTGAGGAACCTGGAAGTTCACAACCGCAACCTGGAGGCTGAGGCGGCGTCTCTCAGGCAGCAACAAGCCGGGAAGTCCGCTATCTCGGAGCTCTACGAGCGTGAGATCAAAGATCTCCGCAAAGTGGTGGCTCAGATGGGCAACGAGAAGACCCAGCTGCAGCTGGAGCAGGAACACCTGGAGGAGGACATCCAGCACCTCAAACAGAGGTGCGAGGAGGAGATCAGGGCCAGGGAGGAGATGGAAGCTACCACCAGAGACCTCAACAAGTACGTGGAGGAATCGGGGCTGACCAGACTGGACCTGGAGAAGAAGCTGCAGTTCTTGACCGACGAGGCTTCCTTCATGAGGAAGAACCATGATGAGGAGGTCCAGGATCTCCTGGGGCAGATCCAAGGCTCTCAGATCACCCTGGAGGTGCGGGACAGCCTGAAATCCGACATCACGTCTGCCCTCAGGGAGATCCGAGCTCAGATGGAGGGACAGGCGCTCATGACCAGCAGCCACACCGAGGAGGTCTTTAAGGTGAAGTTGGACAAACTCAACGAGGCGGCCAAGGTCAACACGGCAGCCATCCATGCGGCGCAAGACGAGATCTCCGAATACCGCAGGCACCTGCAGTCTAAGAATACCGAGCTGGAGACCTTGAAAGGCACCAAGGACTCGTTGGAGAGGCAAAGGTTTGAGATCGAAGACCGTCACAATGCAGACGTCTCCAGCTACCAGGTAAGGAAAGATTTTAGCTCAAATATTTTCCAAACAAATGAAACCTTTTTTCTTCTTTGGGGTGGGGTGGGGAAGAAAGGAAGCAAATCTTGTCTGTGCGTCAGCACTTAAATATCAAGTTCATTTCAATATCGTCCGAACCAGCTTTAAGGAGGGAAGTTACCCTGTCTTAAAGTTCTGTTTGGATCATGTAATATATTTGAACGTGCACAAAATCGGATGCCCCATTTGCCTGCAAAATGCACAACCACCACGCTTTACAGTATACCTTGCGGAACGCTTTGAGACACCCCTCTGATGTGAAAGGTTTTGGATAAAATATAGTAATAGTAATCCTTGCATTTGATTTAGCACTTTATCATGTCGTTGAGATATTGCAAAGCACTTCACAGAATATATTGTAAAGTGGATTGATTATATATTTTGTTGGTGAAACATGGCAGGCAACTGCCGCAAACAGCCATAAATTTCACTTATTTATGGGGTGGGTGGAGGTGGGGGAGGGGCTGAGAGGGGAGGGGTTATTACATCTGGAAAGCGATCTACCAATCGCTTCCTACTTACTGCTGTAATACATAATAATAAAAATCCTTGCATTTGATATAACACCTTATCACATCTTCGAGATGTCTCAAAGTGCTTGACAGATTAGACTGAATTGACGGTATATTTTGTGGGTAAAACACAGCAGCCAATTGCGCACAGCAATGTCCTACAAACAGTCGTAGATTGAGTGACCAAATTATTATTTTTAAAATCTAAGGATTAATTATTATTATTGGAAATACAAGGACAAATTATTATTCTCGATTAGATGTGGCAATTTTTTTATCAGGGTTGACGATGGGAGTGGGAATCTTGTTTTACAAAGCTCAACTTTTCATTGTACTGTAACCTTAGCTTCCGTCTGCCCATTTATATTATAGGAAACCATTCACCAAATGGAGAATGAGCTGAGAAGTGTCAAGTGGGAGATGGCTTCTCAACTCAGAGAATACCAGGACTTACTAAACGTGAAAATGGCTTTGGATATTGAAATTGCAGCATACAGGTACAGATTGGGTGTGGCGTTGACTGAGTGGTTGCGTAAGGGAGCCTGTGATTATAATTGAAGTGTAAATGTCATGGGAATTGGAGCCAGGTTCCATTGCCTCCCAGCAGATTGATTTCAAGGTTCCCACCATCACCTATGAACCCCTTCACCCTCCTAGCACCTACCAATCTCTCTGATCTACTGCATGGCAAACTTGCCCCCTTACTAATTTGGCTAACCACCATCGGTGTCCGATCATCAAATCCCATGCCAATAGCTCTCTCCATTTGGCCCCTCCATCTCTATGTCTTCAAAAGGCGCCTTCAAACCTACCTCTTCAACCACGCTTATGGTCACCTCCCCTTTTCCCCAGCTCCCTCACTTAGCCCATGTCCCCACCTTGCAAAGCATTCCCAGACTTTAGCCTAAGTGACTATACCCTCCATAGAAATCCAACGTGTTGCTGAAATATCATTATGCCATATTATCATTTCAACCCTAGCAATGATTATTATTGTACTTTAGTACATGAATGATGAAGCAAAGAAAGCTTTAGACAAGAGATTTGATGATTGCTGTTTTATGTTATCAAGGAAACTCTTGGAAGGTGAAGAATCAAGGTTGAGTTGGTCAAGTCCGTATCCTTACATAGAAGCTCACCATAAAAGTCCGACACGCCCAACCCATACCAAAGCCAAGTTTGAAGATAAAGTCAAGCAAGCTGAGAAGCTTGAAAAAGAGACGGTGATTGTGGAAGAACTGACAGACGAAATGACAATTACAACAGAGGAAACCGAAGAGACTGAGAAAGCTGAAGAAACACAAGAAGAGGTTAAGGAGGGGGAAGAGGCTGAGAAAGGTGACAAAGCTGAAGGAGCGGAGGCTGAAGAAACCACAGCAGAAGACAAGGGTGATGAAGGAAGTAAAACTGATGAAGCTGGGGAAGAAGAGGAAGGTGCTAAGGCTGAAGAGTCTGAAGAGAAAGCAAAATCTCCAGTGGAAGAGAGGATCGGTGAAAAAGCAAAACCAGTGAAAGAGGATGTCAAAGAGGAAGAGAAGGAAAAACCTAAAGAAAAGGAACCAGAGGTTAAAGAAGATGATAAGAAAGAAGAGTCCAAGCCAGAGGCCAAAGTGGAGGAAAACGAAGAGAGGAAAGCTACAACACCAGAACCCAAGGTTGAAGAGAGGAAAGCTACAACACCCGAGCCTAAAGCTGAGGAAAAGAAAGCTACAACACCTGAGCCAGCAGAGAAAAAAGCTACAACACCAGAGGCCAAAGCTGAGGAAAAAGAAGTGAAGAAAGCTACAACACCAGAACCCAAGGTTGAAGAGAAGAAAGCTACAACACCAGAGCCTAAAGTGGAGGACAAGGAAGAGAAGAAAGCATCAATACCAGAGCCCAAAGTGGAGGAAAAGAAAGCTACAACACCAGAGCCTGTAGAGAAAAAAGCTTCAATACCAGAACCCAAAATGGAGGAAAAGAAAGCTACAACACCTGAACCTAAAGTAGAGGAAAAGAAAGCTACAACACCAGAGCCAGAGCCTGTAAAGAAAGCTACAACCCCAGAGCCTAAAGTAGAGGAAAAGAAAGCTACAACACCTGAACCTAAAGTAGAGGAAAAGAAAGCTACAACACCAGAGCCAGAGCCTGTAAAGAAAGCTACAACCCCAGAGCCTAAAGTAGAGGAAAAGAAAGCTACAACACCAGAACCTAAAGTAGAGGAAAAGAAAGCTACAACACCAGAGCCAGAGCCTGTAAAGAAAGCTACAACCCCAGAGCCTAAAGTAGAGGAAAAGAAAGCTACAACACCAGAGCCAGAGCCTGTAAAGAAAGCTACAACCCCAGAGCCTAAAGTAGAGGAAAAGAAAGCTACAACACCAGAGCCTAAAGTAGAGGAAAAGAAAGCTACAACACCAGAGCCTAAAGTAGAGGAAAAGAAAGCTACAACACCAGAGCCAGAGCCTGTAAAGAAAGCTACAACCCCAGAGCCTAAAGTAGAGGAAAAGAAAGCTACAACACCAGAGCCTAAAGTAGAGGAAAAGAAAGCTACAACACCAGAGCCTAAAGTAGAGGAAAAGAAAGCTACAACACCAGAGCCTAAAGTAGAGGAAAAGAAAGCTACAACACCAGAGCCTAAAGTAGAGGAAAAGAAAGCTACAACACCAGAGCCAGAGCCTGTAGAGAAGAAACCTACAACACCCGAGCCTAAAGCAGAGGAAAAGGAAGAGAAAAAAGCCACAACGCCAGAAGCCAAGGTTGAAGAGAAGAAAGCTACAACACCAGAAGCCAAGGTTGAAGAGAAGAAAGCTACAACACCAGAAGCCAAGTCGGAAGAGAAGAAAGCTACAACACCAGAGCCCAAGTCGGAAGAGAAGAAAGTTACAACACCAGAGCCCAAGGTGGAAGAAAAACCTTCAAGACCAGACCCCAAGGTGGAAGAGAAGAAACCCACAACACCAGAGCCCAAAGAGCAGAAATCCTCAGAGCCCGAACCCAAACCAGCAGAAAAACAGAAGGAACCCGAAAAGACCACAGAAGTTAAAGAAAATGTAACAGATCAAAAATCGGATAGTAAAAAAGAAACCAAGGACGAGACAACAGAAACAGTGAAAAAAACAGAGCCAAAGAAATCCACCCCCGAGTTGACAAAACCTGACCTCGATGATGATGAGGGGAAAGCAGCAACAGTGAAGACCGTCACAGAGTCAAAATCTGAAGCGAAAGAGGAAGCCAAGGTTAAGGATGACGAAGGAGGGAAGTCAGAGAAATCTTCCAGCACGAAAGAGGAAGAAAAGCCAACTGACAAATCGAAAAAAGCTTAGGAAAAAAAATGAAGAAGGAACAATTACATGGGGGAAAAAATCACCAAAGATATATTGCACCAAGTGATTGATGTCAGGAAACTGCCAAGGTAACATGGGACACCTGTTACGAAACTAGGGTCTATGCGAGCAATAGATTTCCACGAAGAAATGGACAATTAATTGCATTATGGTAACTTATTTAACAGAATGAGATAAGATGTATGCAGAATGTTAAAATGTTTACACTTCAAGGGTGTAAATAATTACCCTGCCTCAAGTAATAAGTGCATTTAAAGTGTCTGATCATACCAGGTTAGAGAATATATATCACTTAAGGATAAGAGTATTTGCTGAAATAACCCATTGACTTGCAGTCTGGGCAAGCCAATTGTGAAATGAAGATAACGATTAAAAAAAAAGCGCCACATCTTAAATCTGAAACGTGCAGCAAAGCAAATACTTGTAATGTCAATGAAGTGCGATGTGCAATATATAAATAAAGAGCTTGACAGATGCAATGTGCCTCTGAAGTACATGTCAGACATAGTGCTATTGTGACATGCGATTGAAGTATATGTATACAGATAGAATCTACTAATGACTGCATTTCTTTGAATAAAGCAATAACAACTTTCTTATAGGAATAATGTATTCTTCCAGGGTCTGTCGTTTCTTCCGAGGTAGTTATGACACAGATGTAGAAAATTGACAAAGTTGTCCGTGTCAAATCCTAGGTGGCGCTTGGCTAACAATGCGAGAAAAAACACAAGTAGTATTCAATGTTCAAATCCAGTTTCAGAAAGGATTGGTGAATAGAAGCATAATTATAATCTTTGCACAAGCCATAATGAGCTTTATCACATTGTCAAAATGTCTCAGAGCACTTCACAGGGTTTACTCTAAAGCGTAGTGTGTTATTTGTAGGTGAACATGGTGGGCAATTTGCACACAGTGTCCACAAACAACCCATTTGAGTAAGTGACCAATTTTATCTGGGATAGAATGAAAATAGACAAATTGGTTGGTAAGTGACCACGAAACATGAGAAAAAAGATTGTTCAGTATTTTTAGAAATGAAAACATTCTCTTATCACTGGGAGCGCTCTTCCGCTGAGAGAAAAGAATGCAATCAGAAAGAATAGGACGATATGACAGGCAAGAGTTGGAATGTTTACACAAATAACAACCTTACATTTAAAGAAATACAAATGAAGGTTTTTGCAGATTAAACTGGCTGACAGTTCATTCACTTCAAGTCTTTTATTTTGCTTTTACTGGGACGTCAGATTTTGATAGTAAGAGGCAAATCTTGCCCAGTCAGTTAGCACTTCACCAAGTATACAAATCTGCCCTTTTTTGTGCATTGCAGAGAACACTGACAGTTATTTTTAACTCTAATGGTTATATCCCTGGAGAAAAGGGAATGCAGAAAAGTTATGTACGGCAATGATGAGTGCCCATGGCGCATGCTGTGCTTATACAACTATATTTATAATAATTCTTACATTTGCCTTTCATGTTAGACCTCCAAAGCGCTTCACAGGATTTAATAATAATTATAATCCTTGCATTTGATACAGTGCCTTATCATGTTGATGAGACGTCTCAAAGAGCTTCACAGAACACGGCAGCGAATTACAGAGCAATGTCCCAGTTGGATTGAATAACAACATTTTTTTTTGAGGGATTATTACCCCGGAAAGCGTTTTGCTAATTGAGTTCCTACTTACTGCTCGGTAAACAGGAATAAGTAAACTTGCCTAAGGTTTCTCCCCACCTGGCAATTGAACCCGGGTCCTCTCGCTTGCGAGGCGAGCACTCTAACCCCTACGTTGCAGGATTTACAGTAAGGTGGTATGACTGCCGATTTGTAGGGAATGTTGAAGCCAAACTGGGCACAGCAATGTCCCACAAACAGCCAAGCAAACTCTTAATAAGCTATGTGAACGCACAGGACAATTATTAAGGGTCAACAAGGATTCGGGTGATCAGTGTTATTCAGCTAAATTCAGCAGGGATTCAGCCAATGGACAGCGAATCCCATTCCAACTCTCAGTGACCCTCTTCACTCTGAACCCAAGGCTCACAAAGCTACTCACTTACATCTGCAAATCTGCAAGGATTGCGGTGGTGTGATCCTGGCCACAGCTCAGGTACTCAAAGTTAATGAAAAGCCCGAAACAGTTTTAAAGAAGCCGAGAAATTTTTATTTGGCTTCTTTGCCACTCTGTTAGGATCACTCCATGGGGACTGGGAACTGGCATAAACGGCTTATCTAAAGCTTTATCCTTCCACATGTACGTCAGACCCGATCTTAAGTAGCCTCATACTCTAGGTTTCTTAAACTCCATCTTCAGTAAATTACAATTAAGAGATTTGCAATCCCAACTTGTATGTATTGTCCGTCAGTTTCTCTCGCTCTCTCTTAGGACATTTAGCTTTCCATATAATAATTAGTAGTGGCCTTTAAGCAATCTTTTCAGCCATCTTCTCCAACCTGAATTTTGTGAGCCATTGAGTGAAAAGCACCATGTGTATATTTCTGCCAACTTGCAGCCTATTGCCCAGTCAAAAGCATAAAATGGTCACCACACAAGGCTTGTCCAGCCAGGACCAACCTATGTTAGCTTTCAGGGTCCAGGGCATGTCTGTAGCTCACTGACATGTCAGACAGGCTGGGCAACTTGGATTAATGTGCACCTGATTATTATTATTATTACCTGTTGGCTTTGTCAGGTGCTCAGTCTCAGAACTAGCTTAACCACCGAAGACTGCGTTCTTACAAACTTCTCCCCATTTCCGAGGAGATATTTTAAGTCGTGGAACTCGTTTTAATTCGATCTTGAAAGAGTGAGAACCCAAGTGGACTGAGATTCAAAAGCAAATACCTTATTACGTCTCAAGAATATATTGTAAAATGGAGTGACTATATTTTACGCACAGCTCCTGTTAAAAAAAAGAACCTGCAAACATGCTCCAACCACCTCAGAAACAACATCAAATCTTACATAAAATTATGGCAACATCAAGTTTATTTTCCTAGTTTTCTTTTTTTAAAAAAACACAGAACCGCTATGTTGTTGTACATAATTTGTTTTCCGAGGTCCAATTTCCACTTGTTACGAAACGTCCAAAATCAGGATAATGGGCTGAGCTCGGTCACTGGGTGTCACAGCGACAGTGCAATGGGTCCATTCACCGATGTGTGAAGAATCCTTGTGGGTGATTGTATTTGAAAGGTTTGATTCGATTCGGACCCCTACAAAGAGAAAGAGAGAAAAAGAGGAAACCAAAGACTTATCAAGTTTGCTCTTTGGTTGCACATACACAGGGCACACGTACACACATCTTAAAAATTTACAGCTCATCTGAGCTCTCTGAACCCAGGAATCAGTATAATAATAATAATAATCTCTGCGTTTGATATCGTGCCTTTTCACGTCGTTGAGACGTCTCAAAGCGCTTCACAGGATATATTGGAAAGTGGATTGATTGTGTATTTTGTGTGGGCGAAACGCAGCGGCCAATTGCTCGCAGCTGTAACCCACAAACACAGCAATGTCCCCATAGAAATACAAAGTGGATTGAGTGACACAAATTTTGTTTTGGGGGGGGAGGGAGGGATTATTACTCTGATACTTGCCTAACAAGACGCATACACATCTTCTCCCGCGGGAATTCCATGGGCCCCTCAACGCTGTTATCGTGAGTCTCTGTCTCCAGGTAGACGTCCAGACACATGCACAAACGCTGGATCTGGTTAGTGAGCAGCTGGTGACCTGGTTTAGGATCCAACAACTCCCTGAAGTAGACATTCACCTCACTTTCTATAGCCTGTAAAAGGAGAGAGCAATTTAGCACTGAAGATTGTGATTGATCTCTTGACTTTTAATAATAATAATCCTCGCATCTGATATAGCGCCTTATCACGTCTTTATTTTGTTGTATTTTTGAAAGTATCATTACCCCCTGAAAAGCAATCCACCAATCGACTAACCACCACACTTCACAAGAATATACTGTAAAGTGGATTGACTGTGCATTTTGTGTGGGTGAAATTGCACACAAAACAGCAGTGTCCCACAAACAGTCATGGTTTGAGTAACCAAAGTTTTTTTTNAGATTGATTATAATTGAATATTATCACTATCTGCAAATCTAACGCAACTCATCACTTCTCTCAGTCCAACTCCTATCTTCTGCCCTCCGCTACTGTGGGCTAATTTCGATCTCTGCACCATGCAAAAACTGACGACCCATAATAGTCATTCATCAGCTCCACGGAAACAAGCAGTCAGCGCCTCCTCAATGCTGATGCAGCATTAGCACTTCAGGAAACTGTTCTGTCTGCAGAAACAACTCGCGCTGCACCAAATCCTCCCCCTACGGCTTGCCGTTTATTTTCACGAGTGCGGGATGAAACAGCGCAGGCCAAGGGCACTTAGGAACAACAAACAACATCCTGCATTTATATAGTGCCGCTCATGCAGGGTAACGTCCCAGAGCGCTTAACTTAGGAAATGCTAGACGAATAAAGACTCAAGGTCCATCCAGTTCGCCTTCTACCCTCCTGGCAGTTGCATGCTGCAATAATGGAGATGTTGGTCGCAATTAATTCTGTATAGATTAGTCTGTAACAGAGTGGAAAGCTTTGTGAAACTGAGAACTAAAGTTGCCTGGTATTTCCAAGCCAAACTACACTTACCATACGTCACGTCTCAAATTACTCAGGTACTGTATCCCTCCCAAAATATTATTTTCTAAAATAAATCTATTTCATTTGTATTTGAATGAATCTTCTCAGTAAAATCGTCTGGATTCACTTCTCTACAGTAAAGGAGGCAAGCTTCAGTCTGAGCTCCATCCCCTGCCTCATCTCCAGGGGTCAAGTGCAAACACCTATTGTGAAGATCACAAGTCGTTGGAACATCGTGAAGTAACAGCTACCTTTAGATTGTCATCGTTGCGACTCGTCTTCTCTCCCTTCCAGTTGAGACAGATGCTGAAGATGGGAGGGACAGTAGAATAACCAGGATTCACTCCTATAGCCACGTGGAGCTTGGCTGAGAACACGAGAAAGGACGTTTCAATCGCGCGAATGAAGGGAGAATCAAATCGAAGGGAGAATCAAATCAAAGACACAATCAGTTTTGAACACATTTCCAAAGGAGAAAACGATGGCGCCATACCCGTTCCTCTCTCGATCAAGGCTGAAAAGAACAGGTCCGTCTCCTGGGCCATGTCGGCATCAATGACGTGCTTGGTGTACGGCAGTGCCTGACACAGAATTCAGAGGTTATACCTTCAGCTTTGGAGCTCAAACCAAATCCTTCACAATAAACCAACACACACTTAACTTAACCAAGAACAACACAGGAGAAAAAGGAAGCCCTACAGCCTGCCTTGCCATTAGTAAATCAAGACAGAACTTTTAGTTTCAATTCCCTGATTCTCCGACCACCTACAAACCCCACCCACAGATTTGTCTAAATAGTTAAATGAAAGCTTGAGGGGTAACAACAACGACTTGTATGTATACAGCACCCCTCAAGTGGGGCAGGGTCTCGGAGCGCTTAACAGTGACGGAGCCTGACTCTGAGCCGGTGGGGGGTAGTGGGGAGAGGAGAGGAGGTAACCCTAAGCACGGTGGAAGGGGAAGGTCTTCTAAAAGTGGGGAAGCAGAGGGCAAGGTGGGAGGTTGGGGGGAAGAGATTATTTGGATAATTGTTGGTAACAACAATTAATGGACCGAGTTGCGCAAATGTGACTGTGGAGCAAGATTGTAAGCTTTGGTTAAATAAAAATGAAATTGCTGCTAAGATTATTGCCTCAAAATTGTACTTTGTTTGCTCCGATAAAGGCTGCGATAAAGCTGAGCTGCAGGAAGATTCTGCAATGCAGCAGGTTTTTTTTAAGCTGTTTTTTCTGCATCTCTTAGTCAGGTAGTTAATAGCCCAGAGAGACCTGCGCTTCTGGCTCGAGCTGCGAACGTGTGTGTATGTCTGTGTCTAAAGGCCAAGAAAAGGAAGCAATGCAGTGGATCGCTTTAAATGCCGACAGTACATACCGCATAGTCTTCATATGTAATAGCACTCCATCTGATGAGTCGTGACAGGATCTTGGTTGGGAAAAGGTGCTGACATTCGCTGCATACTGGCACTATACTGTGTTCTGCAAATGAGCAAAACCTTAATCAGAATCGTTAATATCCAACACTCTCAAGTCCACAGTAAATTTAACAACAGATAAAACCTGGAAGCAGAATTTTCTTTTCAGAAACAAATTCACTCAGTTAAAAAAGCAATTGCTATTCATTTGGTTGAATTATTTGGTTCTTAAGACAGATGAGTTATGAGGAATAAAAATAATCCTTGCGTTTGATACAGCGCTTTATCACGTCATTGAGATGTCTCAAAGCGCTTCACAGGATATACTGTAAAGTGGAGTGACTGTGGGTGAAACGTGGCAGCCAATTAAATGGATCTTCTTCATCCTAGCCTCCCATGTGATCCAGTAAAACAGAGTCAATACATTTCAGGGGGATTAACACTCAATACATAACAACTGAACTTCAGGCAGACAGGAATAATATTTTTTTNAGCCAGCAGTCAGCTCCCTCCATCAGTCTCACCCTCACTATCAATCTCTACCCCTCCATCTCGCCCTCTTTCAATCAGTCTCTACTTCTCCGTCTCTCTCTCTCTCTGTTCTGTCTGTGGAGGAATAGATAGGATTCTATTGCCCTCTCCTGCCCTCTCTCACTCACCTGCAGATCTGGAAATCTAATTGCCAACTGTCGAGCAGGATTTGCTACATCATCAGAAGCAGCTTAGAAAGTCTCAGTGGACAAGGGATTTGCGAATGGAACGAGAGTCACCTTCTGCTATTAACCTCTCTCTGCCTTGCCTATCCCCTCCTCCCCCCCCAGATGGAAGGGTAGCAAGACTCCCAATGTGCCAAAGATTTGCAATGGCTACTCAAGACATCCCAGAGCGCTTGACAGTTACGGAGCACGACGACCAGCCGGGGGGAGGGGGAGGTGACTGCAGGCACGGTCGAAGAGGCAGGTCTTCAGGTGCAACCTGAAGATGTGGCAGGAGAGGGTAAGGCACTCACCAAGTGACGCAAACTGCTTCTGCAGTGACAGCCGAGACTGCAGTCTGACCCTCAGCAGCTTCACCGTCGTCTCCATGTGACTGGCACTCACTGAGTTGTCGGCGGTTACCAACTCCTGCTCGGGAAGGGGGAAAGGTAGAGGGGAATGTTTAATAATAATAATCCTTGCATTTCAGCCTTTCTGTCCCCACCATTTGGAACTCCATCCTACGTTCCCTTCCGCTCCCCCTCTTTCGAGACACGTCTTAAGACCCTCATCTTTGACCGTGCCATCGGTCAGCCTCCACCGCTTCTGATCCTAACCCTCAGCTCGGGTACAAATACTTGACTGTCCAGCGCCTTGGGACATGCTCCCGACGCAAAAGGACGCTGTGTAAATGCAATTTGTTGCCCTCATTGTTACCTGCGGCTGGTCTTTAGGGAAATGCAATCCTCCCAGCTTTTGGACCCAAATATACGGGTGTCCCATCTCCCCTATGTAGTCACGGAAAGTCACGATTCTGGAGACGAACAAAAAGCCTTTTGAGATCAATTGTGGCGCCATCCAAACCCCTGTTCAAGGCGTCGGGACAAGTTTCACTGTAAATTGTTTCACTGAGCTGATACTGTACGAGTAAGGGAGAGTAACAGACACCAAAAAGTACTTACGCAACCGTGTCAAACTGATAGCGATTGGCAGGGTTCGGAGTTTTCTTGCCGTGGTCTCCGGGGTAGAGACAGCTCAGCAGCGAGGCTGGAGACAGCAGATCTCTGGGTTTACAAAGAAGGAACACATTGTATCGCTCGCAATGTAAGAACCCGCAAACCTGCCCTTGCTTCGATCTCCGCATGGCAAGGCTTTTGACCACGACGTCTTAACATGCTCACCAAAACCACCGCAACTAGTTGGTCTTTGACTGGAATTGGGCTCAGCCACTGCGCTTGGAAAAGTAATGGTGACGTTTGCCCCAAAGCGCTCGGAATCGAGCCAGCTGCGTGCAACAAGCCACCACGCAAGGGTTCCACTGAGCCACCCAGACCAGGTAGGCTTGACACCCATGGCGTAACTCACACAGCCAGGCTCTGCCGTGGTTCAATGCCTTAAAAAGCAGGCGTCCCTGACCGTCATAGGAATGTACGAGACAGGATAAAAGATCAATGAAAGGAATAACCTTCAAAAGACTGTGATTTATAGGCATCTCGACAACTGTTCAGCAGATTCCCCGGGACTCTGACATAAAGTACTGAGAATCAAAGAAGCTGTTGCAACCCCCTCCCCTTCCAACCCCTCCCCACAATATTATTCGTGACCAGCCCCCTAATGCCTTTCTCTGCAGCTGCTTGATATCCCCAACCCCACGTGGGATAAGATTTCACCGGGTGGATGGTGATCTGGTTGCCCCCCCCTCCAGCCCGTACCCCGCACTGATGGCTGTGCACATCTCGGTGGCAGTAGTCACTTTTGTCTTGACGGTCATGATGTTGAGTTTCATCAGGTAGTAGAAATACAGATGAAGCATGCTCCCATCTGCCAAAAGAGAAAGTGAAAGCAGTTACATACAAACCCTTGTAAATAATAATAATCCTTCCATTTGGTACAGCGCCTCACCACGTCATTGAGACATCTCAAAGCACTTCACAGAATATATTGTTAAGTGGATTGACTGTGTATTCTGTGGGCAGCCAATTGTGCAGAGCAATGTCCCACAAACAGCAATGGCATTGAACGGTGTATGCCCAGTCGGTTTGCAGCAAAGGTGCATGTCACTTGATCTGATTTGCACGGCATTCTGTTGCGGGCGCAAGAAAACATTCCAAAACACAAACACAGCGAAAGTATTGAGGAGATTATACAGTGTGCAAAGCACGCCATGATACCTCGCTTTGTCACTTTGTCGCACCGAGTGCTTCACGCAGTTTCTCTGTGAAGTCCAGTAACATTAGTTGTAGGCCACTGGTTCATTCCCACTGTGAATACCGGGCATTAATGTTGCTGAGTTTTTACCTTTGTATTTCAGATCCAAAGTGACCGACAAGGGATGTCTCTTCAGCATTTCTCGGCGTTTATCGTCCAACTGCAGGCCCAGAGTCGGGCGACGGCGTTTCTGGAAAGCAGGTCAAGAGTTTAGTTGACAAAGAGGAAAAAAAGAGGGGAAAACAAAAATAAAGGACTGGCACGTGGCTGCCGCAGTGGCTCAGGAAATCGCCACACAGAACATACCATAAAGTGTATTGACTATATTTTTTGGGCGAAACACGGCAGCCAATTGTGCGCAGCAGTGTCCCACAAACAGTTGTGGATTGAGTGGCCGAATTATTTTTTTTTTGAAGTGATCATTACCCCTGGAAAGCGATCTGCCAATCGACTAACAACCGGGTTCCAATTTAATGCTAGGTAAACAGAGGGAGGAGGTGTGTGGAGTAAGGAAACTTGCCTAAGGTTTCGCCCCGCCTGGGAATCGAACCCATGTCCTCTAATATCTAACCAATACACAACAAGACTCCCAAGAGATTCCAAATCTTTTTATGGCCCGGAAAAATGCAGTGTAAAAAAATGCTGGCACTTACAGTTGTGGCCTGCTCCTCTTCTGCTTCGGAGTCACTTTCGTCCTCTGTAATTAAACAAAGAGAGAAAAAAATAACCCAAGAGCAGGAAAGGTCTCAGAGAAAAAAACATCATTAAAATGTAATTAACACAGAAAAACTCAGTTCCATTTCCGTCTCTCTCCAGATGTCTCCACTTACAACTTTCTCCACCTACATACAAGCTCCTGTTAACTTTCCTACACAGTCTAGCTAGGGACCTATCCTGTTTACCTAATTCCGGAAAGTATTTGGTGCAGTTTGGCCAGAGCCAAGGCTTGGGGCAAGCTATACTCATAGCTTAACCCCACTATAAAAGGCAGCTGGTCAGCGCTTCTGGGTCATCAGGTCACCAAAAACATCATTTCCTGCAGATCATCAACCATGTTACTTACACAACCGGCTTCAAAATACCTGCAAGACTTTAGTGTAAAACACCAAAGAATTTTGAACACAGTCCATCTGGTATTTGCTAACCACCTACTGAAGTGCTTAGGTTTTAGCTGGCTAAACTCCAGCAATATCCCAATGCTAGGGTCCCCAAGCTTGGTTCCTATCAACTCGCAATCTCCTCTCCTACCCCACCCATCCCCAAAAACATCCAGACTTACCCTGGGAATCATCTGGTGGTCTGGCAAGTGCCTTGGCTTCTTCCACGTCCCCTTCGATAGCTACCACCAGGTTCTTATCTAACAAGAAGCATGGAACAGATTAAACGGAGCTCTACCTGCACAAGTTAAGATCGATATTGGAAATAATACTAATACTTGCATTTGATATATCGTCGTCGAGATGCTCAAAGTGCTTTACAGAATATACAGTGAAGTGGAGTGACTGTGTATTTTGTGGGCGAAACGTGGCAGCCGGTTCTGCACAGCAGGGTCCCACAAACAGCCGTGGAGCGAGTGAGCAATTTTATTTTCGGGGGGAAGATTATTCGCCAGTAATAGCGAGAGCAAGAAACTCCCTTCTCATTTTTCGAATAGCGCAGCGAGACCTTTAACATCCATCTGAACAGGCAGATGAGACCTTGGTTTAACGTCTCATCCGAAGGACGGATGGATGTGGTTTAACGGTGGAAACACAGACACAGAGAGGCGATTCATGGGAGGAGACATAGAGAAGCAAAGAGCCCTCCAAGGACATACAAGAAAAAGACGCAACAATCCATTAGGAAGGCTGGCTGAGATGAAGGCTAAGTGATTCAGAAGGCTGCCTGCACTGAAGGAATTTGATGGATGGAGAACAGCAGGCAGTGTTGGGCAATGATCTCATCCCAGTAATTCGTTTTTTTAGCAAACACAATTACTCTGAGAACCATTAACCTTTTGCTTCTCAGTAACTTGTTCCCAAACAACATACCGCAGTGACACAAAGACGTGGGCTTGGTGTGGGGAGGTGGGGGAGGGAAATGAGACAATTCTTTAGCAATTCTGCAGACTCAATTCTGGCCACGTGCCTCAGACGTGGTATATCATGGTAGACACCAACATCGACCTTGGCGTTCTGCCTCCACTTACTGTAATGGGCCTGTTGGCTCACACACTGCAGATGGCAATTACTTCAATAAACATTTAGCTCTGTATGCGGCAAAGCATTTTGTTAAACGCAGGACTTGGTAAAAAAAAAAGGGCAATGTTTTGAGTTAACATCGTGACATTGGCCGTTGTGCGGAGTCTCATGGAGTTGAGGCCGGACGCTGGGAACAGGCAAGCTGTCACTTTAATAACCGAGCTGTTAGTTCAGGTACGGTGATCATCTGCATCACAGTGGCAATTGGGAATAAGCTTGTACCAGCACACCTTCTCGATGAATGATTCAAGAAAGCGATCCACCCATTGACTAACAACGGGGTTCTAACTTATCTAAGGTTTTGCCCTGCCTGGGAATCGAACCCGGGTCCTCTCGCTTGCGAGGCGAGTGCACTAACCACTACACTACAGGATTCCAACTGCCCATTACACTGTTTATAAAGCAATGCTTCCTTGGCGTTTGTCCTTCACAAGCAGCACTGCAGAGAGTGTGTTCGCTGCAGATCACAACGCCTGATCCATTTACCTCGAAGGAACAGAGGAAACACACCCCCCGCGCCCCCAAAATGGGACCATTGACAAAACTGCTCTTGAGCGACTGCCGATTGAGAAATGCTTTTTGATTTATGGAGCAATTTAATGGCGTCAACACGAAGCTATCTGCCATGTAAGGATTATTGGAGTCCTGTAGCTCAGTGGTTAGAGCACTCGCCTTGCAAGCGAGAGACCTGGGTTCAATTCCAGGCAGAGGGCGAAACCTTGGATTTCCTTACTCCACACAGAGCCTAATAATAATCTCCCCAAAACATAAAACAATAATAAATTGGTCATTTTCAATCCACGACTGTCTGTGGGACACTGCTGTGCGCAATTAGCTGCCACGTTTTGCCCACAAATATACAGTCAATTCACTTTACAGCATATTCTGTGAAGCGCTTTGAGACGTCTAGAAGATGTGAAAAGCGCTATATCAAATGCAAGGATTATTATTATTGTTATTATACCTTAGGAAAAATTGATTAGACGCATCACGCATTAACTGCCAAAAGATTTCTTAACACCTGTGTTTCAAAAAGTCTTTATGTGCGACACTGTACACGTGTGAGTCACAAAGCAGCACAGTTCTAAACGGTGAAAGTTTTACACCTTAACAAATGTACAAATCCTAATACTCACCCCGCCCATAGGGCTGGGAGGTCTTGTTCATCTGAGCTAATGGGGCATTCACCACCACAGCCAGAGGGGTGGTAAGGAGAGAGAGACAGAGAGAGAGAGAGAGAGGGAGAGAGGGAATGTGAAAGAGAGACATGTGTCAGTAATGGAGAGCAGTAACAAATCGGAAAGCACTTTAGTATTAAACAAAAGCATTGCGTGTCACAGACACACACACGCGCGAAACAACTGGGTTAAAAATTAAAGAGAAGTCAGGAGGCAGGAAATTTGCAAAGGGAATTTGGATCACGGAGAAATATTGACGAGGACATTGAGAGAATGGCCTGTAATTTTTCAACATAATTACTGAGAGATCCGAACAGGCCGATGGGATCTTGGGTTATGGTCTCATTGTAAAGGATGTCCCCACAACCCAGCCCTGTACTGAAGCGTTAGCTCGGATAACCAGGGTCACAAACGGTGGAAAAAAATACACACGGCAAAAGGTACAGCAGCCGATACTGAGCGCAAACTCTCAAACCACCCGGCAATTAAACCGGGGCTTTAACCAAAGTGAACTTCTGCCAGCGAGAACCAGGAATAAGTTTCTTATTACAAAAAAGTCATTGTCTTTAAGCGAGTAAACGCGACGCGGCCCCTTCAACACCTCACTTACCACACGCTTGCCTGTAGGCGTTGGCCTGAACGTACAGCACGTACAAGGGAGGGGGCAGGTGTCTGGCCACTTCGTACTGTTTGTGAGCTTGGTCGTACGGCATTGACAGGTACTCCTGCACCGGCAAGGAAGCCTGAGTGAAACAGTGAGAGACAATCAGAGCAGCTCGGGTGCTGGTCAGTACAGAACGCGCCCTTTGGTCAAGGCAGCAGAGCTCGATATCCACAACAACAACTTGCATTTACGTAGCGTCCCGCACGCAGGGAGTGTCTCTGAGCGCTTGAGAGCGGCGGAGCCTGACCCCGCAACAACAATGTGCAATTATCTCACGCCTTTCACTGAGACTAGAGCAAGCCTCAAGACAATGCAAACTTACACTTACACATCGGGTGAACATCACAAAGCGCTCCACGATCCGATCTGGGTGGGGGAGGGACGACCAAAAGCGTGGTCAAGGAGGCGCATCTTGAGACGGACCTCGAACGAGGCGAGGGAGGGAGGGAGGGAGGGAGGGAATGAGTCAGAGGAACGGTCTTGGGAGCGATTTACAGAGATGGTGCTGGACATTGAGCAGGGAAGATTGAGGGAGCGTGTACGTGGGAAGGCAACGACAGGCCCGGTTGAAGACAAGGGACAAGGAGATGGAGTGTGTGGGGTAGGGGTAGGAGGAGAGAGAATTAATTCCCACACTGGACCTGAGATGCGATGAGTTTCCATGACTGGTTGGGGTGGAAGCCATGTGGAAACCAGAGGGGAGGGCGCCCTCTCCTGGAAACTAGAGGTAAGAGAAGCCCGGCTGAGAAGATAAGATTCTCCGCAAACCTGCATGATGTTCGTGAGCCTCGGCTGGAGGCTGCTCAGATATTCCTTTTTGATGTCAATGTCCTTCAGGATTTTCTCCTTGCTGGTGAGCGACTCTTTATATTGTTCCGCCAACCTACGAACGATAAGCGGCGAAACAAATACACAGACTTAGTAAAACCAAAGAGTTTGGTCGCTCAATCCACAACCACCACCACCACCACCACCGCAACAGCTTGGATTTATAGAGCGCCCTCCACGCCGGATGGCGTCTCAGAGCGCTTAGGCTGTTTGTGAGACACCGCCCACAAAATACACAGTCAATCCACTTTACAATATATCCTGTGAAACGCCTTGAGGCGTCTCAACGACGTGTTGAGGTGCTGTATCAAACACAACAATTATTATTATTATTCGGGTAGATGAATGAATGAATGCATCATTGAGGCCAAATGAATGAATCACCTCTTTCTCTGTTCCAGCTCCCAATCCAGCCGGGCCAAGGTCTGCTGGTGAGGGTCATTCGTGGTGAAAGTCGGCTTACTGATCTCCAGAGGGGCACACTGGTAAAACTCCTCTACATTCACCAGGTCAATCTCTTCATGCTTGGATCTAAAGGCCGGGGGGGGAGGGGAAGAGGAGGGAAGAAAAGGGAGAGGACGAAAACAATGAGTAAACAAAGGAATATTATCCAGAAGGCAATTGATGGTGCAGCGTTTAGAGACGGAATATCTGACAGACGAGATCTTACTTGAACTCCAAGCACTTGGTGATCTCCTTCTGCAGGTGCATCACCTCGTACAGCAGGTTCTGCAGCTGGAGGTGAAGAGCGTCCACTTTTGTTTGGCCTGGAAGAGAAACATCTGGTTATATCAAAGATCTAGATGAGGACATCGAAGTTAATATACCTAAATTCACGGATGACACAAAACTAGGAGGAAGTGTCAACACAGAGGACGACATTAAAAAAATGCAGCGCGATAGGTAAGTTGATTGGGCAGGTAGGTGGCAGATGAAGTATAATGTAGGGAAGTGTGAAGTCATCCACCTCGGGAGCAAAAACAGTAGAGCAGATTGTTTTTTTTAGAAGGGGAGAGATTGGAATGTGTTAGCGTCCAGAGGGCCTCGGGTGTCCTTGTACACCAATCACAGAAAGTTAGTCTGCAGCTGCAGCAGCAATTAGGAAGGGGAACGGTATGTTAGCATTCATTATGAAAAGATTAGAGTATAAGAGTAGGGAAGTCTTGCTGCAACTGCATAGGGCTCTGGTGAGACCACACCTGGAATACTGTGTGCAGTTTTGGTCTCCTTATTTAAGGAAGGATGTACTTGCCTTGGAGGGGGTGCAGCGTAGATTTATTAGGTTAGTGCCAGGGATGAATTACGAGGACAGGCTGACCAATTTGGGCCTATATTCTCTAGAATATAGAAGAATTTGAGGGGATCTTATAGAAACCTATAAGACCATCAAAAGGCATGATAGAGTAGATAGTGGGAGATTGTTTCCCCTGGTTGGAGAAACTAAAACCAGGAGTCACAACCTTAAAATCAGAGGCCAGCCCTTTCGCACTGAGTTGAGGAAGAACTTCTTCACTCAAAGGGTGGTGAATGTATGGAACTCACTACCCCAAAGGGCTGTTGACGCTCAGCCCTTGAACATATTCAAGACTGAGATAGATAGATTTCTTATTGCAAAGAAAATTAAGTGATACGGGGATAAGGCAGGGTCAGTTATGAGCTGGAGTTAGATTAGAAGATCAGCCATGATTGAATGGCGGGGAGGCTCGAAGGACCGAATGGTCTATTCCTGCTCCTACATGTTATGAGGGTTTTCCCAAGCGCACATCTGACCTGCCCGTTTGCTCCCACACATCTGGCCATCGCTCTGATAATTTTTACCTCATGGGTTTGATCTCGACCCTTTTTTAGCCTGATGTGAGCCAAACGGTTTAACTTCTTCAAAGTCATGAAGTGAATGCAGCTCTGGATCCGCCGCTCATCGATCTCAGCCGACTGCGGGACGAGAAGAGGGGGTTAGAGAACACGGGTACGAGAGCCTGATATAGCGCGAGTCTGCTTATACCGCGCTTGGACAGCAATACGTGTTACACTTCTGGCTTCCGGTGCTGAATAGATAAAAGTTCCCAGTGAAGGAGCAATTCTCACTGCAGCAGCCAGAGCAACGTTAGGTTAAAAGAATTTTGACATTTTAATCTCAGAAACGAAAGCTTTGCTCACGGTGTCTTTGGCTCCTTTACTCTTCAGCTCGTGTATCTCAGCCATCAGTCTTTGAAGGTCGTCGCAGGTTTTCTTGTACAAATCGTAATCTTTCGCTGGGTCCCGCGTCTCCACCTCCCCTTCCTCAGTGTATGTTTTAGTCTCCTAGAAGAAGTACAACTTCCCTTTCAATACAATTCAAACCTCATTACACTGAATCTGCAGCATTGAGACGGGCCATTTGGCCCAACCTGTCCTTGCTGGTGTTTATGCTCCACGTGAGACTTCACCCCCTCCTAATGCCTGCTCCCAAGCCCTGCTTCCCCCCCGACCCCATATCACCCCCTATCCCCTTCTCTCTCGCGTATACTCGGGTCAGCCTGGCTCAGTGGTAGCGCTCTCGCCTCTGGATCAGAAAGTTGTGGGTTCAAGCCCCACGTCGGGAATTCGAATCGCAAAGTCGAAACTGGTACTCCAGTGCAGTTCTGGGGAGTGTGTTGGGTCATCGGAGCCGCCGTCCCTTTGGGTTCGATGTTAAACCAAGGCCCCGTCGTCTGCCGGTTTCAAGTGGATTTTAAAGATCGAAAAGATCGAAAAATCGCTCACTCCATGTGGGACGCTGCTGTGCACCATCGGCTGCCGCTGTCCCCCCGCGAAATACGCAGTGAGACTACTTTACGGAATAACCTACGAAGCACTTTCGAGATGTCTCGACGACGTCAAGCGCGAGGAATATAATATTAAGAGGAACTGAAAGACCAATTTTAGCGGGGAAACTCTTTGAAGCCATTGCGACATTACGAGGCGTGGATTTTTATCTAAAATAAAGAAGTAAATAAGCGGCCCCCACCCCCAGCCCCAGCGTGTCCCCAAACACTCAATGCGTTTACATCTAAAAAGGTCAGTAACTGTCATTAATAATAATGGTATCATCTAAAAGGGCAATAATTTTATTGTTATTAACAATATTATGATCTAAAAGGACAATAAATTTAAGGTAAAAATAAAGGAATAAAATGACTGGATTCTCTCTCACTGAGTCCGGTCCCGGCTCTCCTGCCTTTACTTTCAATCACCCCCCACTCTCCCCCCCCCCACAACCCCCCCCCCCACACCCCCCAACCTCCCCCCCACACCCCCAACCCCCCCCCCCACACACCCCCCACTCTCCCCCCACACACCCCCCACTCTCCCCCCCCCACACACCCCCACTCTCCCCCCCCACACACCCCCCCCCCCCCACTCTCCCCCCCCCACACCCCCCACTCTCCCCCCCACACCCCCCCACCTCCCCCCCCCCCACACACCCCCCACTCTCCCCCACACACACCCCCCACTCTCCCCCCACACACCCCCCACTCTCCCCCCCCCACACACCCCCACTCTCCCCCCACACACCCCCACTCCCCCCCACACCCCCCCACTCTCCCCCACACACACCCCCCACTCTCCCCCCCCCACCCCCCCCACTCTCCCCCCCACCCCCCCCCCACACACCCCCCACTCTCCCCCCCCCCCCACCTCCCCCCACTCTCCCCCCCCCACACCCCCCACTCTCCCCCCCCCCACACACCCCCCACTCTCCCCTCCCACACCCCCACTCTCCCCCTCCCACACCCCCCACCCCCCCCCACCCCCCCCCCCCCCACCCCTCCCCCCCCCACCCAAAAAAATAGAAATAATTGAAAAAAAGACATCGAATGAAACACAGTCACACACCACCAGTGGTGACTGACGGTTATTCTCCGCTCCGCGTCGCCGCTGATTTTGAAGCCACGTTTTTCCAGTGGTTCCCACCGCGACCTCAGCCCCGAGGCCTCATCCAGACCTCGGCCTCGAGTACCAACCACCGCCCGCTCCCCCTCCCCCTCCCCCTCTCCCCCTCCCCGCGGGGCCGCTGACCTGCTCGCCATCGCCCCGAAGCTTCTTGGCCTCTTTCTCCGCCCCCACCGCCGCTCCGCTGTCGCTCCGAATCACTTTGGTTTTCCTTTTCTTCGTCGACTCGCCGGACATTGCGCTTCGACCCGCGACCGACCGACCGACCGACCAACCGCCGGCAACTTCACCACCGCCAGCAGCGCCCGTTATGTCCGCCAGGCGGCGCTGTGACTCCCACTAGCGGTGTAGTTCCTCCCCCTGACCGCCAGGCGGCGCTGTGACTCCCACTAGCGGTGTAGTTCCTCCCCCTGACCGCCAGGCGGCGCTGTGACTCCCACTGGCGGTATAGTTCCTCCCCCTGACCGCCGGGCGGCGCTGTGACTCCCACTAGAGCTGTAGTTCCGCGCTCTGCCCACCAGGTGTCGCTGTGTCGCTACTGGCTCCCCCCCCCCACCCCGTGACGCGTGACGCTGCACTGCTCTGTGCACCAGGTCCACAAGAGTGGCTGAAGGTCTCAGGGTGATTAATCTCTCTTCTCATTCTGGAACAGTCTTCCTCTATCCCCCCGCTTGCTCCCTCCTTCCCCATCGTCAGGTCGTGCCTGAAGACCTTCCACTTCGACAGTGCCTACGGTCACCTCCCCTCTCCCTCCCCCCCAGCTTGACATCGTGCTCCGCCACTGTCAAGCGCTCTGGGGTGCTACCTTTGCGTGAGGCGTGCTGTATAAATGCAAGTTGTTGTTGTTGTTGCCAGTCACTCGGTGTTGCAGGCGTATTGGAGAAACCTTACGGTCACTTGACCTCGCGTGACCCTGAAAACTTCTGGACCTCAGGGCAGTGGATGACGGAACGTAAAGGAGGTTCTGATGTGGGTAGGTGCGGTGTCTCCCTTCCCTTCACGTCATGGGCAGAACTGGAGGGAGACGTTACATTATTCCTCACAGCAAAACTGCAAACCCCTGCACTGTACAGTATCTTGGGACGTCCTCCAGACGTGAAAGATGATTTATAAATAGGAACAGGGGTAGGCGTGTAGAGTGAGGTAACTCGCCAAGAAAGGTTTCGCCCGGCCTGGGAATCGAACCCCGTGAGGCGAGCGCACTACCTAACCACTACGCTACGGGATTCCATTCTTGTATAATCATTAAGCAACAACTTACAATTGCACACGTTTAATAATCAAAAGGGTCGACATTTCAAGTCTGTTTAAAAAAAAAACTGCACGGCTGTGTGTTACCACAACATGGTCCACAAACATGGTCTGTGTGGTTCCACTCCAGCTGGTGGTACTGAGACTGTTGCCAAACAACAGCCTGATGGAAGTTACAAACTATACGGCTTCAAATGGTTCACCTCGGCAACAGACTCCAACATGACACTAACGTTAGCCAGGATCATGGACGAACAGGGATCCACTTTGGAGGTAACAATAATAATCCTTTCATTTGATATAGCGCCTTATCACGTCAACGAGACATCTCAAAGAGGTAGTGCAAAGAGCAGCAAAATCACGAACCTTCAGAGTATTTTCCTACTTGGTCGTTTCCATTTTTTTTCCAATAATCCCTTCTCAAGAAAGAAATTTGGTACTCAATCCACGACTGTTTGTGGGACACTGCTATGAGCAATTCACAGGAAAAACATGTGCCCACAGACACGCACAAAAGCACACACGTACTATGGGGTCCTCAAGCCCTGGCTCCAGCCAACCTGTGCCTAATACTTTCCGGAATTAGGTAAGCAGGATGCACACTCCATTCGAACAATCTATCGCTCGAATTTCCATGCGTAGTTGGGACGAATGGAATTCTCAGTTTGGTTTGGAGACTCTTAAGTACGGTGATGGGTTTCCACGTGTGTCTGACACCCGGCTGATTAAAAACACGCACACAGACACACAGACACACACACAGATTGCAGTTTCCGAAGTGTACTCACCACGTTGACTGCAGAATTCAAAGAGCTGCCACAGTGCCAGGTGGATGAGAGGAACAAGCTTCTTAGGTTTGCTTTGGATTGCAGGGGACAAGAGGGCTGACGCTGTTCTACGTGGAGATGAGGGATGAGGACGGAAAGCTCAACCACATTGAGGTTCAGAGACTGAAGGACAAGCTGGGCACACGCCAAGTACCCACTGCAGAGCTCCTTCTGGATGGAGCCAAGGCATACAAGGTTGGTAACTTGGGATGTCCTCCTGATGTGAAAGGCGCTATACAAATGTAGGTTGTTGTTGTAACAGCTGGACAGACAATTTGGGTTGAAGTAGCCATTTTAAACACCTTTAATACTGAGATATTAAATAGGCCGTGGATAAATGCATCCTGAAATAACCGCTTTTATGCTGTTCGTCACCTCCCGCCTCGACTATTCAAATGCCCTCCTTGCAGGTCTTGCAGCTCCACCATCCACAAAATCCAGCCGATCCAAAACTCCTGTGTCCACATACTCGTCGAAAGGATCAATTTCAAGATCCTCTCATTCGTCTTAAAATCCCTTCATGCCCTGGCATCTCCCTACCTCTCCGACCTGCTTACTCCCCGCTCTACTAACCGCTGCCTGCGCTTGACTGGCTCTGGCCTCCTACATCAGAGGCTGCGCTTTCAGCTACTAGACCCTGAAACTCTCCCTCTATTCCTCCGCCTTGCCCCTACTTTCCCCATATTTAGATCGCGTTTGAAGACCTTCCTTTTTGACCGTGCTTATGTTCACCTCCCCTCTCCCCCCTCCTCGAGGTCGTGCTCTGCCACCGTCAAGCACTCTGGGACACTATATAAATGCAAGCCATTGTTGTTGATTAACTTAATCTGCTCTAAGCACTATACAGTCTGCCTGCAGTGTAGTGACTGTGGTGTCCCCGCAGGTGTCAGCAGAGGGCCGGGGAGTGGCCTCCATCGCCAACATGCTGACCATAACCCGGGTACACAACGTCATCGCAGCAGCTGGAGTTATGCGAAGGTAGGAACACCTATCTTAAGCAGAGTCGGGACTGGGAACCCATATGGTTGCTGTGCTCCGATCCAGTGCTGCAATGTTGGAGGCGCCGTCCCTCGGATGAGACATTAAAGCGAGTTTCCCGTCTTCCTGTTCAGGTGGACGTTTAAGGTCCCACGTCGCTATTCGAAAAGAGAAGGGAGTTTCTCTCTCTCCTGTGTCCTGGCCAACAATCTCCCCGAAATAAAATTGGTCATTCACTCTGTAGCTGTGTGTGGGACATTGCTGTGCACGAATTGGCTGCTGCATTTGACCACAAAACATATGTGGCTCCGCTTTACAGAATATCCTGCAAAGCGCTTTGGGACGTTCTCCCGATGTGAAAGACGCAAGTTCAGAAAGGCTGAAGACATTTTTCAAGCATGGACTATTGTTACTTTCAAACCCACCCCCTGTTGTTATGTTGAAGAGGGAAGGCAAAGATGTGTTATTGGGATCAGATAACATGAGCTATTAATTCTTCTAACCCACTATTAAAAGTGATTAGGAACAAATCTCAATTGATGTTGGAGCAGCAATTCACTGCAATACCTCCCAGCCGCTGATGTATTCCTCTCAATTTTGCCTACCTAGAATAATTAATCTGGGGAGAACATATGCCACTAAACGGTTTGTCTTTGGCAAGTTCGTCAAAGATCATCCTCTGCACGTCCAGACCATGGCAAGAATGGAGGTAAGCATCAAACCCAGAGAACCTGCAGACCTTTGTGTGTGGGTATGTGTGTGTGTGTGACTCATCGGTCACCCTTCTACCCCTACCCTCCCTGCCCTCCATCCCCTCCTGATCCAACCCCGGGCTCGGGTCCAAACCCTTGACTGTCCAGAGCCTTGGGATGTCCTCCCGACGTGAAAAGCGCTTTGTTGTTGTTGTCGTGGTCCAAGTGACGCCCCGATATAGCCAAAGTAGTCGTTTATAAAGGATCACTAAAGGGTCAGAGTACAGGTTTAGGCACCGGGATTAGGTCACCTGTTCATGTGTTTTGCATCTCTGGTCTATGCAGAAACATGTAGAAACATTAAAAGGTCAAAGAAAGAACTTACAACAAGGGGGATTGCCGATTTCATTTCCGCTCAGCAAACAATTGGCAAATAAACGGACCTTTTTTTCTCCTGAGACACCAGCATTTGTAAAGGGTATTTGTAAAGGATTAGGGCCAAAGTTGGGTCATTGGAGTTGACGTACAGTTCAACCATGATCTAGTAGAATGTCGGAACAGGCTCGAGGGGCTGAATGGCCTCCTCTTGTTCCTATGTGTGGTCTTCTCTGTTCACAGGTTGAGGCTCGTGGAGCTTTTCTGCTGCTGATGGAAGTGGCTCGTTTGCTGGGTCTTGAGGAAACCGCATTGGCTTCGGAGCAGGATCTGCACATCCTTCGTCTTCTCGCTCCGGTTGTAAAATTGTACACCGGCAAACAGGTACTGTATTGCTACCTTAATAAACCCTGCGTTATGAAGGGAGGGCTTTTTTCCCCCAACCACACGTAGCTCACAGTGATCTGAACTTCAACCACGTCTCAACACAAAAGGTTTCTCATGCTGCTTGCGATTGGCTGGCACGTTTGGTCACTCAATCGTCGAGATGTCTCAAAGCACTTCACAGGCTGCAAAGTGGTGCAACTGCATATTTCGTGGGCGAATGCAGCAGCCAGGTTTGCTCACAGCGACATCTCGCCAACAACCATGGAGCGAGTGACCGATTTTATTTTTGCGGGATCACAACATTTAAGTTTATATACCATAAACCTTGTGTTCTTTACTAGGCTGTTGCTGTGGTTTCCGAGGGGTTAGAATGCTTTGGTGGACAGGGTTACATCGAGGACACTGGACTCCCAGTGCTGCTGAGGGATGCCCAGGTAAGGAACACAAGTTAAATTCATTAAGGTGAGCTTTGAACTTTGGGCTTGCACACACTTGGAGCTGAGCATACGGACTATACTGTATAAGGAACCATTAATGCTTTCATATTGTAGTTGGAGTATCATTTCGCCCACAAAATATACAGTCAGTTCACTTTACACAGTGAAGCACTTTTGAGACTTGAGTGTCGAACACAGGATAAGGCACTATATCAATGATTATAAATGCTCGTCTGTGCAAGTTTGGCTTATACATTTTTTCTGAATACTGCCAGTCTTGTCTATTGCCAGCAACTCTCTGCTAGTGTAAGCAAGTTGAAAGTTTAAAGGAACTCTTCAATTACTTTCGGGATCAAAAGACTTTTGGGACAACTGATGAAAATTAAAGATCCATCCGTTTTGATGTTATTCACTTTATTCCTCAGGTCCTCAGCATCTGGGAAGGTACTACCAACGTTCTGGCTTTGGATGTGCTACGTTCTCTCGCCAAGAGTCAAGGGAAGGTTTTGGAGTTTTTTTCCTTGGATGTAAAAGTAAGTTGGAACGTATCCTGTGCAATTCATCCCTCTGCACATCACTCATGGCACTGCGTTGAAAGCCTACGTACTCTCGCATTTCACAATCCTTTTACAGGTTAAACTGCAAGCAGCCTCTAAAAACACCGAGTTGATCTCCTCAATAGAACGTGTAGAGAGCAGCCTCCACGCACACGAGCAGTTTGCACAGAAAGCCGCTGGGAGAGACGCTTCTTTCATGGAAGTGGCAGCCAGAGATTTTGCTTACGGCCTGGCGAGAATTTATGCAGGTAAGATATTAACATTAAATTGACGCCGGATTGCAAATCATCTAGTCTAATATACAAATGGAAATAGACTCCTGTATAGTCCGATTCACATTAAGCACGCTATGTAGGCTAGTGTCCGAATCACTTCTCTTTGCTTAAAGTAGGTATTAGCTACAGGCTCGTGTAACAGTTGAGACTTGTCTAACGCAGAAAATAATGCGCTGTGTTGGTTCACAAATAAAATTGAGTACTTATCTGACTATGACGAGGACATGAACCAATTCTTTAATTCCTTCACTTCAGTCCTGACAGATGTCCAGGAGAAAGCATTTTGACATCCTTTCAATCCTATTGTACCTTCTGTGTATTGCATTAGCTTTTTGAACATTAAATTGCTTTTGAACTTAACATTGCAGGCACTCTCCTCTTGGAACACGCTGCCTGGATAGGAGCTACTCCTATGGATGTCTATGCTGCTCAAAAGTAAGTTATAAATAAAACCTGTCAGTGATTTTCCTTATATACCGCAAGTTTCAATAGGAGCAAAAAAATTTTTTAAAATACAAAAAACTCCCCCACCCCCCCTCTCTAAATGGGAGCTTTACATTACAAGTTACATTTATATGGTGCCTTTCATTTAGTAGGATATCTCAGAGTGCTTTACAGGACTAGATAGGCTCCCAAGCTGGGCGTGGTATGAATGGTTCTTTGATAGGATAAACTCAACCTTGCCTTTAACAATGAGCACTTTGTTTTCTTTAAAACAAAACTTCCTGTGACTGTACATGATCCAATTGCCCTCTCCAATTGGACACTTACAAGTTTGAAACGCCTTAGTTTTCACTGCTACAGTGACGTACTGTGTTTGATAACTAGAAATCTTTTCTGTGAACTTGCCTTCACTGCAAATGAACATGGCTGTTAAACCAAAGCATGTGTTTCCGTGGATATAGTCGTACTTCATGATGGCGGCCAAGACGTCAATGCCAAACTGTGCACCACAAACGAGGATGAAATGTTAACAGTTTCTTCTCTTCTCCAGGTGGTGTGAACAGGATTTGTGCCCTATGCTCACTGCAGATAAACATGGCTGTTACACTGAATCACGCATCGCCATGGATTTAGCTTTGCTTTACGACAGAAGCCCAGATGTCAGTGCCTAACTCTGAAGGCTGCACTTAATACCACTTTGAAAGAAAACAAAATACTCTATATACAAAAGTGCCTGGTTAGCAAAAGATAATCAAAACTAATGTGTTAAATTCAGAAACAACAACTTGCATTTATATAGCGACTTTCATCTCCCAAAGCACTGGGATTTTTGTTAATGGTAAACAGTTACCGTTAATGGTAAACATCAATTACCGTAATGGGTAATCTTTATAACTCTTGATCATAACAAAGAAACTGGATTTGTTTCAATTGAAAACTAAAAAACGCGGCTAATTTAGTTTGAAGAAATGTACTGAACTTCAGTTTAAACTTAAAAAAAATCTTAAGCAAAAGAGGTCATTGACTGCTTTCTCTAAGCACTGAGAAGGAGGGATACAATGAAAAAGCACCACATTTCATCAAAAAATGTCGGAATTGGTGAATCTCAACAGAACTGTTATCCCTCTTCCAATCTCTCCCCCCCCCCATATGTTAACACGATTATTTACCCATGAATATTATGAAATTTACAAGAAACAGCCTAAGTTCTGTATTCAGATGCAAATGTTTTTAATTACAGTATAAACCTACATTTTTCCAACACTCACTTTTGACATAACACTTTTCAAGTCAAGAGGATGTCTTAAAGAGTTTCACAGGATTTTATTGTAAAGTGTAATGACCATCCGTGTGTCATTATGTAGTCAAACGCGGCAGCTGAGAGTGTGGTTGGTGAAGAGAAACATGACTGAGCTGAAAGGATTGTTAACCTGGGAACAGCAGATCAATAAAAAACAGACTCCCAAGTTTGAGATGAAACATATATGAAAATGACAAATTTATTTAGATTTAAATAAATCATTCTGAGGCTACAGAAAGAGTATATGCCATGAAAGCTTACAAACAGGTAAGCGCTACATTTTTCCAACACCCAGCTTTGTGGTATCGTTTCTTAAAAGCAATTAAAGTCTGGCTTTAAGTGCTACTTTATAAGTTCCACTTGAGTGTACAATCAGAAGTATGTACCATTACCATCGAGGGATAACAGTCATTTAACGAAGGATAAGAGAAAGAAAAAAAACAGGTCAGACTGTTCAAAAATAAGTTTAGCAGCATTTCAACTTTTTAGTTCCAAACCCCAGCGAATCAACACATTCAGCTTGCATGAGATCAAGCACCAAGGATGAAGTGTATTCTTAAATTCAAGTCAAACAACGTGAAAAAAAATTACAATATATATTTATTTGTTTAGTAAAATGTGGTAATATATTATCAACAAAGCAACTAAAGAAATGATAAAGTGCAGTCTCTCATATCAGGTTACCACTAACAAAAAAAAGCATTAAAAATAAATTGATTTTCTGCATGGATGGGCTGTCATTTCATATAGTACTATTTGGTGTGATGGGTTTACTCGTGTGCTTTAAAAATAGTTAGTCGCTTTAAAAATGCACAAATGATTCCAGAATAAATCAAAAGCACAGCAAAGGTAAAAATCCCCAGCCCCAATTTTACATTACAATAGGTAGAGCTGGGTTGGGTTATTTATGTTTGTTACAAACATCACTTTGCTTTATGGCCCTAAAATGGACCTTTAATGCACCTGGGAGGCAGAATATGCTCTCACAAGTGGTGGGGGAAGGCTCAGGGCGGTTTGGAAAGCAAATGGCTGATGCTAAAATGTCTGCAGTCCAAATTTTGCTGCAATGATTGTTCATTTGTCGAACAGTTTAAAATAAGTAGGGAGAAAGAGAAAAGCACACTTCATGGCTCATTCTTAAACACCCAATCACTAGGTTAAATTTCAAAGTCGGGGTGGGTGGGGAAAAGCACTTGGTGTTTCATTTTTAACCTGTATATTCAACCGGCCAAATATGATTAACCACTGTTCAACTATTACTAACAAAGTAACAAAATTGATAAGACAGTTAGCGTAAGCTTTATACAGATGTTGAAGTTTGAAGTTTCTTTAAAAACATCTACTTTTTTTTAAAAAAAACAAAACTTGGGAGAAATCTCACGCTGGGGGTGGGGGCAAGGAACACTCAAGTCATTTAGGAGAGAATGCTATGTGGCTAGCAACAGCATTTTGTCCTCTTTTATGAAGAGAAAAAAAGTGCTTAAATGAAAGAAACAAAATGACAAAAATCGTCAAAAATGCATTTACAACACAATCCCCTGCAACCCGTATCATACCAATTGGCACCTACAGCATCTAGAACTTCTGTCTCAGTTCTTGACCTCCTCTAACCTTCCTTCGCATTTCAGAATCATAGCAGTAAAAGGTTTATTCACCAGGCTCGAAAGAAACCCTGTTTCTAAGAGTAGACGACCAAAAAAAAACTTTTGAGCTCACATACATTGTGTAAACAAAGCTTAAAACATCTCATTCCTTCAATACCCATCAGTCCACAGTAAATTCAATTCGCTTCAACCATAGGGCATTTATAATACTTCTCTGTACATGCCAAACTCTTAATTTGTTTCATTAAAAAGGACGATAATTAACACTGATCTATATTTTAAGATTTTACAAATATTCAATTAAGCATTTAGAGGGAGTACTGTGCTGATGCAAATTGTCCAACAAAATCTGCTTACCGCTGCTGCAAGTCTAAGGCCTTTGGTTAATACAGTAATGTACTGTACTGCCCGCTCTGTTCCAATTGCCACAAGCCACCAGAAATAAAATTTCCAACTAGCTTTAAAGTTATCCCATTCAAATATGACTCCATCCACCACATCCTGATAGAACCTCCAAGCAATACTGTGCATCCAGTCCTGTCTCAAATGCACAGTAACCCAAAGTGCTTGGCTTCTGATGCATTTTTCTCTTAAGTGTGCGTGTTTGTGGGAGGAAAAAGGCATTGGTGCCCTATTTTAGTTTGAAGAAGCTGCAATGGGTTTGTCCAGTTCTATCTCCAACGTAGATCCATTGGGCTGAAGGCTGTTATGGCAGGACTTGCACACACGGCTAGGCTCAAACAGCTGCTGACTGGGCACTGGGATCTTCTGGTTGCAGCAATTTGAACAGAACACGTTCCCACAATTCCTTTAGGAAGACAAAAAGGAAAATGGAATTAACTATTTGGTTCAATCTTTTTAAAACACTATTTGTGGTAAACTTCAAAAAAGGATTCGTGCTCATCTTCCTAAATGTGGAGAAAAATGTTTAGCTAACAAACCATTAATGAAAGCACATGCTTTAAAGTTACTCAACACATTTGCATTCAAAGAAAGACAAATTAAAGGAAAACTATTTTAAGTCTGAAATTCTTTCCCGTTCTTTCCATCCTCCCAAGAGTGGTTTCAGAATGGCCCAAAAAGCCCTAATATGTATTACTTCTCTTTGGAGGATTCTGAAAATCTCAACGGTGAAGCCATTCCATGCAGCACAGCACAAAGTTCAATACTCTTCTTAACAGCCCTCTTAAAATGGAATTAAGCTTAAAAAAAATTACATTCATGTACTCTCCATTTTTGTGAGGTTTTACTTATTCTCCTGGCCTGGTCACACTTCACATTCACTTGATTAACCCACTGGATCACATTGAAAATGCCTTTTCTCCTTGCTGAGAAATAAAAGTAAATGGAACGACCAAGGAATTGATTCCTGTACAAGGGTCCCCTGTGTTAGCTTTACTGCCTGAAGGTGGTAGTGGTGCTTTGTGGAGGAAATCGGGAGCATGCAGTAATCTGTCAATAACTGCTAGGGCTTATAGAAACCATGTGGTGTAAATAAGTAAGCAATATCTTTCTAATCAAAGGAACAAGAAACAGACAGAAACATTCACAGCAATTAAATGGAGTAACAAATCAAGAGCAGTGAAAGGTGCAATTTCACCATTGGGGTTTGCATTCTCTCGACCTAAGGAGCAAACGTTTTATTCACAGCTAGAAAACATCATTTTGTTGCATTATACTGTAATTATGTACTGCTCTGATAAAAGTCTACACATACACAAGTATGAGTAATGAGGCATTATTTGTAAAACACCAAATAGAATTCATAGCCTGGATCAATAGCACTTGGCAAGACAAGGCCAATAACAATCACCATTAATAATGAAGTCGTTAAGTTCCCTCCTGAGATGTAATCCAGTTTACACTACAATATTGAAAAGAAAATTAGTGTAGATAATGTGGAAATGAGTGACATCCAAGCGCGAGGTAAAGTGCAACAGGAAGTAACATTCAGTATACTTAAATAGCAATTTTCCAATTTCACTTGAAACTGATCAATATTTTCCCCCATCACTTCAAGCTCTTCATCCCACAACTTCAATGAAGCAGTTTGATCAGTTTCTAAAACTTACACCGCCTCGAATGGAAAAAAAATTCTAAACTGAACATGAAATAACTTTGAAATTGAAATGTCCCGAATTTATTTTTTTGACGTTTTGTAGACAACTTAATCCTGTACTTCACCTTCTGGAAATCAGCAAGTCCAAATAAGGGGGAGAACTATGTGTTACAACATTCTGAAACAAATTGTGCTCACTCCAAGTTGCTCAAAGATGCAATACCATAGTTGGGAATATTTTGATTTTTTTTCAACAAAAAATGAGGTAAGTACATTACTTAAGCAGTCATTCACCAGTATAAACAGCATACTGATTTGGCCTGTAGGTGCCAGTTACACATCAAGACTTGTGGAGCCAAAACAGTGTAAAAATGCCGCTCCCTACAATGTTAGGCCATTTGGATCATTTTTAAATGATCAACATTATAAACGTTGCTGCTGCAAAGCACACCTTTACATTTTGTATATGAAGACTGACCCATACATTGCCTGATTTTTAAATGGACTAAAAACCCCATGCGCACAAAACACACACACATTCTGCAGCGATGTAAGAGAGCAGCGGAACTACAACGCTAGCTCGCGTAAAACACTATCAGCACTGAATCTACAGGTCACTGCATTCATGGCATAAAACAAAGGCAACAAAGACTGATTTGTTATTTGTTTGTGTTTCTATCACTTGGGGTCAGAGCAACGTCTCTCTTTGTTGAAGTTCAATGACAAGAACACGGGAATAATTCCTGCACTGAATTCAGTGCCATCATCCACATTGTTACTTCTGAACACAACAGGGAATTTAATTTTTTAATACTTCTAAGGCATTGCATCTAAATGTTTTATTAGATAAAATATTGGGAAGCAAATCATTTTAGTTTTTTTGTACCAAGGCACACACCATCGCAACTAACGGTCAAATTAAACTGTATTGGTGAAAGACCAGAGCAAAGGACACCAATATCTAATAATATTGTTATTCAGATGCTAAAAAGGAAAAAAATGTTTAAAAGCAAAATTATAAAGGTAAGGCAGATAGATGCAAGATTTGTTTTGTAACCAGGATATTATGGCTATTCCATCAGGAAAACAATGCTAAAAATAATCACACACAAGTTAAAAATAAATTCAGATTTTGGAGAAGTAATTAAAATTCCTCAGCTGAAGCTGAACAACTACAATAATAATAATCCTTGCATTTGATATAGGGCTTTTCACACCTTCTAGACGCCTCAAAGCGCTTCACGGAATATGCTGTAAAGTGAATTGACTGTATATTTTGTGGGTGTAACGCAGTAGCCAATTGCACACAGCAGTGTCCCACAAACAGTCATGGATTGAAAATGACCAATTTATTACTGTTTTGTTTTTTTAGAGGGATTATTATTAGACTTTATAAAGGAAATGTCCCTGCGATAATCTCAACCAACATCAATGGCTGAGATTTGCATATACTTTAAAATGGATAGAAACAGCTGAATATACCCTATGGTTAATGCAGCAACAGCAGAAGTGGTTCGTTTAAATAGCCAATTGCACCACCGTGATCTTCCGATCCAATTAGTTCAATCAATTTAATCAAAGATCACAAATAAACTGTTTGGAATGAACACAGTAACAAGTGCTTTAAAATCACCACCAGGAAATGCAGACAGACAAGAGACAGAGATGACTGTTGAAAATGCTCACCGTGTGTCATCAACAGGTTCCCTGTCCCTGCAAGAGGGGAAAAAACAGCTCAGAGCGAAACTAACCAAGGAAAAGGTGCAAATCAGAAGGGCAACAGCATGGGAACACAAGCAAATGGAAGACAATATGCTGGAAATTTCATCATGAAAAGCACACTGAAAACATTCAATCATGAACTCTGCGAAAAAAAGGTTGATCTGTCTCAGTAGAAAGATATTGTGATTTTTTATTTTTCCATAGCACATATATGGGGGCCATTTGGAGTTGCAAGGAAAAACAAATTCACTGAAAAAGAAGCAGTTATCAGAGTGAAATTGTGAAACTATGTACATTGGATCAATTTAATGGTATGTTCAATATTTATTGAGGAACCTAAATCACCTCTGCTGCCTTCCTCTGGAGGTATTTCCTGCCACATCCCTAAATGGGTCTGACTCCAACTTCCAGAGGCCACAGGAGAATGATCCCTTCCTGGAAGTCCAATCCTTTTAGCGTGCCATATCTTTTTAATGTTCTTTCATTTCCATTAATGGCTGGTTAACGTTACAGGGGGAAACCTTTGTTCCACAAGATACCTGTGGTCAGTCAAATGATTCTACGGTAATTGGTAAGGAACGGAGTCATGCCAACACTATCTCACACAGAATGAACTGGATGAAAGGACCAGAAATACTATCTCCGTGATACAGGATTACAAGTTGATTTCCGCACAGTAAAAGATTCAGAACATTTGACAAGAGTTTATATTAGTGGATATACTGCAGACATTTTATCATTTAAATAGGATAGTTTCCCTTTAACCTCTATGTGAGGCTAGACTACCATATTCAACCAATAAATCATACTCTGGACACTAACTTTATCTGAGTCCATGGCGTTCAACCAGCTGTCAAATAAAATGTTCTTTTTTCCAGGATATGGAAGCACATGATAAATGAAAATTATATTTTTGCAGCCTTTTATAAAAAGTACTTTGGTATTGCATGAAAATATAAAAAAAGCACTTAGCTATACGTGTTCACATCTATTATATATGGTACCTGCAGTGGTGCTTTCTGCTAGCTAGCCAAAATCGACTTTCACAGCCATAGCAATGTGCAGCCAAATGATCAGGGTACCATCGAGTTACCTAGGAAGAGAATTATGAAACCCAGAAAGCAGCAGTTAATAAATCCCCTTAATTTAAAAATAAGACATTTTTTATAGTCTATACGATCAGTTCTTTGCCTAATTAAAGATTAGTTATTTTAATTAAAAATCCCACAGCACTATATCAAAAGAGAAAGGAATTATTCCTGGCCAACAAATCCCCCAAATAAAATTGGTCGCTCACTCCATGGGTGTTTGTGGGACATTGCAGTGCGCAAAACTGGCTGTTGTGCTTCACCCACAAAATACATAGTCAATCTAGTATATAGTATATCCTGTGAAGCCGTTGAGAGGTTTCAACAAGTGAAAAGGCGCTATATCAAAAATGTAATTCAGAATCAGCATTAATTACAAAAAAATATTAATTTTATGAATTATGTATTGGGGAACCTGGATAATATCTTGGATAATAGTAAACAGAAATATCATGACCATATATAAAGCATGATTTTGTGATATGACTTTCCAAACCCCTCCTTCCCCCACCCCCACACAATAGTTGAGCTGGAAAGAGGTTACGAGGGCAGTACCTCATAATCTCGGGACTTTAGTAAACAAAGTAAGAAAGCAAAGAAAAAGGGAAAAGAGGTGCCAAATTGCAGTGAACAGGAAGAAGTGGCATATTTAGTTACCCAAGCAAGAGAAAATTAAAGATCTTAATTTATGGGAAGCACAAATTGACTTTTGCATTTGAAATTTTGGTGGAAACGGTGCCCACCACTGATTTAGAAATCAAAAGAAAATTCCATAGTGTGGCAACCAAGATGCTAGGATACATGCAGGTCATGACATTCCTCTGGCTATTGGGTACTGTATTGGATGAAGGAAAGGCAATGCTGTTCCCCAACATGGGATACTACAGCTTTAATTCACAACAAAGCATCAGCATTGTAAGCAGCATTCGGCTGCAGATTGAGTTGTGAGGAGGCTGCTGAAGTTTATCAACTTGAAAATAAGGTTGACTTCCTACTAAAGAACATCTGTGACAACTATGCTCCTGTTAAATTTTAATTGCCAACAGCCTTGGGGGCATATACTGGTACACTCTAAGCTCATTCTGATATGGTCCTTGTGAGTATATACTTGCGTAAGATAATGAATATTTTATAATCAACATTAATAACAAAGCCAGCTTTTATAGTTTTACCGGTGCCTTTCAGAATCTTTGATCACAATTGTTATCTCATGACCCAACTCTAATAAGGTCCATTCTAACTATGACTTATGCATAGTCATGAGGGCGAGTGCATTTGCCCTAAGACATGAGAGAAGCAACTATAATTTAGGAAACATGGCAAATTACCAGTAATGTGTCTCAATAATAATAACTGAGTTAAAGACCTACCATTGTGATGTTCCCAGTACTATTCCAGTTAGGTTGTCACGATGTTTAAACACATTGACATCTTTTAATTTTTCAAGAATTCCTGACATCAAAACATGCCAGTTTGAAGGTGGGTGCCAGGGATAGAGTTATACAGTTTATAACCCAAGGTTAAACAAAAGTTTTTAAAACCAGGTCAACTTAGCCAGTGTGTGAATGGACTAAAGGGTTTGTTTTCTTCTAAGTCTCCTACAGTTATCTCCAATCCAAGATCTCACCCAATCGTATGTTGTGATTTCAGTGCAGATTAAAAATTACTTTGGTCCTGTTCATGATTTTAGTAAACTCTGAAACTGAAATAAACTTCACAATCGTCCTAAAATTCTTTCTCTGCATTTTATATTGTCTTCTTTGTACAACAATTTCTTAAACTGGAAGTTAATATTCTTCTAACTGAAATCTTTCACTACCACTACAGTCTTCCTCAATTACTCTGTGTACAATTAAATAATTTTATACAGATTCCTACTTTAGAATTTAGGACACTTTGCACATCCTGTTTTAAGCTACATTTCTTACCTCTGTGTCCTGTTTATCCACTTGTTCCCAACTTGTTTCTGAGAAAATCTCTGTGCTACAGCGGGATAAACAATTCTGATCCATATTGCTCTCAGAGTCTGGGATAGAGGTCTACATTGCAGAACAGAACAAAAAGTTGGTGCTGTTTACCTGTACCCACACAAATAACCTTTAAAATGTCTAATCAACTCCCATGAAGACTCAGTTAACAAGGCACTGCTTTGTGTGTAATTGGGCCATATAGGTCTCAGGTTTGATCATTGCTCTGTGTTGAGTTGCTGATTTCAAGAATGGCAATATAGGAGCACTACAAATGACATAATTCTGTGATCTCTGCCAGAATGCGTGCATGTTGATATTTGGCAAAGGTAGGACAGAGTTTGGATGTGGCGACCCTTAGAATTAGCTAGTTTGCTCACACACAAGGAATGGTCACTTTTGTGAGGTTATGGAATTCAATTCCAGTACCTTTGGAATTATCTAATGTAAGGCAGCTGCCTCAGGCGAGAACAGTTCATGTGTAAGATTAAGAAAAAGATCAACAGTACATATTTTGTTGACCAGCACAATAAGTGAGACTGTTTCACAGTAACTGATTATCTATACGATCCCCAAATTCCCATGTTGATCCAATACCATGTATTAAACTACTTCACCCATTTTCCAACAGAAAAGTATAAGATTTAAACCCCGAACTGCAAGCAAGTAGGGTCTTAATCTAACAGATGAAAGTACAACCATAACTATTAAGTCTAAGTTATATAGTTCACCACACCATTTATTGTACAACTCCTCAGGATTTAAATAACTTCTAAACTATCATATGTACAAGAACTATTATGTTCCGACAACTTAATTCTATATGTGCTGGTAATTAATTTAATATTTTGTTATACAGTACTACAGTAGTTTACCCATTTCCCTCCCTTTATCCCTCCTCTCCTGAGGATGTTGAGTCCTGCTGAGGTGCAAAGGCACCAATGGACTTTGGTACTTCAGCTGATCAACCATTCTTCTTGTGTGAGCCCAAACTATTTAGCCACAACATTATCAGTACGGAAGTTAATTCTGTACGCATGTCCAAATCCATGGACTTTCCAACAAAGGAAGCTCCTCAACAGTGTCTAGGACAAAAAACTTTGGATTTGTCGATTTGCTAGTCTGGGAACCAACCCCGCACTCAGTTGAGATTGGCTAACTCAGCTCAGCATTGACGAATTGAACCTCGGGCTTGTTTTTTTGGCAGTGTTGTGCACTGTGGCCCATTGGAGTCCTGTAGCTCAGTGGTTAGAGCACTCGGCTTGCAAGCGAGAGAACTGAGTTCAATTCCAAGCAGGGCGAAACCTTGGGCAAGTTTCCTTACTCCACACGCCTAATAATAATCCCTCCAAAACCAAAAATAATAATAAATTGGTCATTTTCAATCTACGACTGTTTGTGGGACATTGCTGTGCACAATTGGCTGCCGCGTTCGCCCACAAATATACAGTCAATTCACTTTACAATGTGTTCTGTGAAGCGCTTTGGGACGTCCTCCCGACGTGAAAAGTGCTATATCAAATGCAAGGATTATTATTATTATTATAGCCTTTCATTTACGTTTCTCTATCAGAAACAAAAACACCTCAAACAGTGTCATTATCCATTGAGCCATCAGGAAGTTATTTATTCTCTCTTTGAAAGGGTCATAGGCACGACCATACCAATCAGTAACCATGTTTCGCTCTGCATCTATATTATTTCAGAACATTTACTTCTGCAATCGTCAGACACCAAGTAATGGTGCACTAATACTACACAAAAGGTACAGGTTGTGCTGTACATTATGAAGAAAGAGAACATTTAAAGGGGTTAAAAAATTAGTTGAAGTATCAAAATCTTACAAGATCTTGAGTATTGGACTTAAAATACTCTTTTAGTGATGCTGGTTAGGTTCTCTTAGGGGATGAGAACCATTTTTGATAGTAAATATGTTATTGATAAACAGTGAGTAATGGACACTATCTTAAGTCAATTTTATTTTCCTAAATAAGCCCTGGATATACAAAATTATCAAGCATGTAATGCAGCTAAAAATTATGTTTCACTCAATTAGTTCCGTAAATATCCCCGTTATTTGTTCCCTGGGAAATTTGCGAAAATTCAGGAATATTTACAGTACTATAGAGAATACCTGAAACAGATGAAGACGATTCCCTATGGGTTCCCTGAGCTCAAAGGGTATTTAGCATCACCCGAAGGCAGTGAAATGCATAGGCCACTGTTGTAAAGATTGACATGCAGCAAGATCAGTCACTGTCAGGTGTTTAAGGGAAGCATGGTAAATGTTGCAGACAAATTTTTTATAAGGTTTAAATATAAAACCAAAGGTCAAATATGAAGCAAATAATGGAGACCCAGAAATAGTTTCCAGGCAATGACCTCTTCAAAGCTTGGATGACAAACAAAACCGCAAAAGCAATCACTTTATAATTTACAAACAGATTACTGCATGTAGAATAGGGGTGGTGGGGAGGGTGGGAAGAGAGTAGATTTTCTTCTTGGCCAACACACTTGGTGTTATTCCTAAGTGATACGTCCATGGAACAATTAACAATTGTAATGTAATCACTAAAAATTCACCAAGTGATCAACTTGCATCTGATTACCAGAAAAGCATACTCAATGTGTGAAAATGGATTACTTTACTAGCCCATAGTTTTGAATAACCTAAATAATGAATGCTAGCAGCCCTTTTCCATGCATGTAAAACTGCTTCAGTGACGTTGGTCAGGCTTTCCCAGTGGATTAAAAACATTTCAGGTAGAAAATATGTGACTGATGAACAGGAGTAATGGCCAAAGTGATTTTATGACCACTCCAAATCTATTTTGAAACAGAACATTCCAAGTCTAATTTTAGACCAATAAAATCAACACTCCATACTATTTAACGTTATCTAATTTTGACCTGGAAAGTACTAAACTGTAAAATGTTAATTTTAAGTAGGATCATCCAGAATTATGTTTTAATAAAGTAACCTATTTCAGGTCAAGACACTGGATACTATGGACTTCACTGAAGGGCTGTACGACATACAAAAACTGAATGAAATATTTAAAGGGTTTTACTTTCTACTATTGCTGCATTACAAGATGACTATTTCTGCCGTGATAAGTAAATCTGACAAATGTATTTCATGTGAAATTTTCAGTGGATGGGTAAAGAAAACAAAATCACACAAGTACTGTATGTAAAATGTAAAAAAAATCCAACAAACAAAAATTTAACTTAACACTTAAAATATACTGCATACACTCTGGATATGTGTGCACCTACAATTCAATCCATGGGATGTTTCATATTACACTGTTGCCTTGCATCTTTTGCAGAACTGTACAGTGAGATAGGAATTCTTGAAAAAGTCAATATGGAACTTTAGCCGTCAATATATACTTGGATCCCTTCCTCCTCTCCACCAACCCAATTGCTTCCTAAGATTTTGTTGGTACAAATAATTACTGTTGGAGGTACTGGAAATTTGAACAATTTGTTTAGTTTTGGACTATATCCAATATAAACTTATAGCACAGCCTGCACCTGAAGTTCATGATCAATGTATTTTACATTCACGCTTTTTTGTACTCAAGGTGAGATGTGAAACTAGATATATGAAATGCCCCATATTGGGCATCAAGAACTCAAATCAGTTACAGTATAGGTTAGGATAAAGCACTCTCTACACTTCCCCAACAATGTGGACAACCTCCAACCTCAGATTACTATTCCCTGCTGCAGCACTATGATGTTTTTAGTTACCCACACCAGCATCTATCAGCAAGATTGTCAACTCAGTGCCAATCAGGCGGTAGTTGTGCACTGTGAGTCTTGTTCACTGGATTCTGGATCAAGACTAGATTGGATCCTTACCATTTATGGTACTTGATTTAATCTCTGATTCAAGAAATGAAAATAAATTTGCTAACCGTCTATGTCACCCAGCCCTCTGTCTCTATGGACATTTAAATGAAGATATTAAATCTTTGATATGGTACCAAAATACTCAGATGCCCATAGTTAAATACAAAAGGTTCTATCTGAAACCCAGAATATTCTTTTATGAATGGATAATCCAACCCATCATGAAACCTTAAAAGGATGTTGCAATAGGATTTGTTTTTGTTAAAAATAGAACATTTTATTGACAATTTATATGAAAAATAATTTACCAAGCAATAATCTTTCAAAATACCTCAATGCTGCCCCACATAAAACTGGATGATGTTTGGGTCATCTGGGACCAAGTGATTTCAAAGCAGTCTATTTGTTTACACAAGTTGAATTAGAAAACTATTAAAACAATTTAGCCATGTAAAAATATTACATGCTGTATCTAAAAAGATTTGACTGCATACTGTTGGAGTTGTAATGCAAGTTAATGTGAACTATTTTTACTAACGTGGAATTTAAGTTGGTTACAATATCTGCCTACTGTAGTAGCTGTACTGGCAATTTCAAAGAAGCCACAAAACTTTGTAAATTCCATTGCCTTTGGCCAAGCACAAAAGCTTTTATTGTGGTAAAGGCATTTCATGCCTTAAGTGAAGCCTAGACTGTTGTTACCTGGATGAATCATTAAAATGTTTACCCTGTAGCATTTTCTGGAAGCAGGTTTCTTTTTTTAAAAGCAAATTCATATTTTAAGTTATTGAATAGAAATAGAAGTCACTATTACAGTAATTTAATAGAGCAGCCTAGCTGCTTTATGTCCTGATTCCAAATAGGAAGAAATCTTTTCTTTAAAAAAATAAACTACAGCAATAAAAAGTCAGCGACTGGATTTGAACTTACTAAAAGTTTGCTAACTTTAATAATGCCATGTAGTTCCTTTAACCACTCTCTTTTTTCGGATCATGACTAGTTATAGTATTCTGACAGTAGAATGATGTACTGTACATATCCAACGTCAAAAGTACCATTAAGTTAACGACTAAAATCAGGGAGGTCCAACTTTTTGGCTGCTCAGGGCCATATGCCCCATTTGAGAAATGTCAGCGGGCCGCATAAGCAATATTTTTGTGCTTCCCTTCCAGAAACATAACATTTACGGATTATGGAGGGAGTGGGTGGGCCAGATGAAATGGAGGGCAGGCAGATGAAAGCAGCCCACGGGCCAGTAGATCAACCACCCTGGACTAAGTCATTAAGAACTGCAGTGAATTTTTGATGACCCAAACATCGCCCAAAACTACATCTTTACATTGCAAAGGCAAAAGTGATCAGTGTTACAATAAATTAAAGAAAAAAGTTGGCAGAAGCATAGTAGCTAAAACTGTCAACAGTGAACCCCAAATACCAGATCACATTAAAAAGACTAAAAGGTCTGACAATAATTATCAGGGTTACAAATGTGCAGTGAGCTATATGCTAAAATGCGTATAGTCAAAAAATTAAATCCAAACTTCACAGTAAGAAAAATGAGAACGTAAAATTACTTCAAGTATAAATCAGAATCCAACCTATCCTCTCCACTTACCACTTCATCGCTAAATTCTCCATTAAAGCGCAGAGATGAATTACTAAAATGCTGGCACTCCAGCCTGCTCCACAGTTCTTGCAGCTGTTTTTTCAAAGTCTCTACCTCCTGTTGATGTCCTGCCTCTATCTGACGCAGTCGCTGCTGGATAATGTCATTATATGTGGGAAGTCCATCATCATCTAAGTGGCTTCGTGTCGGCTGATCCGGGCTTCCTATTGGCTGCTGCCTGCTCGAGTAGCAGTGTGTCCACTTGGGTTGGGAGTTTCTATGATAACCAGATGGAAATTGCAAGGAGCTGCAACTTGCTGCTGAAACTTGTCTACTCAACACCACTTTTCCCCTCACTTCATCTCCATTTATACAGAGTCCATTAGCTGTGACATTCCTTGGAGTACCATTCCCAAACTCTGCAGCTCTCTCCACGATTGTAGTCTCACTGTCAACTTCTCCATTAGGAAAAAATCCATCTTTACATTCACTTAATGGCAAGGCACGAGGAGGAGGCTGTCTGCTCTGAACACCGTTATCTGAAGTCCTATGTAGATCATTCTCGGGTCTTGATTTCACTTCCATGTCTGGGGTCTCCGTCAAAAACTGCGATAAACTATTTTCAGAATCTACAGCGGGTACCATGGTTTCATTGGCCTTGGAATTCAAATACAGTTTATTATTATTGGTGTAGCTTTCTGTCATCTCCTGTTTTGCTCCATCTTCCATTAAAGTTTCAGTGGAACTTTCTAATGCAGATAGCTTTTCTTCTAGTTTGTCTGATGTGGTCATGAACGGTGGACTGGGTTCTGGTGTAGTGTAATAATTTTCTGGTTCAGTATTTAGGCCACTGACGTCCTCTGTTTCAGTACACTGTGTTGTGTAAATTGAGGAACTATTAGAAGCAATCATTCTGATAGATGGTAACATTTGAACACTGTAATCAATGGGCGATCTTTCATCCTGGGCTTCTTCTTCTGAACCCGAATTCGATTCGGAAATAGGTTCAGTGCTTTGCATTTCATCATTTGGAAATGTCTCTAAGGAATCAGTGACAAATGTTACTGGTTCATGTGTTATGCCACTGTTTAGATCAGGCTCAACATTCAAAGAAGTCACCTCTTGTTTCCGTTGTGATACAGCACATTCCTTTAACATTTCCTCTATCCCACTATCTTCTTTCGAGGCTTCCTGTAAAATATTCTCCATCTGTCCTTCCCCAACACCAGCAGCAACAGAAAGCTCAGCTCCCAATAAGTTCTTTCCCAGCTTTCCCAGTTCCAGTGCTTCACTGTTGAATGAGTCATTTAATCCAGTCCCGTCCATCACTCCTCCTATGCCAACACTGGTGAGTTCCAACGACTTGCGATGTTCCTGCCATTTCTCATTTAGGCTCGGATCACTGGAGCGTCTGTTTGCTGCAGGTCCAGGATTTTCACAAGCAGTCGTCAAGTTGTCAAATGATCTCGTCTTTGGTAATCTATTAAGTAGAAAGATATTAAAACATAATTCTAGCATTAGACAGTGAAACGGTTAACTGCTGCTCTATTTTTAAGAACTGAATGACAATTTTTTTGGTTACAGTTTTGTTGTAGACGAATAAACTTATGCATTCTTATAGTTTTTTTAAAAAAGACATTAATAGAGCATGTGTCAAGAATATAGCAAATAAACACAAAACGGTTGGAACTCCACACCCCTAATAATAATCCCTCCAAAACGAAAAACAATAATAAATTACAATCCACGACTGTTTGTGGGACACTGCTGTGTGCAATTGGCTGCTGTGTTTCGCCCACAAATATACAGCCAATTCACTTTACAGCATATTCTGTGAAGCGTTTTGAGACGTCTAAAAGACGTGAAAAGCGCTATATCAAATGCAAGGATTATTATTATTATAATGCCAGGATAAAATATAAAAATTAGCACTTAAGTTTCTTTTTACAATTCTGGTCACACCATATCCAATGATAGCAATTTTTAGATAAATCATTTAAATAAAGATCTAGAAAACTAACACCTGAGTTTGACTGGTATTATTTTGCATTAAAATGATAAAGCTAACCAATTTTCCTCCATTCAGATCCCTACATCTGACATGTGTTTTTACACGAAGGGCAGCACACATTCTGCTCAATTTTTATGCTGCTGTTTCCAATCTTTTAAAACATGGTGAATCCTAAAGCCAATCAGTTAATAATTCAAAAGAATCTTGAGATTTTCTGCATCTGCAAACTGGATAACCTCAATGCAAAACACGATCTCCACAATCAATACAATATCAAAATAGTCTGCGAAGAAAACTGGTTTGCCTTAACACTTGAGATAGCTTGGATACGAGTATATTCAGACAGGAATAGTTTCAAACCTACTTCATAAGCGTATTTTCTCAAAGGGATACATTTTCCAATTTAAATTGATTGAAATATTGCTAGGTAAGACCATGTACACCGATCTTTTGCAAAGGCCAATCGATCGACTAATCCTTGCCTACCCAATTGCTCGCTCTCCTTTTTAAATCCCTGCTTGCTCACAACCCAATCTGCAATGATCTTACTTCCATAAGAGCCGACTTTCCGCTGGAAGCTCACCTTCCCAGTGGCTGTTCTTCAGGACTGGAACCGGGCACTGGGTAAGGTGCACAGTGATCTTCAGAAGGTGTGGAAGGAGATGAATTAGGAAGGTAAACCGCACTCCAAAGCATCAAATTTCTTACATGGCACACTGGATGTAGCACCTGGATGAGACAAAATATTTTCATTGAGAAAATGAAGTGCAAAGGTGTCGGTAAACTAGATTTTCTATTTTCAGTATACTCTAAAATTCTTTTTATATATATTCTTATTAAAAATGAACATTTAAATACATAATGAAAATATTCAGCCCAAATTATGATCGCACAATTATAATCGCTGCTGCAGAAATAATCATAAGATCTTAGAAAATTCTATTTCAACACCTGCAAATGCTACAATGAAGTCTCCCAGGGAATTGACAAGCTAGATATTCATGCGTCTGTATGAATAGCCCTATTCTTAGCATTAGTACATGAATGGTCCTGAAGTTTGTTAATCCTTTAATTCCTTCTCACAAGTTCCAAAGCAATTTGACAATTCTTCACTTTTCATATCCTCAATTTTACAGCTACATTTTGATTTATTTACCAATTGTAGTGTTTAGTTTCATTTCTACTGTTTCTATGCTTTTAAATACTCTACTAAGGCATCATAAAAAAAACCTTACAAAGTTACCCTTTGACATACGTACAGTTTCAGATTGTGAGGTGTACAGGAGATTTTTAAAGGCTTTGTTAGCTGGCCTCAGAAGGGACCAAACCGAGCAGGTTCTTTCCTGAATATGTTTCTCTTCACGTTCTTTTGCACTGTTACACAGGAATGTTCCAAAAAGGCAGGAGTAAGTATGCTGCACCAATTTAACCTACAAACAAAGAATATTCATTCTATATTTAAAGATGAATCAAGCCATTTAGATTTCATTTTGCCGAGTTAGGTTGCGCTGGAAAGGATTAGGATAATGCAAAATTCATTCTACTTACAAGGAATGCTTCAATAAACTCAAATGAACAAGGAAATTGTCTCTGTAATTGATGGACACAATCCAGCCATTGAAGAAACACAGGGCAGCGTTCATTTAGGTCATCTGAATTTTCACCATGACCACAACGGTCAGCAAACTTATGACCAAAATCCAGCCATTCTGTTTCCACCAGTACCTGAAAACCCTGTGTGTGTAAAATAAAAAGCTTTACGTGCATTAAAACTCAATGCAGTTTGTAACACCAACATTACTGTACTAACCGGTTTGTATGAACAATAACATTAAACAACGCTTTGACAAAAGATATCACGAAGCATGAGCAAATTATTTAATTCGACAGATTGTATAGGTTCATAGAAATGCATCAGAATGAAAGTATTCAGAATGCTGTTGTTTATATGCTTTCAAGTGCAACATTCTTAGTAGTACAGCAAATAACACTGTAGTTCACTTTTAACTCATTGATTGTTTACGTGTACATATAACAAAAAATATCAGATGTTATCAGTTACAATCTTATTTCTACAATGAAAATGAGAAATTAGTTATCTTAGGCAATGCAATATAATTGAAATCAATTGTATTCACTCAATATTTCCAATGCAAGAATCCTGTCCTCCTTACCAAATGTTTAGCGCTTACCAAAATGTTAACACTCCCAACTCTCACATTAAATTCAAGCACACTCACCTCTACAGTTCTGTAGAAAGGATCCAGCAATAACTTTGATAGAGCAACTATTTGTGGTGTTCGGTCCCATCCATCAGAACAATGCACTAAAACAGGACGGTGATCTCGGTCAACTGCATTTATTACCAGCACTGCTGCTTTTAATAGCATGGAGAGATGCTGCAGCCATTTGGTTCCTTCTAGTGCTGACAGCCAACTGCAGATCACAAACAAAAATCATTCTGGAAGATATTTTTAATGGATGCATCCTACATAACTCTAATTATTTAATGTGCAGTTGGAAAGATTTTTTAAATTTTTTGATAGACCTTTGTGTGGAGCACGGAATAGACCACAGATATTTCAACTAGTGTAAATTTTAAGACTAGTTTCCACTAAATACTTTTCCCTTTGAAGCGATGATGTGTTAAGGCAATATATCAAATGCAAGGATTATTATTATTCCCCTGTTAAAGTAGTTGAGTGTTTTTCTCTCTTCCCCCTCCTTCCAATATGGAATCAAACAACAAAAAACAAATTTAATAATAATAATCCTTGCATTCAATATAGCGCTTTATTATAGCGCTTTACTATTTCTAGACATGTCAAAGCACTTCACAGAATATACTGTAAAGTGAATTGACTATGTTTTGTGAGCAATTTTCTGACTAAAGCCAAAATAATAGATGCATCATATATAAAATAAACACACACGTACTTGGCAGGATCTGGCATCTGTGTGCAGAGCAGCCTTAGCGACTGAAAACTCTTCCGAATGGAGTGGATGTTTGCCATACCCATAAATACCACTTCACAGTTTGGGTAATATTCTGTAAAAGATGAGTCAAGTGTGACATCACTGCAATCCTCTTCATCGGTGGGCGATTACATAGTGAGAAAGCACCTGCACGAGTTTCAATGTGGCTCGCTCGGAGGCTATTAGCCCCACACACATTCTAGGCCCCTTCGTGATCCTACATGATTCCCATTTCAAAATGAAAGAAATTTCCATAAATCTGCAACCTCAAGATCAATCTCGACTTATCAAAATGTTGACTTCTACCATTTTTTTCCGACTGTCTTCAGCTTGATACTCACCAGGGCATTCACACCCACCACCCTTTGCCCGGTTAGCCACAGCTGCAGCATACGACCTAGCATCCAATATCAGGAGCTTCTGTGGAGGATTACATAGATTTTCTACTCCAGAGGCATTAGTCATTGAAGAATCTAAGACGAAAAGACCATTACAGAAATCATCAACTCAAAATACAAAAGTTTCTATCTCAGCTGCTCAGCAATGTGTTAGAACAAAACGCTTAAAAGTCCTTACCAAATTCTCCATCAGACAGATCACTGCCATTTGGAAAATCTCTTATGCAGTTGCCATTCACATGTTTGGTAGAACTGGTGTCCATGGCACAAGCTTTTGCAATAGACTGTATTAGGTGCTCATCATCTGCATTCCTCCAGCCCCACCAGCTAACCTCTGGCTGACCACAGCGTGCAATCACTGCTCCATTACCCTGGTGCCTGAGATCCCAGCACAAAAATATTTATAAAATACGCTTGCTTTTAGCCAGTCATGAATTTCAACAACAAAAGATACAATTGTGAATAACTTGACAACAAATAACAGAATTTTAGCACAGGGTGTTGTGATAGGGGTTTACACAAGTGATACACAACACATGGAATTCTCTACCTGAGCCTCGATGCTGCAAGTAAGTGGAAGTGAATTCCACATGGGAGAGTGGGTTAGAACCAGAGAGAGAGAGTCTTGGACACCACCTAGTTAGCTAAGTTTCAGAACAGTGGCAAGAGAGGCCTGAGTGCAAGATAAGTGCAGTCCCTTTTCAACTAGAGACGGTGTCCAACATGAATAGTGATAAACGCCTTTATTTTTTAAAAGATGCAGAATTCATAGCAGAATGTGGGTTTTAATCTCAGTTTGTGGTCGCTGAGCTTCCAACCTGTGACCTGCTGCTACGGAGCGACAAAGTAGGATCAAATAGTAGCAGTGATCACCAAGTTACAGTTGTGTATTATTTTTGCAGCTGCACTTTTCTATAAAAATATTAAATTAACAATTAATTACAAACTGTTAAATGGCACAATCTTTCGTGGGATTATTAAATGCACTTCTCTTGTTTCATGAAGACTGCAAAGGGCACACAGCAACAGTTTAAGCAAACTTTTTTTTAATATAAGTCACAGAAGTTTAGTTTTAAACTTCCACAAATCTTACATTACAGGAAAGGGTTTTGACAGCAAAGGGGGTTGGGTGAGATGTATGACAAAGGGAGATACAGTATAGTATTTGAAAAGGACAACAGTTATAATAGGTTTCCCGGCCTTGCACATTCCTATACACTGAGTGGACATGGTTGTTGAGTGAGGTTCAACAGCCCTTAGATAAAAATCTGCCCCAACAATCCAGTTGGTTCGCTAATAATTTAAAGACTGGCTAACTAGAAAAGTAAGCAATGCTCACTGAAAATTAAATATAAGGGTACAGATGGTTGTTTGAATAACAATTTCTAGAAGTAGTCCAGGAGTTGAGAGTAAATTAATTACCAAGTTACCTCTTGTATTGTTACATATTAGTGACCCAAGGGCTTGGAGAAGTAAATGTGTTGCATGGACAATTCAGTTTACCTACTTTCAAAATGAATCGAGTCTGGTGAAAGGAAGTAGTATTGAAAATTGGCCGATTATTTAAATGTGAGGTAATAAATTGGTGTTTGTTCATCAACAGATAGACGACAGTTCAAATCTATCCCACTGAAATCACATTTCAGTGTTTGACTTTATTATACGAAAAAAGTACTCCTTCCAATGAAATGATATAAATCATTTGACACAGAACTTTTATTTTATATTCTTGAAATAATTACTCACCTGAAGACAACAGTTGGAATCCTCTTCCATGATCTAAAGCTGCCAACACTCTCAAGCTCTTTGTCAGTGATCCATGCTGGTACAATCAGCTGCTGTGGGTAGCTAGCACATAACCTACAATCGAAGGTAGCTTATTTATCCGGTGCCACATCACTTCCATTATTTTAACTAGAGATTTTAAGAGTCAAATTTTGTGCAGGTTAAATTCCAACCATATCTAATGTTACATATTATCTTAGATGTGAAGTAACATATTTGATTTCAAAATGAAGCATTTAAATACCACATAGAAAGAAAAGTGTAGTGCTAAATTAGCTTTTCATCAGAATAAATTTGGGAGCATTCACTCTTATGAACTGAGGAGCTTTCAACGGATAGGAAGTCACAAGACGAAAAATTCATGAGCCCATTTTGTTGGTAACTTAAAAAGCTACAAAGTAAAGGAATAAAGATTATTAGCAGTGACCATTTCTTACTTGTATTTGTCATTGATATTTGTGATCCTCCATGCATTTTGCACATCAAAGCACATCCTTTCCACTTCATTTTTAAATCTTGAAACAACATGTTCGCCTGCAAAAGATAATAAATTGTGAGATTACCAGCGGTTATTCTTAAACTGTTCTCTATCTCCACATACTGAGGGGTAAACCTCAGGGAAATAATAAGGATGCTTTTCATTATCTTTCAACTGCAACTCAATGTGACTGCCCTTTCCCGTGTAACATAAAGCTGCTCCCACTTTGCCAACTTCAGTTGTTTTAACCCAAGACAGGTAGATAAGCACATGATTAACCAATGAGGCCCTGTTTTTCCTGCAAGTAGAAAACACAGATCATTTAGCCCATTAGTTAAACTGGTGACAAATAATTAACAAGAGCTCAACTCCGTTCAGAGAGTGGCAAATCCTGAATAGGCCATAATCTACTGTATCTTCCTAAAGAATGTAGAAATTGCTAAAATTGTAAAAAGTTGATGTGAGCATTATATATCTGGTAAATACTATATTTGAGAAATACGGGCGTTATAGTAACAGATGGATGCCTTATTTTCCAGATAATTGTGGGTTTGAGGCCAAGAGCTTATCGTCCCCAAGTGGCAGGGATTAATTTTGGGGAGGAAGGCAACAAGAGCACCTTATCCTATGGACGAAATGGCATGGTTGGTAACCAGAGTTATCACATTATAATTATGCCTTCTTAAATGAATGATGAGGGTTTAAAATTTGTGTTATTATATGGACAAAATGTATAGCAGAGTGTGTTTATAATACCTGGTCGACACAGGTCTCCATGTTGCTCTTTCTCACTAGCATATATATCCATACACCACGCATGGTAAGCAAAGGCAAAGAGGTCTTCTATCTTTGCAGGTGGACGTATAACATTGTTAAGTCGTTTTCCCCACTCTTGACATTGCTCAAAGGTAGAAAACTGGCACCTGTGTTTTGTTTTAAATTAAAAACATGTATTTAATCTATAACCAGTGCACAGCAAAATGATATGCAAGTACAATTTAAAGTTCAAACTCATTAATAGGATGCCACGTTTCTCACCATGAATAATCCAGTCAAAAGCAAAATAATCCTTTCCATTTAACTTTTGCCATCATTTTATTATTCTCAAAGAAAAGGGGACCAATAAGTCTTAAAAGCAATCATTATTAAACCTCTTGTCTTAGAATCTTGTCTTCTGCCCTGTACTAATAATTTGAATTATGATAATATGAAATCAATGATTTGTTACCTTCTGAATCATTTTTCTATGGATTAGAACACGGTCAAAAGAACCAAACAGGACAGAAAGAACTGGGAAGCTACACTTGAATTAGATAAATGCTAATGCGACTCAATTGCACCCAACCATCTTTACAATGTGACTAATTATACTGAGGTATGACATATTTGCACTTGCTCCAAGTGACAAATTCTCCCTCTCAACCAAGCGGAGTCCTTGTAGCTCAGTGGTTAGAGTACTCGCTTTGCAAGCGAGAGACCTGAGTTCAATTCCAGGCAGAGGGCGAAACCTTGGGCAAGTTTCCTTACTCCACACAGAGCCTAATAATAATCCCTCCAAAACCAAAAACAATAATAAATTGGTCATTTTCAATCTATGACTGTTTGTGGGACATTGCTGTGTGCAATTGGCTGCCGCGTTCGCCCACAAATATACAGTCAATTCACTTTACAGTGTGTTCTGTGAAGCGCTTTGGGACGTCCTCCTGACGTGAAAAGCGCTATATCAAATGCAAGGATTATTATTATTATAAGCTGCCAGGTGGAGCTAAAAGTGAATAAAGTCTGCTACTGTCTGGCTTCCAGCAAAGATTTGCAGAACAGTACAAAATGTAGGCATTTGATCATTGTGCTTGCTAGCTTCTGTAACTGCACCTTGCACTAGCTGTGGTATTATGCATGGTGCTTTTGGAAAAAAAGGAGAGGGCTAAAACACCATTACAAATGGAGCATACTGAAACATTATCCACAAAAGGGAATCACACTGGAAGTCATAACAATTGTTTGGTTGATTAACAGGCATTGGGCATCTCATTCAGGCAAGTTTACCCCAATATTCTATATTTAGATTTCACAATATTCCATGCTTTGATTTAGTGAATGTGGAGTTGCAAAAGAAGAGTTTGTATTAATGCTATGCAGAGATAAAAGGTACAAAATTGCATTGGTTTGAAAGACCTAACCTGGCCTTCAAATGAAAAGGACACTGAAAAACAATAAAATTGTAGTTAAACACCTGCATCATTGTCAAACTTTCAGTACCTGATAACTTTGCAGTCTTTACAAGTCATATGAAGCTGAAACATTTCACGGCCTTCAACGTTTTCAATCAGCTGCAAAGGAATCTGTCAACAATAGCAGATGGAAATGGGTCACATTACAAATATCCATTTATCATAACACAAATCCCTTTATGAGGCAAACTACTACAGACAGATATGAAAGGTTAACCCAAGGCTGCTAAAGATACTGGGTTGAATATCAATTACCGATACTGCATGAACAAAATACAACGAGGAATCTAGATTAGCCATTTCGTGGTCTGTTTTTTTTCCCAGCACTGTAAGCTGTAAAACGGACATTTTAAAGCTTCTGCATTTGGTTTGAGTCAACATGGCACTGTCACCTTTTCCCATAGGAAAAACCTAGACCAAACAGAAAGTTTATATGCTGGACATAGCCAGAGGTCTTTCATGGAGATTCTTCAAACTAGTTGGAAGGGATTCTGTATTGCATTGTCTCACTGAAATTCACTCATTCAAATTCTACCACCGCGAATAAGGGTTCAAATATTATCTGGGAAAGAGTTCTACAGATAGATAATGTACATTTAGATAATCTACTTTTAAAAAAGATAGACTGAACGCTAAATTGGAAAACATCAAGTAATAATAGCTTAAATTATTCTAGCAAGGTTATCGAATGGTTCTGCATTGCCGTCTTTACCCATAGGGAATGGTTTCTCACGATGCATTCTAAAGCAGAACACTTTTCTTTATGGTAAAGTACATTTTGTTCTCTACAAATACAGAATTATTTCACAAACCTTAACAAGCAAATAAAAAACCATCTACAGTTTGTCTGTCCCAATTCAATTGCAAGGAGTCAAATCTCTGGCGACTGTCAAACCATTGTGTGGCTTCTTTCAGAAAATGACTATGTTCCGACCTCCGATTCAATTTAAAGCCAAGGCCATTCAGCCCCTCAAACCTGGCAGAAGAGGCTCAAGGGCTGAATGGCGTACTCTTGTCCATATCTTCCAAAAGCATATTGTTTGACGGAAGACAGGTATTTGGTCAATTAGTAAAAGTGTAAAGTGATTTTTTGTTAAAGCCGTTCTGGATACAAGCATGTTTTTTCTTAAGAAATTATTCTTGCCTCAAACAGGAATATAATTGAGAGTACAGGCTTCCCATTTCATCTGAATTATGGTTCTTGGAGAATGCTTACTACCACCAACATGTTGCAATATTAGGCCTTGCACAATACACAAATACTCATACGAAGTGCATCCAGCTCTGCAATTAGTCATGTGTTATGATCATAATCAACATCACCAAAAAATTAAATAAATTAACCTTTCAGATTAATTTAATGCTACAAATCCTAGATTTGGCAAAATCGTTTTCTTACTCTTTATTAGTACAGACTACTATAAAGACCTTCATTCGTTTGCAACAGAGGTCAATTGCAGGATTGTGCAGTTTGTGTACTTGCATCACTGACCTCAGTTCTTACTCCATTCCCCTATTGCTGCTATTTGCAGGAAACAGGGGTGGAGCAGAGTGTTGAAAGTAACACTAACCGTACACAACTCAAATGACCTCTGCTACAAAAAAACCTTGAAAAGACATACAGGTAGACAAATAGCCCAAGATATAGATGTAGAATTTCTCAGTTGTCAAATGAGGATTATCACCTTGTAGTAATGATTCTGTATCTGTGTTGAAAACATGAAATCTTGGTGAGTATAGCCAGAAAGCAATACATTTATAGATGCACAGGAAAACAGTTAAAAACTGTGTTTAAGGGGCTTTCAAATAGTACTTCCACTAAAATTGTTTCAAACAACAAGCAATGCACAATACACAATCTCAGTCATGCAGCACACAGAATGCAGTGCACATACTACAGCAAACAGTTTGCAAAAAATATAAACCTAAACCAAAAATAACATACCAACATGATTACTGTATCATTAATGTTATTAAATATACATAATGTAGGAAAACTGCAATAATTCAAAAATAGAATATAGGAGACAAAAAGCAAAAGAGCATTTCCAGCTGTTGGTGAAAAATAAATGGCTGTGTGAATGAGAGAAAAAAAATTAAGAGTTTTCTAGCACAATACAGATCAGCTGTAATTTCCATCAGGAAAGGTCTTTTGTGTTGAGATAGGTCATCTTGTATCTGTACCAACGTGGAGAACTGAAAGACGCTTCAACTATGAGTAAAACAGATAGTGAACCTGTCCATTTAAACACAGAAAAGTGTTGATGGATGCAAAACAGTTGTGATGACAGCCAAGACTCTTCAGCCATGCGTTATACATGAATTGCATTTTTAAAGCACAAAATTAAGAAAGATAGATAGTTTTGCAAAATTGGTGGATTCCTAAAGCATATATATTTTGAATCATATTAGATGCAAATAAATTAATTTTGCCTTCTTTAAAACTATGAAAGCGCATTTGCGACATGATTTTAAATGGGATTTAATTGCACCCAAAATGATTTGTACCCATTTTATCTTTTCTCCAGAATTGCTAAAAGTGCTTGCAACTGATGCACAGCTTTTACGACAGTGTTCTGGTCCCTTCCACAGTAACACTTTGTAACTGGAGCTGTCATCTTGAAAAGAGCCGTCATCTCAAAGAGCCAGATTTCAATGTTGTTAAAAACGGCATGCATTGTAAACTGAGTAAGATTATTTTATGCCAGGTAAACTCGCAGCACATAATTCTTCATGATATGAGACGAATATAATTCTGCTAATACAATTCTAGTAACTTTAAATCGGAGAGTATTAGATTCTCACAGAACTGAAACATTTCAATTCCAGGTTCTTGGAGTTTATTACTGTTAATGGTAAACTTTGACTGTTCTGATTGTCCAGATTAAGTATTTTTAGTGGTGTACAAGGAGTGGTGGTGTGATTGAAACTGTATCCCTCTATAAGCTTACTTCTGGCACCCAGATCTACAACACTATTGCCCTCCAAGTTGAAGAAGAAAGTGTTCTTATAGTATAGATTGGAAAGGTGGCTTATTTAAATATCAATAATACATATTATTGCTCATTAATAAAAGGGTTAGATATAATAAATAATAATCCTTGCATCTGATAGCGCCTTATCACGTTGTTGAAATGTGACAAACCACTTCAGTTTTACTGTAAGATGTAGTCAGAGTACATTCTTAGAAAAAGCGGCAATTTGCACACAGCAATGTCCCACAACAGCAATGAAGTGAATGACCAATTTCATCTGGGGATTTGTTGGCCAGGAAATTATGATCAATGTGTGATGTTAGGTTAAAGCCAATACTCAGTCTACGTGCAGAAAGACCTGCAGTACTGCAATGCACTGCCAGTAGTTTGCTACATAACATTTCCACTAGGGATGCTGGGATTACTTAAATAAATGGTACTTACTTGTATTTCACAACAGGTATTTTGATAAATACTCTACACAGGAAACCAAAAAAAACAAGAAAACAGCTAATTCTTTATTCTGCAAGCCACGTATGAAACAAAATTCAGAAAGAAAACACTACAGTGAAGATAAAAATAAACGCTTCCATCCGCATTTGCATTAACAAATGACTGCACATACTGTGCTACATACATACTACACTAGATTGTGCAAAAGGATTACAATAGGATTAATGTAAACATTTCTCCAGCCATGGAGAAATTCCTCATTCTTCAATAAGAATCTTTCGCTCTTCAAAATTTCCATTTTGTGGGCTCTAATTAGTGGTCCTTCATAATGCAATACCTTCCCATTGACCAGTGGGAAGGCCAGCCCTGAGTGAAATTCCCGTGCGTCAGTACAGCATAGTTGCGACTACTAAAGGGAAGTTCCCATTTCTGCAACGTAGATATTTAAATTAGGAATTACCACAAAACAGACCCCATGATTAAAGTACATAACCCATTTATTCAATATTGACACATGTCCACTTTCCAAAAGAGGCTACAAGATAGCAACCAGGATCAGAAACGATGTTGTCTCTCCCTCGCCCAGGGACACTGAGATCGATTCTAATGCCGGCACTCAGCACAGACCAAGTATACTTGGTTCAACTTCACACTAAAACCATGGCGTTTTACACACTGAGTCATCAGACAAGATAAAAACTGCTAGTTTAAATTATTACCAAAATCACCTGTTCACCATTGAACCAAAGATCATAATCCGCACTAGTCATAAACTTAAAATCTAATTAATAATTCAGCTTTAAAAACAAATTATACAAATACTTACATTGACAATCGTTTCTTTAAATTTAATGTGTAATCTGTAGTTAGACAAAGCAATAACAGCATCCTCGGCACGCCCAATGAATTCTGTACTCTCGCCATGAAGTTCGGGAAAAGGAACCTAAGGTGTTTTGAGTAAATGGGATACAATTAGTATGCAGTCGTTAAATATTTAGCTACCATTTAAAAGTAAAATTGTATAGCATATAATGTGCACTACTAAATAATTAATAGCTGCAATTATGCCAGTATGTCTGTTAAAAGGAGTGTTGTGTCCAATTTATTCTAAATGTCAGTGCAATAATAATTAAACAATAATTAAGTCAAGCTATTGTGCAGCTTTCAGTTTTTATTTCTAAGTAGTCCCACGTTTTCTCCTTTTTAAGAAGTAAATTTTCCAGGCTTTGGGCCACACTCCATGTAGTTGTGTGAGCAATGGGGCTCAGTGAATAGAAGCTCTCTCCAAAGTCAACCTGCGTGGGATGCAGCAGAGATCATATTGAACGATTGGTAACACGATTATTGCTTTCCTTCACGCCAATAAGGATTTGAGGAACAGAATATATTTACTTAAAAAAAACCTAAATGGCAGGAAAAGGAGACAGAGAAGTCAACTGCAAAGAACAAATATCATTTAGAGCCAGAAGGGATCAAGTTGTCTATTTATACTGGTAGAAGTGTCTACATGCAACCAAATCAATACCATCATGAAATCGATCCCACAGGCAAGTCTGATTATTGCTCATGGCAACTGAGTCACTTTAAAGTGGCAAATGGATGCCAGCTGCCAGCTGAGACGCCATCCGGCGTGGAGGGAGCTAGATAAATCCAAGTTGTTGTTCTTATTCACAATGGAAACTTATTTGCAGTCTCAAAAACAGAGAACATGTTCATAAATTTTGTAATGAAATCTTGTAATTTCTGTTCTGTACCTGGAGGCTCTCTTCTTCTCGGATTAGTTGCTTTCTGGGAAAGATCTGATTGGCCTGGATGCATTCCAAGCTGTGTTGTCCTTCTTCATCCTGAAAGGAGGATGGATTTTCTTTTTAGCCACGAAACACATGCTCTTCTTCCTTCAGTCTATTTATGGTGGTATAATATATTTATAAAATTGTATGCACTCCTCAATAGGAGTTATCCATAAAATGTGTCAACATATTCAATTAAACCTTTGGCTGCTAGTTTTTGCCACCAATAGACATGCCATTTACTAAATATTACCATCATATCAAAACTAATATCAAAGCACTATAGCTAATGAACACAAAAATCAAACAGGACAGCAGATAGAGAGGACCATACTTGGCAACGTGCTCCCAAGCTTCCACTGACCATTTCTGTCAGTGGTTTGAAAGAAATGTGAACACAGCCTAGGACAGCTCTCCCTCCTTGTATAAGTCCCTGGATATTATTCAGCACCGTCAAAGACTGAAAACTATGTGGTAAATTGCAATTGTAACCCCACATCTTACCATTCTTAGCCAAGCTCATTGCACCACAGGTTCATATATGCCATTATAATATTGAATTCAGTGATTTTGTAGTTGATTATTCATCCATTTTGCATATGATCTTCCTCAAGCTCAATACAATTTAGCTTCCATAATCAATCAATCATACAAGGACCACAGGAATACAGCCCATTTAGAGGTTTGGGGTCATACCAATACAACATCAGTCACAACTGGTCTTCTCCCACCCTCTGGTGCACATATTCATGAAATGTACTTCTTTGTTTTGCAATACTAGAAAGCCACAAGACCATATTGATAAGGTAATTTAAAAGTACATGGAAATAGCATCACCAATTTGCAGTATCTAATGTTGAAAATTGTATTAAAAATTTGACAAACACTCACTACTCCCAATCAGCCAATACTACAATGAATGCACATTACCTCAAAAAACACAAGCAGACTGGCTGTGAACAAAAGAGAGGTCACTCCTGCCTTCTATTCTATCAATCTTTTTACCTCCAATGAAAATAGCAATCTGATTCTGGTTGCATCAGGACCCCTGAAGAGTACCCTACCAAAGGTTGCATTCTTCCTTTCTTGGTAGTGGAATTTCTTCTATTCATTTTCCATCTTCATCTGCTACCTCAAGGTAAGAATGAGCATGACAACACTGCAGTCTCTTGTTGCTTCTCGAGTTAACGCTTCTCTGTTGGAATGGAACCGAATAGTCTATTTAGTACTAGATTCATCTCCCTAGAGGATGAACCTACTCTCATAGGGTCCAGTCCTCTTAAGAAACCTAAACTTTGGTGGCTTTCAGGTTGAGACGTGAAGAAAAGTAGCATTTTAAAGTAGCTCCAAATTCAAATCTTAGAAATATTCTAAACCAGCTACCTATAGAAACGCAGATAACTATCTGATTGACAAAGAACCATGTGCAGGTATTTAGACTGCCTTGAAATAGGGATATCACTATTTTTCATGAGAGCTTTCAGAAGGACATCAGTACTTTTGGATTACCGTTCACAGTTCACAACTATGATGTGTGTGACTGGTTGTCATACTGCTACATTACAAAATTCTTTTAGACTACAGTGTTATAATTACAACAACCTGATAGAAGTTTTTGATGACTATTAATTCAGTATGTTACAAATAGACACATACAGCCATACACAATGAGCCCAGTTATAATGCAGTTGCTGGAATAATAAATTCCCAAGCAGCCCAACAACAAAGCCAAACACAAAATACTGCAAATGCTGGAAATCTGAAAACAAAAATAGAAGTCGCTGGGAACACTCAGCAGGTCAGGCAGCATCTTTGTAGAAAGGAAAGCGGTTCTGACGAAGGGTTGTGGACCCCAAACACTGACTCACTTTCCTTTCTCCATAGATGCTGCCTGACCTGCTTGAGTGTTCCCAGCAACTTCTGTAACAACAAAGTCAGTTCTTTAGTCAGCACTTCCACATTGACTACGTATGTTTGGGAAATGATGTTACAGGCAACTTGGGCCTAACTCAATTCCAGTTCTAATACATGTGATGCGTAAAGCTGGTGAAAGATATTTTTTTAAAAATCTAGTTTTTCTGAATTGCAAAACAAATGACATTCATAATCCTGATTCCTCAAATCTCCCTCAATGATTGAGCAAAGTTATTCAATGAGTAACAGAGGCTTAAACTAGGAAGGCCCAAGATTCAACTCCCAGTGGGTGCTGAGTTAGCTAATGCAATATTGGAGTTCCACAATTGGCCTCAGCATCTTTGGGTAACCTCAGTGTCTGGACTCCTGGTCCAAATTGCTATCCAGTGACCTCTGTTGCAGATGTACACACCAGGCAGTATTGAACTCAACTACAAAGCCTCCAGGAAACAACTAGCCATGGGTGCGAGGCAAATTTTCAAAAGCAGTGAACTGCTGTATCATCTAACCCAGCAGAGGCTGGGGACCAAACCTTGTAACCTTTCCCCCTGCCCATGACAATCATAGAATCATACAGCACAGAAGTAGGCCATTCGGCCCATCGTGTCTGTGCCGGCTCTTTGAAAAGAGCTATCCAAATCAATCCCACTCCCTCGCTCTCTCCCCATAGCCCTGCAAAATGTGAGTCGTCCCAAGATGTGGGTCGTCTTCAAAGTAAATCTGAAGGAGCATCTGTGCCCTCAAAGCTATTACAACTGGGAAGGACTGTGTAAGTGTGGATAGAGAAGAACATTCAGAAAAGCAGCACTGTACTATCTTTGCCCTTCAGATCAAATCTTCTCCATCCACACAGACTTCTGAAACAGATTAAAAAGCAGAAAACACTAAAGGAAGATTGTGCAGGGTGGGGGAGAAGAGGGGATGGAAAAAGGAAAAATCAACATAAAAGATCGGAAGGGGGTATAATAATTAAATTGGAGGCTAATTGGGCAGGCAAAACTGCCTCAAGCAGTTATTCAGAAAATAATTTCCTGCAAGGTTTAGTTACTAGATGCCAGGAGAATTTATGTAAACTTTGGTCACTTGGTACTAAATGGCGCTACTCTCTCTGGTATAGTCACCTTTAATTCAAATGTGCAATTTGTATTTTGTCAAGAACATAAAATACAATCAGCAATCTCATTCTCTCCTTCTAAGGCAATGCTGGACAAATTATGGCCCCGGCTTCAGCATGTTTCCAAGTTTCTCTTGATTGAATATTTCTTGATTTATGGCATGAATCAAGAAATATTCAATCACGAAAACTTATTTTGTTGGCCGCCCAAAAAGATTGGCCACCACTGCTCTAATCTAAAGGATAGCTGAAGATTATGCAAATTATGGATCTAGACTAAGGAGTCCTGTAGCTCAGAGGTTAGAGCACTCGCCTCACAAGCGAGAGACCTGGGTTCGGTTTCCAGCAGGGCGAAATATTGGGCAAATTTCCTTACTCCACACGCCTCTGTTTAAGTAGGAACCCGGTTGATTGGCGGATCGCTTTTCCGGGGGTAATAATTCCTTTAAAAAAATAATATATTGGTCACGTCAATCCATGACTGTTTGTGGGACACTGCTGTGCACAATTGGCTGTAGCGTGTTACCCACAAAGTATAGTCTATTCACTGTACAGTACATTTTGTGAAGTACCTTGAGACATCTCGAAGACATGAAAAAGCGCTATATCAAATGCAAGGATTATTATTATTATTGGCACCTGGCAGCTAACAACCATAGAATACATTTTTCCTTATCCATGAGAGCAACTACTGATGAAAAGCCTTTAATTCACCTGGGCTAGAAAAATACCAGAAAGCATGGATACATTTCCTATAAGATTGCCCCAGGTTTGCAATCCTACAGTCACACAACTCTATAATGCCCTACAACCCTATAACCTCTCAGAATCTACAAGAACCATGGGCTAGTAGATGTATGCAAAGGCGCTGGCACTGAATACCCATTCTTAAACTGCAACAACAAATCACTGCTCCAATCCCCACTCATCTTCAACCCCCACCGCTCCCCCACGAGTCCACTGACATACTAAACAATCCCCCACCCTCTTGAAGTTCAAAAAGTGAAACTGACAACATATGCAAAGTGAACCTATCAATATGGTAGATTATACCCAAAATATATTTATCCAACATAGTCTTGTCCTTATTACTAATATGAAAGTCACACATGTTGGCACACAAGCAGAGTTCATGCTGACACTCCTGTGCAGTACAGTAAATCTTTACGGAGGCCCATCTGGTTGCTTTTAGAATGAATGTTAAGAGATCTCGTAACAAAATTCAAAAAGAGAAGGGAATTTCTTCTAGTGTCCGCCCATCAACCCTCGAGATTTATTTACCTCATGGCTGGTATCCTAATGGTGCAAATGGTGGCTGAGCTAGCCTACAAAAACAATCACTACATTTGAGTATGTGTCAAGTGATCTGAAGAGAACATGGCATGGTGAGATGGTATAAATACAGAAGATCTTTCTAAACAAAATATTGTTTTACAGTCTAGGTAATATATAGCAGGTTGCCAGTCTCTTCACTAACGTTGAACCACACTACTAGCTATGGGACTTCACAGCGATTACAAAGGCATATTTTTCTTGCTTAGGTGTTTAGACCCATCTTGGTGTTAGTGTGCTCTGTACTAATGCATGCATTCTTCCCGAGTGCTGCCTTCAATACAGAATGCAGATTAGAGTCGAGAAGAGATTTGGAATGAACCAGCTACTCTCTTTAGGTTTGTCATAAATGCCTTCGCAATAGCTTGGGTCAGGAAAAAAGATGAACAATGCAGAACTTTGAGGAAAACATTCTTCTGTTTTCAACAACATTTGGATGGGATGCCTCTCTTACATGTGGGTACTGAAAACAAAACTGCCAAAATTCCACAATTCTGCTATTATATTTTTGATAAACCTTGGTCCCTGCACACGTGAAAAGCTTTTAAGGTTTCTTGGATTATAGTGTTAACTAACTGGTTTAGAATTCAACCCATTCACTTAAAGCTACTATAATACATGAAAGTTTGGAAGACTCAGAAAAAATACAATCAGTAGTTTGAATTTTTAAAAAAAATTTAATAGTCAAACCCAGACAATCCTATTGAATTCAGTCAAGTCAGACAGCACCCATAAAAGAAATCAAATCACCAAGTTTTAAAAAAGCACACAATGTGGACAAAATGCAATGCAGAAGCACGACCGCACTAATCCAGGCAAAGAAAAAAAGGACTCAACTGTTTTGGAGCGGAGGTAATGGGTACAAGGCATGGCATTATGTGGATGTTTATTGAGATATCATGTTCAAAAAAGCTGAGAAACTGTCCATAGGATAGAATGTCCTTGAAGGATGGAAGCAAACTCAGCAGAATACCTTAGCCGAAAATACTACACACAATAATAGCCAGCTTACCATGTCAATCCCAATGTATTGTACTACGTTCAACTTCCCCAGCGTTACCTCTCTGTACCTCAGTTTTACTTAAGAATCTGAAAAGCGAATTAGCACATGATTAATTTATGTAATTGTACCTGTGTGAAGAGATAGCTGTACAAAATGTAACAATAGATCATTATAAAATTTGTTGAAACAATGCCCCCACCAAAAAAATGAACATTCACTACATAGCTTTTTGTTGGACATTGCTGCACATAAAGTTGCTACCACGTACACCTGCAAAATACATAATTACTGCACTTTACAGTGAAATTCCGTGAAGTACTTTAGATGCCTGGAGACTATATCAAATGGAAGGATTTGCATTTCTGTTAAGATGCAACTGGTAATCTCAGGAACTAATATTGCACAGTCAAAATTATGAAATTTTGATTCATGGGCCTCAAAAACAAATGCACAAATATTTCATTATGTATTCGCAAAAAAATTCATAGGATCTGTATCACATTCATATTTTGTTCAGCTAAAATTCTTAATACAAATATCCCCCTTTATAAAAATGTCAAGAATTAAAAATTAGCTCACCTAAAAATAGTCAAATACTGAATGACTTTCCCCCGCACAAAATCTTATTCCGTGAAGCAGGTCACATTGAAACCTGGAAAACAAATATTTTCTCTTTAATCCCTTTGCTATTAAGAAGACTTAATAAGGAGACAGGTTAAATGTTGACACAGTCAAAGGCCCTTAGCCAAAAATGTCATTTCTACAACACTCTCAAAAATAGTATAAGTAAGTATACGCTTTGGTATACAAATATTGTCCATAAGTGATTTTTAAAAAAAAACAGGGAAAATGTAGTGCCAAATCTAGTCTGAAAGATGAGGGCAATATTTCTGTAAGTGTACAACACTATCAATTCCTTAATTTTGTTTCACATATAGTATTCATGCAAAGTATTTGGGCAACTACAGCACAAAATCTTTGACTGGGAGTGTCAATATCATTTGATGAAGCAGCACAAATATTTCAACTTTCCACTCAAAAATACATAAAAGCTTTTTGTTTGGTCAATCTTGTTCCATCAAGCCATTTTATTATCAGTCCAGACATATTTCACTTTGCTAGTTACAGTAAAGTTTCCTAGTTATAACTTATTTTACACAAGCAAAATTAAAGCTCGGCATACCAACCATGTAGAAAAAAATATTTAACAGATTCTTGTAAAGAAAGATAGCAACAGAAATTTTGATAAAACTGCAGTTACACTGTGCAAAGCTGTGTCGCTCAAAGCTAAATAATAATTCAAGCATCTTAATGCTATCATGACGATTTTAGAAAAAAATTAATTCTCATACAATTAGAAAAGATCCGAGGGCCAATCATACTTCTCCAGAAGCCAAACCAAATGTTACTAATTTGATAGCTTTCAAGAGTTTTAAATGGTGTTCCATTAATGGTTCTATTCATCATAGCTCCAAGTTACTCCACAAAGCAATTTTTAAAAAAAAATGTAGATGGCAAGTAGCCTTCTAATCCTGTTTCTAAATGCGAGAATCCATTTCAATTTTGAATTGCTTGAATAACAGCCGAAACAAGCAGAATTAAGTTAATCAGCTACAAAACTTTTCACAAGATAAAAACAACTGCAAGTCCAACTATTCTGCAAGATTTACTTACATCTTCACTAGCCCTGCTCAATGAACACTCACCCTTTGTAGGCAAAAGACTTTCAACTTAAGTGCCAAATGATGCCTTTATTCTAAAAGGAGAAATTTGTGTGCTAACCTCACATCTGTTGAGCCATGAGCACCACTCAGATTGAGAAATTTCTGATCACTTTTGTTAGATATTGTATGGGTAATGGCCTTGACACTATGGAGTCAAGACTTTCAAAGGACACCTGACAGCATTTTCTCGAGGTATCTTGATGCCGAGTACTGAGAGCATATCAGCAATGCCACTTGCAGATTTAATTACGCTTTACTACATGAAATTACATATATACACAAGCATTTTACAGTGAATATTTTAATTCTTCGTGCAATGCAGTTTTTTAGGATATTATTATCAAAGTGTTCTGTTGCTGGATGAAGCGATTACAAGAGAAAGAACAGGAAATCTGACGTCAGTCTAGCCAAAACAGTTCAGTCCAGAAGTTGCTTTCTACAGCAGTCTGCAAAATTCTTGTCATAAAGCCAGATGTAGTACCCAACCTAAAATTACAAGCACTAATCATTGTTGGTTTATAGAATTCCATTTCAGAGATCACTGTCCGGGACTTTGGTTCACTTCATCACTGGAATTTAAACCATTCCACATTCTAAGCTAAATTTATTAAAATGCTTTGGTTGGTTATCTCTTCAATGTTTACCCATATGAATTTCATTATGGTAATTGAATATTTAGACAAATAATAATCATAATCCTTGCATTTGATATATATTGAAAAAAGTATATATTAACTGTGTTTTTAAACTGTTAATATAGAATAGCCAAGGTCACATTTCTCTAGGTAGGATAAATACAGCAATGGCTGGATGTCCACATGAATGCTCTGTAAAAAATGTTGTCTTGCAGTAAAGGGCAGAAGAATACCAACACATTCTAATAAGCAGATCTGTTTATTTCCACCGTTCCTCCAAGCTCATGTTAATATTCAATGAAGTTTTTCATAGTCTGTCCTGGAATTTAATCAAGTTGCAGAGTCAGTTCAGAACACAAAGGCAACTCTGTTGAAGATTGACACATTTCCAAATACCTGCTTTAGAATTGTTCACTCCAATGCATTAATCAAAGCAATAAGGTCTTTGCTTGGTGTTGTATATAAACACATAGCCCAATATGAACTCCTAATTGTCCTATGAACAAAGTCTAGAGACAAACTGACGTGATAACATTTTAAGATTCAACTGCAGCAGTATACTATAATTGATATGACTCAATGCTAAGGAGTAGAGAAATTATTACATGAAAGTCAAGACAATAACATGCTCATTATGACGGTTCTTTGTGAATTAAGAGCTTGCCTTTAACATACTATCACTGAGGACAAAGCATTTTTTCCTGCTTTCTTAACTTTTAATCTTGCCATTATCTTTTCTGGCTAGTCTTTTAGAAAGTGAAATCAAAATTATGTTACCTTTACTAAATAAACCTCCATCTGTTCATTTGCAATTACATTACTATACTAGTTATGCTTATTTTACATTGATATTATTACAGCAATAAGCTCACTCTTGGAACAAGAACCTTTTTTCTGTAACATTAATACTTGTTTAGTGCCCCGATGAAAACACAAAATGAAATAAAACTTGCTAACCCGAGAAAAACAATTCCACTGTATGTTAAGAGTTTTAAATGTAGCAAATTGCTACTCAACTATTAACTTCTCTGGACTATTTTGCAATTTGTCATGGTGCAAATTTAAAAGTAAAAATGATCAATGTCTATTCTACTGGGTATAATAATTGTCTGGATATTGTAAATTACTATATCTGGTTTAAATAAATGAAGAATTATTGCCTTTTAATTACATAATTAAATGGAAAATTGTAGTTAATAAAATTGTAGAAAATCTTCCTTTTTAATGAATAAAAATTAGCAAGCATGCTGTTCAACATCATACTGAATATCTCCCACTTCTACAGCATTTACTACCAAAAAAAAGTCCTTGTGCATCACTTTGTGCTGTACATTTAAGATTAGCAATGTTTTATCCGTGCCCCTCAAAACAGGAAATGTCTGCCGCTAAAGAGTTCATTACGTTCCCATGGCTACTTAGTTATCTTTAAAGCATACATGCAAAGCAGTCCTTTTGTGAGGGAAGTCGAACACTCTACGTGTAATTAATACCAATTGGCTAGGCTAAGAGTTGTACGGAAAGTTATTTTAAATACAATCAATCATTCAAGTCACAAAGGAGAAAAAACGTTCAAATGTGATGCTTGCATACATGTGCTTTTCTAAAATAAGTCAGGATACCCCAGCAAAGGGTAGCTTTGTGTATTACATCTTGCACATCAACTGCATTCGAGCATCTTGGTGATGAGTAGGCTCATCACAATCTCTGTGCCTTGCAATTAATGCATGCTGTTATTTATAGTACAACACCCCACAGCATTCACAAACAGCTCAACCCCCTTCCAAATATTTTCCACTTGTAAAGTGTAATCTTCTTCCAATGTTATGTTATTTTTATTCTAATCGAAACCAATGTCTACAATTTTCTAAAAAACACTCAGTCCACAGAATTGAAGTACAGCCAGATCAATCTGTTCACATTTCAAACTGTAAATAAAAATAAAGAAAGAAATCAAGAAAATAAAGTAATTATTTACTGATATCTGTGGACAGCATGATGTTTGGTTTCTATTGAAATAGTTGAAGATAGAACTTTTACAACTGCTAAAACAAGTCATTTGTGTACTAAACTATCTGGTTTCAGATGTTGACTGTAACTGTCTTAAGTGAATTATTGGCAGCAAAGGTCACATGGAGACTTCTTTATCTTAACACCAAGTTGCAATGTTAGTTTTCCACCCTGATAATTCTTCTGTGCCTCCCTGACAGCTTATCTACTTATACCACATTTGACTATTTGTCCACCACTTTCTTATGAGGATGATACTCTACTTTAAGGAAAAACAAAAGTAAAAAAATTCACAGGTTGCATTTCTATAACCAAATCTTTATTTCTACAAAGTGTAATTCACCCTCTGCAGTCAATAGCAAACCTAGACTGCAAAGGATGTGCCCGTGTGAAGTTTTGTAAACAAGTTCCATCACAACAGTGGAAATATTTCAGAGGACCGTCGAACCTAAAACTAGACTCACATCCATTAGTGGAAACTACGGCAGACTCATTAAAACAAACACTCCAGTTTGAAAATTTCATCCAACTGTTGAGTTCACCTCAACACCCCCCTTCCCCAAAAATTTTAAAAAAAAATCAATTAGTAAGGCAATACATTTTCAAGACTCATTGCAATACGTATATGCATATCTGTGATTTAGCTGGAATGCGTTTTGTGTCTGACCTGATCATATTAAACTTCTTGATGCAAATTTTTTGCACACATTACTACATTCAAAACTCTCAGATTAAGATACACACAAATTAAGTTTATGAGTGAAAGCTATGGCAAAATTACTCCCATTGCAGTTTACATTATAAGAGTCCTTTAGGAATGCTGTAGCTCAGTGGTTAGAGCGCTCGCCTCACAAGTGAGAGACTTTGGTTTGATTCCTGACAGGGCGAAACCTTGGCCAAATTTCCTTACTCCACACGCCTGATGATAATTCCTCAAGAAAAAAAACAATAATAAAATTGGTCGCTTCAATCCACGATTGGTTGTGGGACACTGCTGTGTGCAATTCGCTGCCGCGTTTTGCCCACAAATATATGGTTAATTCACTTTACAGTATATTCTGTGAAGAGCTCTGAGATGTCTAGAAGACGTGAAAAGCACTATATCAAATGCAAGGATTCATACAATGACTTTCATCTAAAAGATTACCTTAAAGGGTTTCACAGTTCACAACAAAATAAAATGTCCATCTACCCCTCTGATTTAGTACTAACTCCATGTAACAAATTTTTAACAGTTTACCAATAGTTATTGAAACTTAACTTAGTAATACTGTAACCTTAAACTTGTGGATATTGTGGGAAACAAAGTCTATCCACAAAAGTACTTCACCAACAGGAGACAATGGAAAGGAATTTGCTCTTGAATTCACCAGCAGCCAAATCAGTGATCAGTCCAACACTAAATTAGTTGAGAAAGCTTTCGCTACACTAAAAATGACCCTTTGGCTCATCTCTACAAATCAAAAATGAAAATTCCAACCTCTGCCCAAGCACCCTTTCTTCTTTATCAATACTGCGTAGTCTCTATGTTGATAGTAATTGCCAATGTGAACTCATTTGTGAATTAATCTAGTCTGCACCATTGCAAATCCAAATCATTGCACACTCTGGTTGAAAGCAAATCAATAAAAATGCAATCGATTTGATGCTATTGAAAGTTCTACAGCTATGTCCCACTGTTTGTCTATTCCTTGAACAACTAAACAGAAAAGCATATTCATGGGTATGAATGCAAAAACAATATTCTTTAGGTACTGATGAGTTTTCTTTAGATATTTAGGTAATAACCCTGCTGTTTGGCTGGTTTGTGCTAAATTTATTTCTCTCAGACAGGACAACATTGGGGTCACTATAATTAGCCAGTGTCTCTAGGCTAGAGAGAAAAAATGAAAGCTTACTGATTCTGCTCATGATTGCTTATCCAGCAATTCCTGTGTGAAAATATGGTTACAGAGGCTGGGCAAGAACAGGATCAGTGTTGACTAAGACACTTATCCCATAAAGAGTGACCAATTGATTGAACTACTAGAAGACTATGAACGCAGTATTACAGCAGAACACTATTATAATGCAAAGGTTTTTGTCCATTAAATCAAATTTCGGATTATAATGGGTCATGTAATAAAAAAAATAGATCAGCACTGTACATATTTAGTTCATAAAATACAACTGTTATTTTTCAATATTCTCTGACTTCTTCCTGTAGTCCATTGTGTTGCAAAACCTAACAGATGTATCATGAACAGTTGCAAGGTGATCAAGTCACAAGGTCACACCGCCCGCCGGGTGGTCAGTGGAAAATTATTGATTTAAAAATTATGGATCAGACATGAAAACAAGCATCAGATTAACCAACCACAGTCAAATTGAACCACAACAGAAATTAAGCAGATGCTACTGTAATTTGTGGTCAACTAAATTTACTGCATGGTTCCAAATAATGCATTAGTATTTTTCACAGCAACTGGAGAACTTGTAACAATTGATGTCCGTTTGTGCATATTGCGAGAAATTCTCTTGCGGACACTCCTGTCACTTCGAATTCTGTAGTAGAACCTTAAAAGTAGAAATGTTCGCCATCACACCATGAAGCATGCCAAAGGCTATTGGAACCCTGCAGCATGTTAGTATCCTATTACATGTTGTCCAAATATTTCTGTGCTCCCAGCAACTACAAAGTCAATTTTATGAGGTAGCCATTTCTAGCTGTGTAATTTTACTTGGTTAGAATATCTAATATTTTAAAAGTTACCGTGTAGTATATTACTCCATAATAATTTTCTTTGTCAACTACAGCATCAACGTTATTTCAAGCATTTTTGATCAAAATAAATACTTTACATTCACATAAAGGTACAGTAGTAGGTAAACCTAACCCTTTTACATGAATTCTTGGTCACAATTTATATTTTCAATAAAATTTTGAATACAAGGCACCTTCAGAAAAAAATTCTATCTTCAAAGACAGAATCCCCAACTGGGCAACTCATCACAATTGCTAACTAAATATGGATCTGAAAGCTTTAAAAAAAAGTGATCTTGTAATTGATCTGAGTGCTGTCGTAGCTGAGACACATACATTACATATGCAAGATAAGTAAGCTTAACAGGAACAGAGCAGCAGAAAGCTGGATGATGAGATGTCACACCTTAACCTCCCTAAAAACACATTTAGAAAGGCAATGCTGATCCGTCAATCAGAAATAGTTTAGTATTACCTTTTAATGAGTTAGGCGGAAGGAAACACTTTTAATGCAAATTGTTTTCCCTTTCTGGTTTTCTACATGAAAGCTTTTTAAAAACCTCTGGCCACTGGCTGAAGACAGAATCATCCACTTTTTCACTGTTCAAATTCACAAGCAAAATATTGCAACTTGTACAAGATAATGAAAGGCGGCTAATCTTATGGAACTATACCTCACCATGAGTCACAGGATTTTCGGAAAAGGGAGGAGAGAAACTTAACCTCCCTGGCACTCAAGATTGGGAATCAGCAGACTGTCTGATCAACTCTGAAAGTGGCTTTGTGCATAGCATCAATTTTGTAGTACACAGCAAACACATATTCTGAATGACATTAAATTGCAATCTCAAGAGACTACCATATGGATGGATCAATGATATAGAATTGTCAATTACCTTTTAAAAAAAGCAGTCTTGACAAAAGAATATTTTTAAAAAGTACTATGATGTCTAACTGATTTAGAGGCATCATGCAAAAAATATTCAATTAATTTTCATAAACAGCAAAACGACAGAACTGCACAAGTTCCAAAATAATAAATAATATTTTAAAACAAAATCTCTATATTATATATAGCACTTCAATTCTAATTAGATTTTATTTGCCAATTCAGGGATGTAAATTGGGATTATAATTTACAACAGATGTTTAAAAAATACTAAATGCTATTTGGTTAGGATTATGAAACAGAGCAACACATTTTTCCTTTATTTAAAAAATTAAACATCTGCCGAAGCCCTCAGGTGATCATTACTGAAGTTTAAATGCTTACTGCAGGTCTTTAGGTTTACTAAGTAGCACGACACAGAATCCAACAAACAATGTTTAATATGTTGACTTCAAAAGGTCAAAGCATCAATATCCTCTCTTCACTGTCAATCAGTTTAAGACCCCTGTGTACAGCTTATTACTAATTACACAAATATTATTTTTCCCTAAATATTCAACTTGATACTGAAATCACAGACATTCACACTAGTTTAATTGTTTTCACAATCTCATGGGACAGTAATACTTCTATGGCCCACAAAATACAGTCAATTCCTTTACAGTATATTCTGTGAGGCACTTTGAGACGTCGTGAAGACACGACAAGGTACTATATCAAATGCAAAGATTATTATTAATTTGTGAATTCCATTTTAAAAAGTAAATTTGAGTGGCAGATTATTATTGGTGAAATCCAGATGAAACCCAGTGTTACAAAGCTGGAATTTACCCTGGATCTATAAGAAATCAAGGACTAATAGAGCAATATTGAAGGAGTCTAAAATGTCACACAAACCTAAAGGTATGCTAAAACCTCAAGACTCTCCCATCCATTTGTGGACAAGGTTTTCTTCTCATTTGTAAGCTTTACTATTAAACTTCATATTGTTCGTTACCATTGAGATTTCCTTACCACTGCCTTTATAGCTGTCAGGGTTTCTTATAAATCTTCAACTTAGGCAACTGGTGAATTTGTATTATTTTACATGAAATAACAAGAAGCTACTGGGTCAGGCTTGTAAAAACATCAGATAAGAATAAATGTTTTTCTTAAAATAATACACTGTTTTTACTTGATTTATAATATTCAGTGTAATATATATGAATCACTCATCAATACAATCCTAACAGTTAGTTTCAGGAAAATTCATTAGCACATAATATTCAGTACAAGTTGCATATTGTTTTCTTCCAAGCAAAAGGCTAAATAACTAATTAATTGAATACCAAAATAAACAGTGTTGTCATTATAAAAAATAAACCAATATTTAAGCAGTACAGAAAAAAACTGTGTACCACACAGCACGTTTCCAATATTTACCAATAAAACTTGCAATAGTATTTTGATAAAATAAGAAAACTGCAGATTCAGTTTTTTTTAAACATTCTGATCTAAACAATAACAACAATATAAGATGAAATAGGTTACTGTAAACGCATTCGGTGCTAAGATTTCTCCCCCAAATAGGAGGGAAGGGGGAACATGAAGGGATAAGCAACATTTCCCAAGTGAGAATAAAAATATCTAATTGCTCAGTTGAAAACAGCCACGTTGGACAGCGGCTGCATCAGCTGAGCTCCGACCACACCAACAACCAACCCCTTCCTACCCTGTCTCTCCCCATCAATCCACCGATTTGTTTTTTTAATATTATATATATATATAAAAATGGAAACCACAAAACGAGAGTACAGACGGGTTGTGTGTGTGGTGGGGGGGGGGGGGGGGGGGAGAGAGAGAGAGAGAGAGGCAACCAGCATATCGGGCTTCCTTTGCCGGTGAGAAAGAGAAGTTATTGAAGGAGGTAATAAATATTGTAAAACATAAAATATACAGAGAGAGAGAGAGAGAGAGAGAGGTGGGAGAAATAAATAAGTTGCTCCCGTCACTGCGGTTGTCAAGATGGAGGGAGGGCACCGGGAGGAGGGAGGGAGGGAGAGAGAGAGAGAGAAGCTGGGAGGTAGGGGTGTGTGTGTGTGTGTGTGTGGAGGGTGTGGAGAGATTAAAAAAAACTTGGAAACTAACCTGAAAGGTCGCCGCGGCCATTAACCAAACCGGCTGCTCGCCGCCACAGAGAGATCGGGCCCCGAACGGAAAGGCCGATGTAGACCGGGCCAAGCCGGGGCCTCTCGCTCTTCTCTCTCACACTCTCCCTTTCCAGTGCGCGACGGACGAAACCGCCTTTACCCCCCCACCACCACCTCTCCCTCTCTCTCTCTCACACACACACCCCGTCCTCTCTTTACGCCCCTCCCCTTCACCCGAGAACGACCACCATTGTGATGCGGATGATAACGACGACGATTATTCCCTGCCTCACCTATACACACGCACGCACGCACACGGACACGCACAGTCTCTGTGTCAAAAAAAAATTCTTTCAAATGTCCCCCCCACACACACACACACACACGGAGATGGAGTCCCTTCTTCAGAACATGGCGGCGGCCGGCGGGCGGGCGGGCGGGAGGGGAGGGGCGTGTGTGTGTGTGTGTGTAAAGAGGAGGAGACAGCGCCAGGCGGGCGTGAGGGGGGGGGAGGGAGAGAGCGCCCGCGCGCGCGCGCGCGTGCGTGCGTGCGTGCGAGCGAGCGAGAGAGAGCCAGGAGGAGGGGAGCGCGTGAGGAGGAGAGCGCGCGTGCGCGAGAGGGAGCGCGTGAAGCGTCCACCAAAACTGCAACGTCACGGCACGGGACGACAGGAGCGCACAGCAATTGCGCGGGGTGTGTGCGCGCGCGCGGGGCTCACGTGATGTAAGGTGACCGGTTGCCACGTGAGCTCCGTGGAAACGCCCTCCGAACCGGAAGCGCTCCTCCATAACAAACGGCGGCAAATGGGCGCTTTGAGGCTTCCTCTCAGTCTCGGGTTTTTTTTTCTGTCACCTCGACTCTCTCTGTCTCTCTCTCTCTCTGTCTCTCTCTCTCTGTCTCTCTCTCTGGTAACATTTGGCCCACAGAATATGCAGTCAATTCACTTTACGGTACCGCCCTGCTTTAGAGATGTGTGGCAGATGTGATAAGGTGCTTATCCGGGACACCACCCCGCGCGAAGGGTGCGATCGTCAATGCTAGTGTTGGCTGCGAGAGCGCGACGTCCGAGGTGAGACCGAATCCACGAGTGGTGGGGTGGGGGGAGCGCAGCTATTTCTGCGTGCGCGGTGCCGGCCGGCCGGACAGACAGATCGGTCAACCGTTCATTTTTTGCGGATGGAAAAAAAAGCGCCACGGATGCGATCCATGCTTTTCTTTTTAAAAAAAAAAGCCGTAATTCAAACCGGTATTGCGTTTCGTTTTAATTTTGCAAAATGTGATTTTTGTGGTAGTGATACAGTTTTTTGGAAGTTCCCATCATGCCTCCGGTCTTGCCCCTGGATCAAGCTGAGGTTTCTGTAAAGGAGAAAAACACAGGAAGGACTCAGCAATTGCCTGCATTGGTAAGTTACAAAGGTGGAAATTCGAGTCTTTAACCTTCTATGCCCCAGCGCCAGTGCAAAGCGCCCTTAAAATATTTCCCAAGATTAAATTCGCTAAATTATCTAGGTATTCTGTGATTCTACAACTTTCTAGTTGAGAGTTGATCACACCAGCCAACTCTCTTCTCTTCAGACATGTAATAGTTTTAGCCAAACATTTTTAAGAAACCTGAAAAGCGCTTGAGGGCAATTCCAATTCACACTATCAAACCGACTGCTGTCACTAATGGATTCCGACAGTTCAGTTTATGCATGAGCAGGCAAACATGAGGCCACAGACTGTTTTGTTTTGTCTGTAATTGCCTCCACGTATAATTGTGTTCTTTGTATATATGGCCAAATCTAAATGTGGTATCCAGCATGTTTGGGCACCGGGTTGAGAAAAGTGTTTAGTGACCAGTATTTGAACCCATCCAACATAAGGTTGCTTGCCATCTTATATTATTGAGGCAAGTTTCCAAGGATTCATTGCTTTCCGTTTTTAACCAAAGCGGATTGGGTACCTGGCCTCTGTTTCGTACTTTATATAGCTGACTGGCTGACTGACACCAAGAATTCAGCAACCTGGAGGGGGGAGGGAAGAAGATCAAACCCATGCCTCCCATGACTGTATCACACACTGGCTTGTCCTGGACTTCTTTTTAAAAAAATTATTCTGCATAATTCTGCTGATAACTTGCTTCAAAACGGCTTGCTTTCTGGCAAGAACAATTAATCTTAAATCAATCATTGAATCTTAAATGAAAAATTTGATTGCTTTTAAAAATAGGGCTGATTTGTGACTTAGCAGATAGAGTGCCCTCGTTTTGACTAATTATGTTGGAAATTATACAGTATCTGTTCCTTGTAATATGACTGACAATAATTATGTGCAATAGGGCCTTCTATTAGTAGTGAAAGGGTATTTCTGAAGTCACCAAATATAGAAGAAACTCCATGCATCAAAAGACCTATATGTTGCCTATATATTTATACAGATGTCAAATCAACACAAAGTAGTGTATATCTGTCATAAGTGAAGGGATCAGTTCTCCCCTAGTCATTTTGCTCTCAACTGACCTTCCTGAGAATGTAAAGATTGAAAATTAAGTTTTGGTTGCATTTGTTGCAAAGCAACTTCTGTTGAATGCAACTCATTAATGTATGTAGCTCCAGCACTGGTCTATATGTACGTGTGTGATAGAATGCCATCTGCATTTATGTGTAATCTGTTCGCTGCAGACACTTCATAAATATTCTTTCTTAAAATTAAGCATCCAAGCAGGAAGGAGGATCGTTACTTTGTCCTGTACAAGCCTCCGCCTCAAGGTGGCGACAAAGCACTGGTGGAAGAATTTCTGGAGCGTGCTCAGTTCACTGCAGATGATCTGGATTGGTTGCTTGCTCTTCCTCACGACAGATTTTGGTGTCAGGTATTAAAAGTGCCTTGTGATAACGTGCGTAGTCGACCTGTGTAATCAGCGGGTAACGCCATTTGGGGTTTGGGAACCTTGTTTGGCATACTGCTATCGTTAATGGGAATTGTTTGGGCACTCCAATATGTTCTGCGTTACTTAAATGTTTGACACAAATAATAATAATAATAATAATCCTTGCATTTGATATAGCGCTTTTCACGTCGGGAGGACGTCCCAAAGCGCTTCACAGAACACACTGTAAAGTGAATTGACTGTATATTTGTGGGCGAACGCGGCAGCCAATTGCGCACAGCAATGTCCCACAAACAGTCATGGATTGAAAATGACCAATTTATTATTGTTTTGTTTTTGGAGGGATTATTATTAGGCGTGTGGAGTAAGGAAACTTGCCCAAGGTTTCGCCCTCTGCCTGGAATTGAACTTAGGTCTCACTTGCAAAGTGAGTGCTCTAACCACTGAGCTACAGGACTCCACAAAGTAACGACCCTATATATGCATAAAGAGCAAATCTATGGTTCTAGAAGAGATACAGATCACTGCAACGTTGATATCTTGCCACTCTGGGGTCCTTAAGTCTTGGCTCCTGTCAACCGGTGCCTAATACTTTCCAGAATTAGGCAAGCAGGATGCATCCCTCCAGGCAATTACGTGCTCAATTCCAAAAAAAACTCTGGAATTTCCATGTGTAGGTGGGATGCAGTTTAGTTTGGATACTCTTAAGCATGCCAATGGGTTTCCGCATATGTCAGTTTGATGATTTGTTTTTAGGTTATTTTTGAAGAAACAGCCCAATTTGACGTTTTGTTTAATTTTTAGGTTATTTTTGATGAGACCTTGCAGAAATTCCTGGACTCCTTCTTGCGATACATGCCTCGCCAATTTGACGAATTGGAGAATCCAAATCCAGCTGTGGCAGAGATGCAGAAAAAGCTCCATCGCACCGTCTTTATGACATTTCTCAGAATGTCCACTCACAAGGAGTCCAAAGTAATTCAGTTGCTCTGACAATGATTTATTGTGTCTAATTGTTAATTAGATATTTTTACTTAACACACTTCTTTTTCGTATGATTGTTTGTGAACATCTCAAAGTGTATGTATAATGAAATGTTCCTTTTTCTTACCTGTTTTGCAAAGAAAGCAATAATTTCGCCCACAAAATGTACAGTAAATTCACTTTGCAGTGCATTCTGTGAAGCACTTTGAGATGTCTCAACAACATGATAAGGCGCTATATCCAATGCAAGAATTATTATTATTTTATCATAATACAGACCGATTGGTTTAAATTGTTGTTCGAAATTTATTTTTGTAATTAGGACCATTTCATCTCGCCTGAGGCTTTCAGAGAAATAATTTACGATGGCTTCCTCTTTGATATCCCCAAAATCTTTGACTTGTGTGTTCTGTACGGAAAAGGAAACGCTGCTCTCCTCCAGAAGATGATCGGTCAGTTCTCAAGTGGCGAGATCACGTGTGTTATAGAGGAAATTATTCAATTTGTCTGATAATAATCAATTGTGTCGGTAATTGTTAATTCTCTGAACCTGATTAATTGTCCATTAGATATTGACAATGATGTTGATAATTATTAATTAGATATTGACAATTATAACATTATAATAATTAATTATAAAGATTAATAATTATCAAGCGCTCTGAGACATTGCCCTGGGTAAAGGGTGTTATATAAATGCAAGTTTTTATTCAGAGATTTTTTTAATGTACATTTTCTTTCCTTCAGGAAACATTTTTAATCAGCAGCCAAATTACTTTAGCGATCTGAATGAGACTGTGCCCACAATCCTGCAGGTAATGGGACTGCACTGTAATTGCTTATTGTGGTATGATTTCTGGTCTCCTTATAATGGCTTACAGATTTACAGTAAAACCAGAACACCGGGAGCAAGAACAGCTGCAAACAATTATAGTTTATTTAAAAAAATTCAAGGTTTTTTTTGTGAGAACAAATTAAATGGCAAGGAGAAACAACTGAATAAAAGGTTTGAGTAGCACTGTCTTTTGACTTCTGGAACCCATGGCTGGCTGACACAAAATTGGCAGCCCTCATTTGGGACTTGATGGTGTTAGAAGCTGCAGAAATTCACAATGGTGTGCAAGGGTGTTGTAACAAAGTTGGCATTTAGACACATTCTTGGAGCCCATGGATGGAGCATCACTCTGCATTTGACTCCTGTTCCCTTGACCTCAGGAATACTTCTGGCTGACATCGGATGCCAAAAATGGATGTTGACGTTCCATTCTCCGGCACTGGCATCCTTTGCCTTGATAGGATTTTAACAAACGAATAGATAAATCATCCAGAAAAATTAGAACCTATGAATTCCATAGCAGCCTATTAAGATTCACAGCCTATGAGCATCACTCCCATTCAATGCAATCACACACATTGTGCATTTCTTTTTCTATCCAGTTCAATAGCAAACTTAATTTCCTTTCATTCTCATTGATTTCTTCACTTGTTTGGCTCTCCGGAATTCTAATCGTTCCTTTATAAAGGCTTTAGTTTGGTGCCGTGAACACACATCCCATTTGATGTTTGTGATGCCAGGAAGTTCTTAAACAAATAATGCAATTTAAAAGCCCACTTATTTTTAAATAAATTGTTAGTGTGTGCTCGCTGTACATTGTGATTTCTACATGTTTTTCATGGTTGGAATCCCTTCAGAATTCTAAAAAGGAACATTGGCTTTACAGCTGAACATTTCTAAGATATATGGCTATTATCAGGAAATTGATGCTGCCTTGCAAAGCCCTGCAGATGTGAATAGCGCATTAATAGTAACTTCAATGTAGTCATTTCCTTGATGGGGAAGAAAAGTCTATTGAGAGTATTTTCTGTTCAAGTACTATACTTATAGTGATTTTCTTAAAGTGTACACTATCTGTAATGTAACACTGAATAGGGTTTGAGCTGAGTGTCTTTCACAAGAGACAATCCATCACAATGTTCAAAACAAATTATTGAGAGTTCTACAAATGTATAGAAATTTCCACTCTCCCTGGATGTCCAATCCTGCTCACCTAATTCTGGAAGGTATTGGCTGAAGCTTGCAGAGAGCTAACACATGTGGGCGCCCAGAATGTGCATTGGGGATTCTGCTGGAGTTTGCCATTAAGAAAAGTGTCTGGCAAGTGTCCTGCTGCTTATCCAGCAAGGACCACCCTACCCATTAGAACTTTGGCTTGTAGCCTTAACAGGAGTTCATTGGGAAGAATCTCTTCCCCCATTTTTACCAGTTATGAGGGTTTTAAAGTTATAAGCATTTTGTTCTGTTTTCTTCCAAGGTGTTCAGCACTATCCGTGAGAAGTGTGGTGTACAGTCTGAAAATCAGGTTGAACGGCCACAGAAGATTGGCACTCAAACCAAAGCCACGCCATTGGATATGCCTCTGCAGGTCCAGCTCTTAATTATTAGGCAGTTGATTGTTCATTCCTAACAGCCAATTTTTGCTGGCGGTGTATGAAAAAACTTGTATCTTCAAGAACAGTAATATTTGAATTATATAAACATGTATTGAAAGTTCTACTGCTATTCCCACGCCCTTTTCATCTAGAAAATTTTATTTTACTGTAGCCACAACTAATGAACTGTACAAGTGGAAAAAATGGATGGATTTTGTTAAAATCATTACTCCATTGCTTTCTCTGCTAGAGACAAAACGTGCGTATAGCATATTGCACATTGGAGTTAGTGCATTTGTTTTCTTGTGTTAAGAACCATTTCTCCTGTTGCCTAATTTGCCAGTACTATAACAATGCATCGGTACTTTATTGCCTCTAAAGATTTATTATATAAGTCTGCAAAGTGTACCATCTTTATATAAAGTTTATAGTTTGTATAAAGCGCCTTGGGGCATCCTTCCCACATGAAAGGCGCTATATAAATGTAATTTGTTGTTGTTTGTACTCTACAAAGTCAGTTGACTGAATGTACTTTGTTCTTTCAGGAGTTTAAAGATATTTTGCTGTATCTGTGTGATACTTGTACTACACTGTTTGCTTTCCTGGATATTTTCCCTGATGCGAGTAGGACAATGCAAAAGCATGACTTTCTACTCCGGTAGGTTTACTAATGTAGTATTAATAATAATACCCCTCGCACTTTACTTAGCGCTTTATGATATCTTAGATGTCTCAAAGCGCTTCACAGAATATACTGTAAAGTGAATTGACTGTGTATTTTGTGGGCGAAACACAATGAGTGCAATGAGAACACTTTTTTTAACAAATAATATTGTACAAATTGAACTATTAAGTATTTAATTCTGCATCCAGTTTGAATGTGGAAAGGTATTTTAAAAAAGTACATTTAGGTTTTATCTAGTTTTATTTTAATTATTGATTTTTGGAAATAAACGGTAATTTGGGAGGAATAACATACAGAGTTAATTTTGTCTGAACTTTCCTCTTTCCTTGCAGATTGACTTCATTTTATGAGGCAGTTGTCCCTGAACTGGAGCGTACAATTAAAAAGAGGCAATTTGATGAAACCAGGTAAGAATACTTGAGTGAAATTGCCATTAAAAATTGCCATTAAAGAAAATCTTGGATTTTCCAACAGAAAAACAGCTAAAAGTGGAAAGCTCTGTATAGACCTAACCGTGTATTTTCCAAAACAAAATCCCTTTGGATGTAAATATTTCTTGAACGCTTATTTATCTGAATTTCCCAATCGTTTTCCATTGCTGTTTTGCTTCCAGATCTCAGTGGAAGGCTAGTGCCTTCCTATAGAAGCGCATATGTGATTTCACTACCCTTTGGCAGTGAAACTCTCAACCAGTAACTGAACGGTGAGGACATGTACACATGCTCTCCGGGACTAAAGTTTTGTTCTTGTCTTTTAGTTTGCAGAGTGATCTATGGAGGAGGCTCTCACATTCAAGGAAGAAAATGATAGAAATCTTTCATCTCATCATAAACTACACATGCCTTCAACCTATATTAGAAAATGGGTGAGATGGCAGCAAAGAATTACCTGTATTTGTGTGGGTGTATGTATATATGTATGTGGATAACATATTGACAGCACCAAACTCACTGAAGTGAAGCATATAGAGCTTTCCACTTCTAGCTGTTTTTCTGTTGGAAAGCATAACAAACGCTTTCCAGCAGTTATGAACCAGGTATAAAATAAGCTTTCTCGGATTTTGGAAAATGAAAAGCCGTTCTGTGCACTCGTCTTGGTACGCCGCTACAATTCTGCTACAATTATTTCTTGGTATCCACAACCACATTTATTTGCCTTGCTCTTTTACTTTTACTTCTGCTATTCGAATACTGGATATTCTGTTAGGAGCAGGCTTGCTTTGTTAAATCTCATTGTAAGCTCATTTATGCTGATCTTTACAAAAGGGAGTGCAGCTTATTTTATTTCTTTTTAAACCTTGCAGAAAATAGTTCAGTGTAATGGTATTCATAAAGCAAGCTGTCAGAGTAAAGAATTTGGACAACAGTCCCTTGTGTCTGTGGCGGCACAGTTTATTCAAGGTCTTTGATGCATAAAAGCCTAATTTATTTTGAATCTGGGTTATTGTATACATTTGGGGTTATCTTGCATAACGACCATTCAAAAATGCTAGTATTTATCTGGAGTCTGCACAGCAGGAAATGCTTAATATTGTTGTATTTATTCTAAACCTCTGTTAGGAGCAAGGGGACCATTCCTGTTTCACAGAAGCACACGTAGCATTGGCTAATTGTGCAGTGACATTGACTCTGCAGCCCAAATTGTTGAAGTTCAAGGCATGGCAATAAAGGGGATTTATAAAAACATGTCAGATGAATAGCTGGCTTTCTGGCAGATTAACATAGCCTATTGGGTAACCTAATTTCCTGGCACAAATAGCTAAACATCTGCGTTGTTTTCCTCCCCCAAAAAGGGCTTAAAAAATGACTCAATTTTTTAATTGATTTACTCCCAAATCACTCTCTTTAAGGATACTGTATTTCGCAATGGCAGTGGGTTCTGGTCTATTGCAGCTGTACACAAATCGAGCCAAACCTTATTACAGAAAGGCATTTGGGTTGTCTGAATATGGAACTGTTGTGGATTGCTACACCACTGAGAAATCAAAAGTTTGATTCTTTGGGAGTCATTAAATAAGCAGTTGAGCCCAGTTACCTTTTCCAGTTTCTATAAAAGAGAACTAATACTTACATTAAACTTGTTGCAATTTACAATGTGATAGGAGATGTTATGATGCATCATCTACAAGTTATGAGTCAAAAGCATTTAGTGCAAGAAAAATATGTATACCACATGCCATTTTTACTGCATTAGTTCCAGTTACGGTAACCAAATATTTGACAGTTGTCTTTCTTGTGTTTGTAGATCTGAGAACATTTTGGCTTTCATAGAAGATTTTCTTCAGATCTTCACAGCCCTTCTGCATGAAAAGAGGTATGGGATGCAATCAGACTCCACAAATACCAGCATTAAAGCTTCACGTGCTGTCAATAGAACTCTGTCCTTTATCTGCAGACATTTGGTAGAAGAATCAACTCGCACTTACTGGTTCAGGATTGTTGACACATATATTAGGTTATGGGAAATCTGTGATTTGCCCAAAGGATTCTATAACAATTTATAAGTCTTTCTGTGCTCCCAACAATTGCCATGTCAAATGTGTGAGAGGAATGCTCCTGTTACTATCTAACTTAGAGCCACAAACTTGCCGCAAAACTTGCATTACAGAGATTTTACAAGGCAAAGTGACAATTGAATCTCAATGTTATTCCCCAAAAAGAAATTCCCACCATTTCCATATTATTACTGACTATAGCCGAGCAAACCAACATTAAGCAATGTCTGGATTCGTGTATAAATCGTGTTGTTGGAAAAATCTTTCTCAATGCTCTAACAACACAAGTGTTGGAATGCAAGATCCCCTAGCAGAAGGTTGGGAGCTCAAATCACCTTCTATGCAGTGTTGGTTTCTCCTGATGTATTGCTAGGTTCCAAAGCTCCATTTTAAGTACATTCATGCCAACTTAAGTTAATTGTAAAACAAACAACAACAAAATTACATTTAGAAAGCAACTTTCACGTCAGGAGGATGTCCCAAGATGCTGAACATTCAGGGTTCAGTTTCAGAAAAAGATTCTGAGCTTGCTTCAATTGAGGGTAGTACTTAAAACATTACAATCGTATTCTCTTTTTTCTTCACTCAGATTTCTGACAGATTATGATGAACAGTTTCCAGTGGCCGATGATATTAGTCTGCTACAACAGGCATTTCCTGGGCTGTATCCTTACCTTCTCTTCAAATTGGAAGAATTTGCATCTGGCAGAATTTGAAATTGTTGTTTAGGTTCAGAAGTGTTGAGAGATGAAAGGGATATTAGAGTGTAAACAGGCACCTGTTTAAGTAGCATTTCGAGAGAACACAGTAATAAACGAACCCTTGCGTCACGTCAGAATGTGTCAACGTGCTTCACAGAGTTCTCTGTAAAGTGACTATTTATTAGGTTAAAGTGGCAGACAATTTGGGTAGATCCATTCCAAAAAAAAATAATAACTTGGTCATTCAATCCACGATTGTTTGTGGGACACTGCTGTGCGCAATTGGCTTCCGTGTTTTGCACACAAAATATACAGTGAATTCACGTTACCATATATCCTGTGAAGCGCTTTGAGACATCTCGAAGACGTGATAAGTCGCTATATCAAATACAAGGATTTGTATTTAAGGTATTGTTGGCCAGGATCCCACCAGCAACGCCCTTCTCTTTTCTACGTTGTACATCTTAACCTTACAGCACAGTGATGAGACCAGGACTTCTTACATCATCAAAGCTGTTGATAGTGCCTGGGAAGCCATTGGCAGAAAGAAGCCCATCTTTGCGACAGGAAACACTGGACACACAGCATCTGCCTCTCTTGCTATTCAACCTCCAACCGCAAACGGGGAAACGGAACATGACCTTCAGCAGCTAGAGTATGAATACGAGAATGATGATTATGTAAGTACAGTACCCAATAAATTCTTCATCTTGGCTTAGGTTAAGATGGAGAAAGTGGTACAGTTGTAATTTTGAAGTAAACTTTGCTGCTAGCTAGGTCTCTTAACCGAGCCACTAAGCTCCTGAAAGATTGCATGTTTAAATTGCACTTTATGCAGTGGAGACCAGCACACTGAACTTATTCAAGCAACGGCTTGATACTTTAATGGGGGTAGGGTAGGTATTATGAAAATGTGAGAAGGGCTTTCTTATTCTTTACCTCTCTGACCAAAAACAAGCAGTAAAGCCTAGTTTTTATGTTTGCTTGTAATATTAAGATTTTACTGAAGTTATTCATCATCAAGACTTGTGTTCCAGTGAGACAGAGAAAGTGACATTTAAAATAATAGCGCATGTTTATTTCTGCGTGTAAATAGTGTGCGGGGGCAACTGCAGCCAGAGTAACAGGAGTGGAGCTGGAATCTCTAATTTCTCAAGTGAAAGATATCTTACCAGACCTCGGGGAAGGCTTTATTCTTTCCTGCCTGGAAGAATATAATTATGATGCCGAAAACGTGATCAATAATATTCTTGAAGATAAGCTGCTACCTTCTCTTCACAAACTGGACCGAACTCTTGAAAGGTAAGAAATTAAACGCAAAAGTTTTGAAATGAAATCTTCCTTTTATGCAAAAGGACTGCAGTTCCTCGTATGACCATTACTGTTAAATAAGATGAATTTGCCACGTTTTGCGCACAAAATAAACAGTCAATCCACTTTACAATGTATTCTGAGAAACACCTTGAGAATTCTCAACGGCACAGTGAGGCTCTCACTGCAAGTATTATTATTCATTTTCAAACTTACAAGACCTTGAATACTCCATTATGTTAAAGTTTGATCCTAGATTTCATTTGTCTCCTGTTCCACCCAGACACCTGCCTTGTGGAGTGCACAAAGAGGACAATCCGCTAATTTGTATAGGGTAAGGCCACAGTTCTATTTATGCTATAAATATCATTGGACTTTTTGACTATTTTCAGAGAAAGACCTTCTTGGATTGTGTTAAGTGCTTCGAGACTCATGAAGGGTGCTATATAAGCACAAGTTGTTGTGTTTGATACATTTTTAACTGTCCGCATTGGCAGACGAAACTGATGTTGAAAGAGTAGTTTGCTAGATATTTCTCCTGCTAAGCCAATGCACAGAGGACAACATAGGCAACTGCAATAGCCTTGTAACACAGAGACGATTGATTGTGCTCCATAATTTCTAGTTTGTGAACTACAACATTTTTTTATAAATCAATCTTAAACCACATGCTTGTTTTCCTCTTTCTGAAATTGAACATTCAAACCTTGTGATATCAATATTTTTATTATAATGTCAGGAGGAACCTCTTTCAGATCTCCTGATAACATGGTCATATTGGTATTATTATTAAGTCCACAGAATGAGATCAGATTTCACTGCTAGAATTGCCACTTACAAGTTGTATATCTCGCTTGTGTTACCAACATTCAGTAGTCCTCAAATCTAATGGTATCTTGGTAGTGTCTTGTAGATCAATTATATAACAATTGTACATTTCCTGTTTTTGTTAGGGAAGTGACCGAGGACAAACATTCAGTCCTCTCAACAAGACTCGGTGTTTTCGACAATGATGAATTTGATATCTTCAGCAGAAATACCTTAGACATGTCCAAAGTCTCTAGAGGCAAGAAGTGAGTTGCAATCATAGAATCGTAAACACTTACAGCGCAAAAGGAGACCATTCAGCCCATGTGCTGGATCTCAGAGCAAACCATCCATTCAATTCCTCTGTTCCGCCTTTCCCCAAACACTTTCAAACCTATTACTTTCATGTACCTGTCTACTTGAAACCCACAATGAACTGTTACTTGACAGTAAAGTGGTAGTGTTTTGAGGTTTCAGAGCAATGTGGCCCCATTAACAGTTCATTCAGAAGTTAGTTTAAAGCAGATTAGAAAAGGATTGCAATTCTTTCTGATAGATTTAAGGTTTGTAACTTTTTCAGGCAGATGGGGGGGTTAACGGAACATGGAATGCTTTCTCACAAGCAGCTATTGTAGCTAGGATCATCACAACATTTCTTAGGAAACTGGATAACCATCTAAACAGTCTAAAAGGAAATAGGGGAAAGAGCAGGGAATTGGTATTTGAGTTAAAAGTTGCTTCTTTCCATAGATTCCATCTATGGTTAATGACTCAATTAGCAAATGCATTCCATGGTGTAGCACTGAGCAATACACAACAGGAGGGTGCCAGGTTTGATCTTGAGTCACTGCTGAACTATCTTAACAATCTAAGCAGCATGGTACTCAATTGGCTTCAGCACTTTGGGTTTGAAACCTGCTGATAATATGATCCCAGATGTGAAAGGACTGCGTCCTTTGCCTGTTCTATTATCCGCCCTTCGTGGCTCCAATTCCAGTTATTGCAATAACCTATCTTAGGAACAGTGGGCCTGCTGGTTTGATAGGTTTTTGTTTCCGCCAAGTCAACCCAGGGGCCATCAGTCATTGTTAATAGGGTGACTTTTTTTTGAAAATAATCCTATTTCCTTTGCAGAAAAGAAGAGGGGAAAAAGCTGCTGGATGATAAGTCGCACATTGAGGAGCAGAAGGAGAGATACAAGGCCTACAGTATTGTGGTGGAGGAAGTGCTCGTAGAACAAGATGGTGCCCACTTTTATGGGGACAATTACGATGACGAATATGACGACACATACGACGTTAATCAAGTCGGAGCGAATGACATTGATTCAGATGATGAATTGATCAGCAGAAGGTAGGACAGATACAAGTTCTCATGGGAGGACAGGGGAAAATAAAATTACCATTGTAATTGTTAAATTACCATTTAACAAACACTGGATTTAATATCTACCACTGCAGTCCTTGCATCTATTAAGCATATCCATTACTTAGAATATCCGCTGCTGTTTTACCAGGCCATTCACCGTCCCACTCGTTCTAAGAAAGTATGAACAAGAGGAAGAGGACGATGATGTAGAAGAGGCACCGCCAAAGGTAACACCAATTCTGCACAGTTGTATTTCAGTGTTAACGTGGAAATTATGGCAAGCAAATATGCACAGATATGTTATATGGTGAGAGGGGAATACTGTTAAATTCACAGTCACTCAATCCATTTCTCTTTGAGATTCCTCTTTCTATGGTAACTCCATCCCACATTCCCTTCATCTCACTCCCTCCCTTGCCTCCTTCAAGGCACGTCTCAAGACCCTCCTTTTCAACCGCGCCTTCGACCACGCTCCCTGATCTCAAATCCTCTGCTCGTGTCCCAAATCCCCGACTGTCCGGCACCTGTTTGAAAGGTGCTATACTAATGTAATTTTTTTTTATATCTGTAACTAAAATAGAGTATATATAAATATTTTTAAAAATCCACCATATTTTCTTTTTAACCTACGTACCATTTGGAAGCTCAGAAGATGACTGGGTGTAAATTGTGCTCAGGTTACCAGCATCTGTTTGCTTGGTAAACAGGAAAATGCATTGTTCTCATTTCCAGGAGGAAGGCCCAAAGAGAGATCTATTTATACAGGACCCCGCAGTGCTGAGGGAAAGGGCAGAGGCGAGACGGGCCACACAACACGCCAGAAAAGGGTAAGACTCCAATCCCCGGAGATGAATATGAAAGTTCCTAAAGTCAGTGTGTTTTTCATGTAGGGCAAATTCCTTGAAGTGCTTTACAGAGATCACAGGGAGCACCAAGCAGGGAGGAAAGGAAAGATATTTTAAGGGTGTTAACCGAAGGCATGGTGAAAGAGTTTTTTTTAAAAGAGCGAGTATCCTGGCTGGTATTTCAGACTTAGTTTGACACTTAACCCTATGACTGCCACTGAGTGAGATCTTCTGTGAAACAGTGAAGCTCCCTACACTGCAAATGAATTATCCCACTGATGGGATAGAGGGAACACGTAGAGTGAACAGCATGTCCCACTTTCCTCAGCATCGTAAGGGATCATTTCCCTAGCACCACATAAATTGGCTGGGCAAGGCTCCCATGGCTTTGAACAGAAAAAAGGCTGCAGCTCAGTCCATTCCATCAGCTGAGCAGTGCTTCTCTGTGTCATGCAGAAATCTCCCGACTTGTTTTCCAGCCCATTTTTCAGTTTATTTCAGCAGTGTGGAAACAACTCAAAGAGAGATGTTTAAGTAAATACTCGCTTCCAGAAAAATTCCAAATTGTTGATATTCTGACAGCTGCTATCCTGCAGTGTGTACACTACCTTTTTATGTGTAGCGAGAGTACAGTGGAGACTTGTAATGGACAGTTAGAGCCTTCAGTCTTGTGTTCTTGTGTCATGGTAAAGGCCTATCCTAATTACAATATGCTGAAGAATTTGAACCATGGCCCAATGCCGATTATGGCCCAGTTTTTACATATTTCCAAAACGCATTTGCCAAATTTATCATTTCACACAGAACAGTAATGCAATGTCATTTCTTTATGAGAACAGAAGGAGATTCTGTATATCAGTCCTTTGTGGCACAATCCATTGGGAACTCAAGTTGCTGCAAATACCTATCTGATTATTGCCTTTTATCTCATCGTGATTGTTTTTTGTTAAACTGGCTGAAGATGAAAGGATTGAGGGACTTCAGTTATGTGGTGTGACTGGAAAAACTGGGATTGTTCTCCTTAGAGTGGAGAAGGTTAAGGGGAGATTTAATAGTTGTCCTGGAAAAAAGGGTGCTGGAAGCAGATTCAATAATAAATTTGAAAAATTTGCAGAGCTATGGAGTAAGAGTGGGGGAGTGGGACTAGTTGGATAGCTCTTTCAAAGAGATCCCACAGGCACGATGGCCCAAATGGCCTCCTTCAGAATGCTGTAGGATTCAGATTTTTTTTGTTTCACTGCTGCTTCTCTGAATGGTTTGAAACCCATCACTTTCAGGTTCAAGCACGACAGCTCTTTGGTTGCGGGCAGTGCCAAGGGCCAGGGTCAGTCCAAAGACACACTGAGCGAGAGGAGAAAGAAGGAAGCCAACAAATCGTATCGAGGCAACCACAATCGGCGATCACTGGCAGACAGAAAACGGAATAAAGGAATGATTCCATCTTAATTTATTTTATTCTTAGCCCCCTCCCTCAATTTATTTTTTTATTTTACCCGCTTCCCTCAGCCCTCTCCAATCTTTAATTCACCATCGTCTGTCAGCTTACAGGCCCATACTCTTCACGAGAGAAGGCATATTGTTGCTGGGTTTTGACCTGCCCAGCTGCAGTTGCTCAAGGGACAGGATTGGTTCCTTGTAATCTCCATTTTGTGAACTGCCAACGTTCACAAATTTGCCTGGTCAATCGTGTTTGAGTGACAGTCAACCTTGAATTTCAGTAAATTATTGCAATGGCACAACAAGATTACATTACTAGAGTCATTAACCATATAGAGCATATAGTTTTTCTATTTATTGGGACATTGACCTGATAATCTAGGTTTAACATTTCGATGCAGTGTTGATGGAGTGCCACATTGTTTGAGTTGGCGCCTTGTGGATCAGACTTTAAAACTGAATATCTGCCTCCCCTTCATCGAGATTCTTTGAGAGCTACTTGAAAACAGAAGGGAGTGGCCTGGTCAGCAATCCCGCAGAGAAAATCGGTCATTCACTTCATAGCTGTTTGTAGCAAATAGGCTGCAACCCAGTATGCGTGAGAGAGAAAGGTTATGCTATCATGGAGGCCTCAATGTGGATGTGCACTGGTTTGGATTGCAATATTTCAGTCACTTGCTGTGGTTTAGAAGTATCAAATATCCATTGATTTATATGGCCTTATACAGTGACTTGCACCCACTCAATTAAAACCAGTAGTTTCAAAATTTGTTCTAGCTGCTACTGTTATGCACATGCATATTCTTCGTTGGAAATGTATCAAGGAACAGCAGACATACTGGCCTTATCTCTTTTAGCTATTGAAGCATTTCACTTTTTTAAAAAAAAAAGTTTATTCAGAATTGTCTAGTAAAACAAATCGGGATCAGTGACATAATATGGAAATCCAGAATGGTGGACTGAAATAGCTCTGCAGTGTTAATGTGGAGGTTTTAATCGTTTAGGGCAGATATTAAAATAGATTCCTCATAAATGAATTGACAAAAAAAGGCTGAATATTTAATGCAAGCTGCAGATTAAATTTTATATTAATGATTCAGTTTTTGTTATTTATGTATCAGATACTAAAAGATAATTTTGTTCAGCTTTGATCCCTAATAAACAAACACTAAAACCTTCTGGTTTTGTACATTTCTTTTGATCAAATTGAATCTTACTCTTTTCACTTCTCCCTTAGTGTTTACCTATTGTGTGAACCCCTCTGAATAATGTAACTTGAAAGTAAAGATGTATACTAGCTTTTTGGTTACATTAGTTTAAAAAAAAGTTACAGGAGGTAATTGAACTAGTGATAGAACTCATTCGGAGGCACTGACTATTGGGTATGTTTCATAAAACAAGAAACAAGTTTTTAAATACTACCAAAGTTACCCTCTTACATGCAGAGTTGTCCAGTTGAACCAGGTCAGATTTTCCAAAAAGTAAAGCAAATGCAGATTTTACAATGCTTGCACAAGAATCTTTATTTATAGAGATGTTGGGAGCAGGTAAATATAAAAGCAGCACATTCAGGACAATTACATACTGTTTAATAAAAACTATTCAGTAACATTTCCAATATACTTCAGTACCTTGCCTGAGCAAGGTACCATTCTTTTGGCTGAGCCTGGATCGTGAGTGCTGGTAGGCAATTCAATTAATAGAGTTTGCTGCGCTGAGTTTGACTATATGCCAGCACCATCCCTCCCCCAATTCAAAGGCAAAAGAAAGCCAATTTATAGGATCATGCTGGTACGCAATCTAATATAGGCATAACTAGCACCGAGCAGGACTTGTCTACACAGAGCCTCCCTGATCTGTATGATGCAATGGTTCATTAACCCATTGCTCCATTGGGGCTGCTTCAGTCTCAATTTCCGCCTCACTTTGATCAACAAAAGTAGAGTACTCCAACTGGCCAAATGTGTGCTTCAACATATCGGGCAAGGACTTCCTCAATAGGGTTTTCACATTGTGGCCAATGAAAATGTACAGAATTGGGTTAAGGCAGCTGTTGAGAAAGGCCAGGCTGGAAGCAATGGGGATCCCGTGACGGATGACGTAAAAGTAATGGAAGCTGCGGCTGGAGTGCTGAACTACTTCCAAAATGCTCAGTATGTGGTAAGGAGTCCAGCAGACGAAGAACACTATGATAACAGCAATTGTGATGGGGAAGAGCTTGTTGGAGATGACCAGGCGTATTCTTTTCATGTTAACAAGCAAGAGCGAGTAGCAAACAACCATGGTGATGAACGGGAACAGAAAGCCAAAGAAAAAACGGAGCAAGACCTGGGTGGTGTGCCGGGCCACCGCAGTGTCATGATCTTGACTGCCCTTCATGTAATTGCTGAAACATACAGTTGTGTTGATTTTAAAGCTGAAGGAGACAGTGTCGCGGAAATACAAGTAAGGGGAGCTCAGGACTAGGGACACCGCCCACACCAGAAGACAGAGGAAGGTGGCAGATGAATGCGATCGGATTCGGTAAGCCCACGTGGGGTGGGCGAAGCAAATGCAACGGTCCACGCTAATGACCGTCAAGAAGAGGATGCTGGAATGCATGTTCAGAATGGCCACAAAGGAGTTAATCTTGCACAGCATGATTCCAAAGGGCCAGTGGTACTCCAACGCAATGTAAGCAACTGAGAGAGGCAAAAACAGCACGAACACCAAATCGGCGATGGCCAGATTCAGGAACCACTGGGTGGTCACCGTCTTCTTGAGGTTGAAGCCCGTCACCCAGATGACCAGGGCGTTGCCAGGCACCCCAAGGAGAAAAGCGATGATGTAAATCACAATCGAGAAGATGTCCAGGGAGTGCTCAATGTGAGATGCGAATTCGTTGAATTCGTAATCATGGGCAAAATCAAACTCCGTGTAGTTGATGAAGTAATCTGTGTCCAGAGAGCCTGGGTACTCATAGTAGGCGTCAATCAGTTCATCGTCTATCGGATTCATGGTGCTCCAATTGTATTGGTTGGATGGAGGGGGGAGTGGGGAAATGCTGAAGAAAATGGATCTGGGGAATCGCCTGCTTTGAAAATGAAAATTAACAACATGTGACTGTGGACGGTTACAACAACAACTTGCATTTACATAGTGCCCTTCACACGGGGCAGCGACTCGGAGCGCAGAATTTGTGTTACCCTCTATGCGCCACGCTAACGAGCTTTATGCACGTAACTGGGCAGGAAGAATTTAATTTTAACTTTACTCCACGTTTTATTTATACTTCTCACTCCAAATCAATTCCTGGTCCCATATATCTACCTATCTGCCAGAGGGTCACAGATTAAAACCCCATCTGTCTTTAGTGGGTGCTAAAATGTTTCAAATGCTGGTGGATTGGGCCAAATATCCCTTCCTTTGCTTTGTGCATCTCAGCCACACTCGACATGGATTAACTGAAACTCCAGAATTTGTGTCTGAAACAGCCCAAAATTAACGAGAGACAGAGTGAGAGAGAGAGTTTGAGACACAGATTAAGGATCGAGGCACAGCACAAACCTAAAGGATCCGAGACGGACAATCAATCAAAAGGTTTGAAGTCAGAGTAAAAAAAAAGACAATTTGATTCATTTCACAATCAAAGGATTTGATTGAAAATGAAACGATTTGCCAGAAATGAGAATGGAAAGTGTCTTTCAAACAGACACTTTTGCACTGTCTTTTAGTTCGCTTTATAACTGGGGGGGGGGAAGACTCTCGAATATTTCCACGAATGCAATTAGAAATATATGCACGTATACATTTATAAATAAACTTTTATAAAGCACACACTAGTTTTCTATCTAATCCCGATGCGAGCGCCCGTTCTCACCTGTTTCAGACAGCGCTGCGTTGAAGAGTCTCAGTCGTTACTCTCCCACTGATCTGCCCATCGGCTCCTCCTCCCGCAGAGGGCGGATCGATGACTTGTCCTTCCCGATCCGTTATTACAAACAATACTTACCTTTAATAATAAAGCCCCGAATGAGGCGGAAAAGCTTGGCAGGTGATTGCCGTTAGGTGCAGTCATTGGATTTGTGGGCAAACCCAGCAGTCAGTTGGCTCAGGACACTGTCCTCCAAACAGCCACGCAGTGAGCAGCCAATTTATCTGTAGGATTGTTGGCAAAGGGCACTGGGAAGAAACTCCCTTCTCTTTTCGAATAGCATCAGGGGATCTCAGTATCCACTTGGAACAGGACAGCAGGGCATGTCTGCTTCCACTCCGCTGAACTCTAGGGAAATGGTGCTTCATAGTCTCTTCCCCTTCAGGCACTGAATTAAGAGTTTTGTGTTGGTGACTCATGTTCCCCGCAGAGCCTGGAGCCTGGCTAATTCACTTACAGATGGTAGAAATGCCCCCACACCCAATCTTAATAAACCGCTGTCATGCAAAAACCATCAAAATACGACTTTTCATGCTTATAGATTTCTCTCCGGCTTTGAGAGACTGAAATACTGGCTTGCAATCCAGGAACATTGCGTCACCAACCAATGCGGACATCTGAATCCTCCATAGAACGGATACAACTACTCTATCCAAGATCCCTTTCCTTCTTTATAGATGTTAAAAATCTCATGGCACTACCGGAATTTTAATTAAAATAAAACTAGGGAGTTTTCCAGATGTTTTGTCCAAAAACAGATTAATGTTCATTTATCATTGTTTGCAAGGAGTTGCTGGTGCACAATAGATGTTTGCCTACATAAGCACACACTTTTAAATGTACCATATGAAAGTCCCATTAGTATGTAATCTATTCCATTATGTTATTACATTTCCAGTATGTCTTTTCATATGTATTTTGAATCAACGTATAGACTTGTTATGCATCCTGCACTGTGTTATATATACACTGACGCACCTTTCTCTTCCGTCTGAGCATAAAGATAGGATTACAAGACTAGGGAATGATATTAGCACTTTTTAAGAATGAATATAAATCATACACCTGCTGATTGTTAAATCATGTGTATCTTTGAGGCTAGATCAGGAAGTCTTCCATATAATAGCTTTTAAAGCAATCCCCACAGTAGCAAACATACTTAAAATTTGTTCAAATTATGCAAAGCCTAAACTGTTTAGCACATAGAATGAAAATGAATACAATTATTAACAGTTGAAGAAAAGTTAATCAAAACAGACACAACTACAGATGTACAGTTTTTTGTAGTGTACAAACAAGGGTGCAATAGTTGTAAGAAACTTTGGCAGGTTGCAACTCCCAAGTTTATCCACAGGGTAAACTAGGAGATTGAAGTCCCCCAATCAACAGAACTGAAAGTTGAACTAACTTCTTCAGATTCATTGTTCCTGTGTTTATTAGCCTACCTTCAGTCTGGGTTTTTTCTTTTTAAAAATCCCAAGAGGTGTAAACGAAGGATGTAGACCAAACTCACAGTAATGTTGCTCAGCTTTTCCACTATAAAGTTTCACTATCAACAAGATTACATTTGTATAGAGCCTTTCACATCGGGAGGACGTCCCAAGACGCTGGACAGCGTATAGCATTTCAGACCCGAGCTGGGGTCAGGGAGAGGACCGATGGCAAGGTGGAAGAGGAGAGTTTTGAGGCGGGACTTGAAGGAGGCTAAGGAGGGGGTGAGGCGGAGTATCTATCCAGACTTGTTGAACTTTATTCATCAGATGACATTTTCCCCCTTTCAGAGGGAAATGTATTTCTGTTTTCAATATCTCGACATACACACTTAACACCCTAGTGCCAGACCTGCCAATGCTACTCAAACTCACCTTGCATTACGCATTGCAAAAGAATGGTCTTGGATGATTTCCTTTACCTTCCATTACCTCAGCAAGTTCTTGTGGTGATACAGCCGAGGGGAAGAGGATTGGAGAGTATGACCCATTAACTCATGCCACACACGTTAAATCACCAGCACAGCATTAGATCACAAATTTGAACATTTTGCATTAACAATTACTTCACATAGTGATCAATTACTATATAGACAAAAAAGGTACAAACTAATTAGAATTAGCTTAAAAGTTGAAGAATAATTTTCAGAAGCTTCTTGGCAAATTTGTAGGATAGAACATACTTCATCTCTCGCTTTGTTTTGTTTACTGTGTGGACAAAAAATGATCAGCAGAGAAGGAGTTCATAGAATTTATTACATATGCCAGCAATGTATATTTCTGCAGATATGCCCCATCTTAGTCCATTCATAGTAATAATTCATGCTTGCAGAGAATAGGATTGGCAACAGTCTGTTAAAGTTCATCCTGGTATATGATCCATCGATGGAAGCTCAAGTACCAGGCAGTTCATCCAAAACAAATGGAAAGTATCTTGCAGCATGGAATGCACTTTAGTCGTCATTCTTCACGTAATTATGTCTGATGTGTTTCCAGAGTTTCTGAAAATATACATGTGCAAAAAATTTAAAGATTATTATTCATCAAGTATCCATTCAGGGAGCCAATCACCCCATTACTCACCCGGCTTCACTGGCTCCCATCCCTCAGTGGAACGAGTTTAAGATCCTCGTCTTCAATTCAAAAACCCTCCACGGTCGTGCTCCTCTCTACTTCTGCGACGTACTGAAAGCTTACCAACTTGTCCGCTCTTTCCGTTTGGAGGGCACTGGCCTGCCCCACCATCGGAGGACAGCCTTCCTTTCTGCTCCCACCCTCCCGGAATCTCTCTGGTCTACCCCCTCCCCTGCTTCCTTGAAGGCCTGTCTCAAGACTTGCTCTTTGACCATGCCATCAATCATCCTTCTACCCCCACCTAATCTTGATTCCAACACCCAACTCAGGTGCAAACCCTGATAACCTAGCACCTTGGGACATCCTGGAAACCACACAAATGCTGTGTGCAATTCGCTGTCGCATTTTGCCCACAAAATTCAGTCAATTCACAGTCCATTCTGTGAAGTGCTTTTGAGACATCTCGACGACGTATGGCAAATGGCACTATAACAAATGCAAGGATTATTACATATTATTTATCCACCCCCAGGTGAAAGGCGCTATATAAATGCAATTTGTTAACAATAATAATCCTTACATTTGATATGACGGTTTTCAGGTCTTCTAGACGTCTCAAAGCTCTTCACGGAATAGACTGTAAAGTGAATTGTATATTTGTGGGCAAAACGCAGCAGCCAATTGCGCACAGCAGTGTCCCACAAACAGCCGTGGTTTGAAGCGACCAATTTATTATGAGTTTTTTTTTTGAGGGTTTATCATCAGGCGTGTGGGAGTAAGGAGACTTACCCAAGGTTTGGCCCTGCCGGGAATCGAACCCAGGGCTCTCGCTTGCGAGGCGAGCGCTCTAACCACTGAGCTACAGGACTCCACGTTTAAGCAACTAAATGCAAGTTGTTGTTGTCGTCGTCGTTGTTGTTGTTGTTGCCGTTGAACAACCTCTCTGTCAATCCTGACAGGGCCATTGTCACCCATTCCCTTCCTTCCCAACAAAAGGCAACAGCTTTGCCCTTTTTAATATTCCTTACCACCCCCCGAGACACCGCGACAGTGACTGACCGTCTCCACCTCTTGCCTTCCCGGTGCAGCTCCTGCCAAGGGCAGGAATGGGGGGCCTGGGGCTCGGCCGGAGGCTGAAGGTCACCCCCTTCCCTCGCGACTTCACACGCACTTACCCCCCTGTTCAGGTGCTCGAACAGCGCGTCCCCGCCTTGGTCGAAGGCCCTCTCGAAGACGAAAGCGCTCACTATTATGGTGAGGGCGAAGGTAGAGGTGCGCCTGAAGAGAGAATTATAAACCCGCCGCGCGAACGCCATCTTGTCCGCCTTCTGTCAACTCACCGCCCCCCGACCCTCCATAGCACTCCGCCGCTTAACCGCCACCCCCCCCACCAAAAAAAAATACACCGCCTCACAACCCCCAGCACCACCGGATCAAATCACCCAGAGCTTGTTTTAAACGAACCCCTTCACCAAGACGGCTATCCATGGGAAGAATTTTAAGCCGGTGGCGGAATTGATCGGGAACTCATTGTTTGCGCGAACGATTACTGAGCCGCGTTACACCCCCACCGCCGACGTCAGGTTAAAAAGTGCCGCACAAACCCCACTCGAACTCATTGTAATCTTCCGCCCCAAACCGTTGCCGCTCAACATACTGCCCCCCCCCCCACCCACCCGCCCCGCAAATGTTGGCGAAGTCAAACTCCCCCCAAAATATATTTCATATGAATCACTTTTTTTTAAAAAAAAATCAAGAATTCCGGGGAGGAATGGGAAGCCGGAGATGGAATTATATGAGGAACTGTTTGTTCGCGCGGAGGTATACCGAGCGCGCTCACCCGCCCTCCTTCACGGAAAACGTGCGGACGCTGAGCGCAACGTCACCGGGTTGGGCGGGTTTTCACGCCCAATCGGGCGGTTTTCCTCTGTGTGTGTGGGGTGGGCGCGCGTTGCGCTGCGAACGAAAAAAAAGTTGCCGATTTTATTTTGAATTACGCAAAACTTTTGTTTTTGTTGCTTTGAAGACCTTTTTTTTATATAAAAAAAAGAAGAAAAAGAAGCATTTTCAAAAGCACGAAACCCGACCCGAATCGGCCGCTCGGAAATAGGAGGCGACGCGAAAATATTGGGGGCTACTTTTTTGGGCGGGTGTTGGGCGACAAACGGATTCCAATGGCCTGATCGACCTACTTTGGGGCTACTTTGGGCTACAGGAGCCCTGGTTGGGCGGCTCCGCGGGCTATCATGAGGAGGACGTATTTCTGCGATTACTGCGGCAGATCCTTCCAGGACAACCTCCATAACCGCAAGAAACACCTCCAGGGGGTACAGCACCAGAGGGCCAAGAAATTCTGGTTCGACTCTTTCCGAGGTGTGGGTTTGGGGAGGGTTGTGGTGACTGGGGGTGGCGGGGTGGCCGGGGGGAGGGGGGGGAGGAGGGTTGTGTTGAGGGGGGGGAGGGGAGGGTTGTGCTGAGGGGAGGGGGGGGGTGAGGGTGGGGTGAGAGTGGGGTGAGGGTGGGGAGAGGGGGGGGTGAGGGGGGGGGAGAGGGGGGGGGGGGGGGTGAGAGTGGGTTGGGGGGGTGAGAGTGTGGGGGAGAGGGGGTGAGAGTGTGGGGGAGAGGGGGGTGTGAGAGTGGGGGCGCTCTCAAGGAAGTAACTTCCATGAGGAAGAAGGGAACAGAGGGGTGAGGGAGAGGGAGAGGGGTTTAGAGGCTCATGTGGAGCATAAATTGCATCTCAATAGTCCTGTTTGTGCGCTGTACACAATGGTTGTGGCCTCAGACTGACCACACAAGCAATTTCCCAGTATATGGAATCAATCATAACGATAATCTTTGCATTTGATACAGCGCCTGATCACGTCGTTGAGACGTCCCAAAGACATTCGGCCCATCGCTCCTGTGCCGGCTCTTTGAGAGAGCTACCGACCAGTCCCGCTCCCCCGCTCTTTCCCCCCCTTTGCCTTCCGAATGTCTTTCTTTTCAAGTAAATGTTCGATTCCCTTTTGAAAGTTGCTATCAAATCGGCTTCCACCCGAGGGCTCCCTTGCCTCTTTCAAGACCGTCCTTTTCGACCGTGCCTTCAGCCGCCCTCCTACCTCTCTGCCCTCCCTCATCCCAAACCCTGACCCCGCCACGCTCAAATCCTGATCGAGGGGCTCAGTGCTCGTTGCCTGATCGTCACAGTTGTAAAGTTGCGGTCGGCTGATACAGTGAAACTCACATAAGTTGTATCAATTGGGACCGTAACACTTAATTTGACTTGCGCAAAGTATGAGCTACGGGCAAATTTGGGTAAGTCGTATGAAATCCGGTTTAATCATAATCTACATCGCGCGTGCGTACTGCAATGCAGCCGGTAAGGGCACGTGCTTCAACAAGTCAGATCATTTCCCGCGATTCAATGCGGCCGGTAAATGCGGTAATGGTGTTGTGAGTGAGGAGGCGAATTGCTTTATAAACTGTGACCAGTGAAAGAAATCTGAGTAGTTTAAAGTAACATACTCTTTGGGGTTTTGGGATTTCAGATACTGCTACAATCCTAGCAGAAGAACTTACCAAAAAGCCATGCAGAAAGTTTCTGCAATCGGGTAAGTGAAGAAATACTAAAAGCTAGGGCTTTTGAAACTTTTGAAATGTTCCACGCTTTTATCCTTCATGCCTTGTTAGTGACATGTCTTCAACAATCATTTCCGTAGGCCAATGCGATTTTGGTGCAAGCTGCAAATTTTCCCATATGACCGATGAGGATGTTCAAAGGCTGAGACGGAAAGTGGATGGTATGTGCCGGCAAATCAAATAGATGTGAATAAAAGTGTTTTAGTTAATGGAAAAATAAGGCACTTGATGATAGTTATCATGAGATGTGAAGTGTACAATCCAGTCTTCGAACTATGCTTTAGAGCTACAAGAACGTCTCATTTTCATTAACTCTCCCAGATGGCGAAGCTATTGCTTTTTTCAGGTCTTTACTGCTTTGCAGTAAAGTCTAGACAAAATGTACTACTTCCATACCTACAGGTTTCGCTTTTGAAGGAATAATTTGATGTCGGCAAGGATTTTGTGCATTTAGCATGAGAATAGGCTTTATTGCAGTTAATTTTGGATTGGGTTCTGAGGATTCTTGAAAAAGAAACTCTGAAAGCACAAATGGGAAAAGCAAGAGGGGGAGAGAGACTGAGAAGCCATGCAGGGAGCTGGCTATTTCAGCTAATTATAGTACAACAACAACAAAGTTACATTTGTATAGTGCCTTTCATTTCGGGAGGATGTCCCAAGGTGCTGGACAGACAGAGTTTCGGACCTGAGGGTGGAGGGCAGGGGGGAAGCAGGGTGATCGAAAGCACGGTCAAAGAGGAGGGTCATGAAGGAGGCAGAGGAGGAGGCGAGGTTGAGGGACTGTGGGATGGAGTTTCAGAGGGTGGGGGCAGAGTGGCACACGGCCTGCCCACCAATAGTGGGGCGAGCGAGGTGGGGGATGTAAAGCAGGCCGGAGCCCGCTGAGGGGAGGGAGTGAGCAGGGTGGCAGGGGGTTAGAAGGTTGCAGAGGTAGGGGGCTGCAAGACCATGGAGGGCTTTGAAGGTGAGGATCAGGATCTTGAACTGTATCCTCTGTGTGATGGGTACAGAAACTTAAGTACAGAAACTTATTGTATGGAAACGAGAGAGGGAAGCACACAAAGAAATGTATAGAAAGAGTAGAGGTGAAACTTTTTGGAAAATTCTGTTATATATAATAAGAAGAATCCTTGTATTTGATACAGTGCCTTTTGTCATTGAGATGTCTCAAAGCGCTTCACAGAATAAACCGTAAAGTGAATTGACTATATATTCTGTGGGCGAAACGCGGCAGCCAAATGCGCACAGCAGTGTACCACAAACAGTCATAGATTGAGCACCGTAATCATTTTGTAAATGTGCAATTTACTAAACGGTTCAAAGTTGGATACTTTCCATTGGATTCCTAACAATGCTTCACTTTCAGGCTTGTATTGTTAGCATATGTTAAAATAAAGTACAGTATGGCATCAGTAATATTTTCTTTGTAAAAATAGTACAGGGTGAGGAATATTGATAATTTTCCTACCCTGTCCTGTGTGTAATAAACTATTACAGTGTATTTCAAATGTTTTGCCATTGATTCTATTAACCTTGTTTGAAATTAATATTTGCTGCAGAAGAGACTAAATCGGAAGACCCTGTCTGCCAGGCTCCTAATATTGATGAGTGGTTGGAAAAGAGGAACAGAAGGAAACAAAACCGTTCACACGGCAGGTAATTGAGTCCCGTAACTATAAGCTTAATACTTTATTCTGTATTCCTTCATGTTAGTGTTTGATACCCTTGATAAATTCTCTCGCATTGCTTTTTTAAAAGTAAAATGTGCCAGTCAAATAATGAACAGGTTTAAAATTCATGTACAGTAAACCTCACATACATAAAGATCAGTCGGGACTATACATTTAATATGACTTATGCAAAGTATGAATTATTTCAAACTGGCATAGAATATAAATTCTTAAACGGGACTTGGGCAGATGTATGACTTAGGATTTATACGATTTAGACAGATCAGACTTATGTGAGCTTTACTGTAATCAAAGCAAAGTATAGTTGATAGGGTCACATTACTTGTATCAACTCTACGATTCATTGAATTTCTAAATAATATTTTAAATAATAATTCTAAATAACCTATTTCTAAATAATCTATGTAGCTTTATAATGCAGTAGAGCTATTTGTATTCATAGTTTTTCGGGGGGTTAACGAAGGGAGAACTGACAGCAGTGAGGTAGAGGGGACACCTTTCTAGTTTTTATTCTGTAACAGAAAGTCTTCATAGGTCAGGTATGACGCATACTGTTTTGTGCACCTAATGGCCACATTCAGTGTGGGTCTGGCTGGACGCAGTGCGGTGACTAAGATATGCCCTGATGCTTTTGTAACCTGGCTGCCAGAGTGAAGTGTTTTGTTGGGATTATTTTTAGCTGGCTGAAGAGAATACATTTGCTTCCACCCTATTCTCAAGCACACCATTTGCCCGCAAATTCATTTTGACATTTACGAATAAAACCAACAATTCTATTGATTTTTTTTTGGTGTTAATTCCCAAGTACATTTCTTTTTTAAAAAAATCCCCAAGCTGTTCATTTTTTTTCATTTCCAAACTCGATATTAAAAACATTAAAAAATGCCCAAGATTGGTGGGTGGACTTGATTCTGAAACAAGAATCAATATTATAAAGCCAGTAACAAAATTACTGAAATACCTTATTAAAATACTGAAATAATTTACAAAAATACTGAAAAAACACTATTTAGGTAACAAACTAATAATCAAACTTGATAATAAATGTAAGGATTATGATTATTATTATTGCATGACAGAATTTACGTATTGAGTGCTTGAGCCAAACCTAGCAATGTTATTTAATGTTTGTTATGCTCGCCTGTATATTTCCCCTCACCTAGTCACTGCAATAATAACAACAAGGTCTGATGTGCTCCCAAGCCACATTATTGCTATTAATTGGTGGGAAGTGAACGTTGACTGAGGCATTGTTTGTGCAAAAGCCCAGGGCCATCCAATGGCCTGTCCAGTCTGTATGATCGAATGCAAAGGCAAGTACTTGTTTTACGTTTCACAGCAATGGCGACTTTAGCTCAATGTTAAATTTCTTCTTCCCGTCTTGCAGCGATTCAGAGATGGAAAAAGCCAGCCCTGACGTTATGTACTGGCGGCCTCCAGGATTTCCTCCACTTCACGAACTGCCTCCTTCTCTCCATCCTCCGCCCCCTGGAGGCTGGAAAATGCCGCTGAATATTGAGTGGGGTTAATACTTTTAAGTTTAAGGAATTTTACAGCATAGTACAGCATTCCAAGACATTATCCTACATGAAGGGCACTATGTAAATGCAGGCATGTCAGTAATTGTTTAAATGTTCTAAATATAATTGTTATTGTATTTATACACTATGCACAGTTCTTTGGGAATTTCCGCTCTGCAAGCAGTACAGCTTGAATGTAATTACGGAAAACGAGAATTAAACAAAGCGATCTTAGCCAGAGATCTTCGGTGAACAATTTTATTCATTCAGGTGCTGTGTTCAAGGAGATCATGACAATGCATGAATGTCTTGATTAAATCAACGTGAAACTGCAGCCCTTGAAGAAAGGTAACTTGTCTCACGCTGTGTCTGGTCCTTGTTACTCAATGTCATTGCAGGAAGAAATTACTTGCAGAACGATTCTACTTTATAATTTATAGTGCCTTCTCACATGATCGAAACTCCAGCCCAATTGATCCTCCTGACGTGAAAAGCGCTATACAAATGTAACTTGCTTCACAGGATTTACTGTAAAGTGTAGTGACTGTCTTTTGTACACAAACACTTTACAAACAGCAGTGCTCCACAAACAGCCACAAAGGAATGCCCAATTTTTTTCTGGGGCGATTGTTGGCTGGCAACATCAGGAGAAACTCCCTTCTCTTTTCCAATGGTGCCACGGGATATTTTTTGTCTACCTGAACAGGCACAGACGAGGACTTCAGTTTAACGTCTCATCTGAAGGACGGCACCTTGGGCAATGCAGAGCTCTCCCACTACTGTAATGGAGCATCGGCCTGGATTTTGAACTCAAAAGCTCCCTCGTGAGGCTTAAACCTGTGACTTTCTGACTCAGAGGCATGAGTGCTACTGAGGCAGGTTGTCACCAGATTGATACATGGATAGGCTTAACAATTTCGATTTTTAAAAAAATATATCTAGAACACATCTGAAATGAATTGTAAGGTTTTCAGGTGAGAATTAAACATTACCTTTCAAATACCTTTGTGTAACTGCACGTTGAACAAATCAATCATTCTTGTCCTTTTAACCGAAGAAACATTTTTTAAAAAAGATTCCAAGTTCAAAATCATTATTGATTGTACAGCCTCTCCATCCATCATCTCATTTCTTCTCCTGTTCCGATTATTCTTAGGAACCTGAATAGAATCACTTCTTGAGGTTTTTTGAAGGAGCTTTTAATGATAGAACCAATTCAGCCTGTGTCTGTTATCCCCTCAAGTGTCAGGCATTAATTAAATCTAGACATTGAAATGTGGAGTGAAACTTATCTTAAAAGACCAGCCTTCCTTCACTGCGAGGAGATGCTGGATTTCCTTGAATCCAAGATCAAGGGAATTCGCTCCGCGGTCACTTCCCCTCCAACATCCACCAACCCCCCACCCCCTCACTCCCACACTCCGACTGCTACCCATCCTCCCCTACTCACTTTTGTACCCGTTTCCCCACCCTCTGTCACCAAACTCATCCTATCCCTGAAACCAACCACCTGCTCCCTTGACCCCATCCCCACTCCACTCCTTATCTCCCAGCTCCACTTTCTTGCCCCACATATCACCGACATCGTCAACCTGTCCCTCTCCTCTGGCTCTGTCCCCATTCCCTTAAAAACTGCCACCATCACGCCCACCCTGAAAAAACCCTCCCTTGATGCGTCGCAGCTATCAAGCTACCGGCCCATCTCCAACCTCCCCTTTCTCTCCAAGGTCCTGGAAAGAGTTGTCGCCTCCCAACTGCGCTCTTTCCTTTCCACCCATTCACTTTTCGAACCCCTTCAGTCAGGTTTCCGTGCTGCCCATAGCACAGAAACTGCCCTGGTCAAGGTTACCAATGATATCCTGACCATTTGTGACCAGGGCTCCCTCTGCCTGCTCGACCTATCGGCAGCATTCGATACGGTCGACCACGCTATCCTACTCCACCGCTTGTCCTTCCACCTCAACCTTCAAGGCACTGTCCTTGAGTGGTTTAGGTCGTACCTTTCTCACCGTCTTCACTTTGTCTCACAAATGGCTTCTCCTCCACCCCCGCACTGTCTCATGTGGTGTCCCTCAGGGCTCTGTCCTCGGTCCCCTCCTCTTCACCCTCTATATGCTCCCCCTTGGTGACATCATCCGCAGACATGGAGTTAACTTCCACATGTATGCGGATGACACCCAACTCTACCTTTCCTCCTCTACTCTCAACTCCACGACCACCGATGTCCTGACAGCTGCCTGTCCGACATCGAGTCTTGGACGAGAGACAACTTTCTTCAGCTCAACGTGCGAAAAACCGAGGCCCTCCTGATTGGCTCACGTCAGCGCCTCCGCACCTCAGGCGCTGACACCATCAGCATCCAAGGCTGCACTCTCCACCTCTCAAAGCCAGTCAGGAACCTCGGCGTTTTGTTCGACCCTGAGCTGTCCTTTCTCCCTCACATCCGCACCACAACTGGCACCGCCTTCCATCACCTCCGGAACATCGCCAGACTACGGCACTACCTCACCCCTCACGCTGCTGAAACCCTGGTCCACGCCTTTGTCACCTCAAGGCTGGACTATGGGAACTCTCTCCTCGCCGGCCTTCCCGCCACCTCCCTCCACAAGCTGCAGGTCATTCAGAACTCTGCAGCTCGTGTACTGTCCCGCACCAGGCTTCGCGACCACATCACTCCCACCCTCGCTCGCCTCCACTGGCTCCCCATCCCCCAGAGGATTGATTTCAAGATCCTCATCCTCACCTACAAGGCCATTCACGGCCTTGCTCCCTCCTACCTCTCTGACCTACTATCCCCCTACCTACCTGCCCGTACCCTCCGTTCCTCCGGCTCCGGTCTGCTCCACGTCCCCCGCCCCAATCGCCCTACCATCGGTGGTCGGGCCTTCAGCCTCTCAGCCCCAGGCTCTGGAACTCCATCCCCCAGTGCCTTCGCCGCTTCCTCCCTCTCCTCCTTCAAGGCCGGTCTCAAAACCTTTCTCTTTGACCGAGCCTTCAGCTCCCCTCTCGATTCTCTTCCCCCTCCTCGCTCCCTCCCTTCCCTCCCCTCACCCTGACCATTTACCCCCTCCTCGCTCCCTCCCTTCCCTCCCCTCACCCTGACCATTTCCCCCCTCCTCGCTCCCTCCCTTCCCTCCCCTCACCCTGACCATTTCCCCCTCCTCGCTCCCTCCCTTCCCTCCCCTCACCCTGACCATTTCCCCCCTGCTCGGGTCCTGACCTAACTGTGCAGCCTTGGGACGTCCTCCTGACGTGAAAGGCGCTTTATAAATGGAATCTTGTTGTTGTTGTTCCCATGAAACTGTCCTGTCTTGTAGAGAGCAACCCCGCTCACAGTAATCATTTGTCGAATTAGGTCCAAAGTATTTTCATACCTCATAGCACTTTTTGTTCACCCGCTGACAAAGCCAGCCCGCTCTCCGGCTCACATTTCAAAGGAAATTGATCTGGCGTGGCTGCCACATTCGCACTTCACAATGCCCTGATGGTGTGCAGAGAACAGGGCATGAAGGACAAATTCTACGGTGACTGGCTGGGTTCCATTCTTGCACAGACGCAATGCATTAACGATTGCATTTAGTTACCATTCCCTTCCATGATGTGGTTCTGTGGAACTTGAGTTGAGGCTCATTTCAGAAACAGCCAGATTGTGCAATGAGCAATGGGATGAGGTAGGAGCAGGTATTCTGGAAGGAAGAGACCAAATGGGCCGAATGGCCTTCTTCATCCAAACCTCTTGTGATCTAGTGATTACCGGTCAGCTGTCTTTACAAAACATGTTACCGATCAAGGTGAATCATGCAGATGCATACATTGTCATGTATTGACTGTATTTTGCAGGCAAACTTTCAGCTTCTTGATTCTATAATAATCCTTGCATTTGCTAGAGCGGCTTACCATGTTGCTGAGACATCTCAAAGCACTTCACAGGATATATTGTAAAGTGAATTGACTGTAGTTCATGGGTGAATTGTGATTAAGGTCGAGAGGGAGGTGAAAAGGATTTTAGCTGTTTCGAAGTGCACTGTTCCAGGGGTGCAATCATTATACATTTGTGAAATTTTTGTACACCCCAAAACATTGAAGTGAACTTGATGTAAAAGAATACAAGATTCCATTAAAGAATTCTCCTTTTTATTATAACAATTCTCTTATACCAAACTTTGAAATGTTGAACGTATTGAGTAAAAAAAATTGAACCTAAAATTATTTGTTCGGTATAGCAAATCATTTATTCAAAAAAAATATAAGTTCATGCACTAAAAGCAGCTTACAAATCAGTTCTGACTATATCATAAATAAATTGAATATCAGGACTTTTGACACAATGCATAACAAGTTAAAGAGTAATGATCTTTTTCTTGGTCTCTTAGGTTTTGTTTAAAGTCAAACAACTCAATTTTTCCTCTTTCTATATAAATATACATATATATATTCTGATATCTGAAAGCTTTGTAATAATACTAATCCCTGCATTTGATAGAGTGCTGCATCACACCATTGAGATGTCTCAAAGCACTTCACAGAATATACTGTAAAGTGAATTTAGCATATATTTGTGGGCAGAATGTGGCAGTCAATTGCGCACAGCAGTGTCCCACAAATAGTTGTGGTTTGAGTGATCATATTATTTTTATAGAATTTTATTTATTCTTTGAAGGGATTATTACTCCTGGAAAGTAATCAGCCAATCGACTAGCAACCGGGGAAACAGAGAAGTAAGGAAACTTGCCTAAGGTTTTGCCCTGCCCGGGAATTGAACCCGGGTCCTCTCGCTTGCGGGGCGAGTGACCTAACCAATACGCTCCAGGACACCACAAGTCAAATGTTTCCAATATTTTGTGCGTCGTGTTTCAATTCCTTAAAATACCACGAAGTGTTGCCGTCGTATTGCACTCTTGGCCCCAGTCTCACGCTGAGACATGCACTGCTTATGTCAATAGCACAATGCAGTGTCAATCCCAACCTCTAAAATACTTGTGACAATAAGGCTGGCTCATCACGAGTGCCCTTTATTTAAAAAGGTTGGCGATACAGGTCTGTGTCCCATTGTCCTCTGATTTCCTTTTGTTAATAAAAATCCTATTCAACCACTTAACTCAGTAGAAGCAAATAGGCAGCAAATCTCCTTTTGGCCTCACCTCCCCCTCCCTTGCTTACAGGACTGGGCGAGTTGATCACATGCGCTTTCTGCTATGTCCCTATTCACGCGTTTCTCACACCACACACTGCACAGGGGTGACTCCAGGACCTGGGATTCGTAAAAAAAAAAAAAGAAACGTTTTATTCCTTATATATATTTTTTTACACACACGGTAAAGCCCTCCTCATAAAAGACCAACAAAAAGAATACAATTTCTTTAAAAAATATAACTTTTACAAATTTAGAAAAATTACACTCTTGTTCAAAGCCATAATATATTCATCCATCACTTCAGCAACATAAAAAAAATCTGTTACACTTGACCCTTTATTGATTCAGGCAAGTAATAATGCAGAGCCCTTTCAAGACATTTCCCATGTGAAATATACCATCTTTGCATAGTAAAACTCTGTACAGTTTTGCGATGCTCTTTTACAGACGATTTGACTTGTGGCCACTTGATCAAAGATGAACCTCAGCCACAGGGAGTCCCAGTTAATCTCTGCCTGAAACTCTCGGCTGATTTAAGCACCCAGCCAACGAGACAGAACTATCAAAGCCTTTGGCAAGGTCAGGTGAGATCCAGTCCATGCAGTGGGAGGTCCCCTTTCCTAACCAACTTCAAAACCACGCTGACAGATGAAGAAACCTCAATTGACTTACATCAAATGAGACCGGGTAAAAACATGAAGATGGTTTTCCCTTGTTCTATCCTCTTCAATACCAATGTGTTTATCAGACACCTGGTTAAAGGATGGATTTATAATAATAAAGCTTTCATTTTGATATCACGTCATTGAGACGTCTCAAAGCACTTCACAGAATATATTGTAAAGTGGATTAACTGTATTTTGTGGGTGAAACTTGGCAGCTGATTGCACACAACAAACAGTCTTGGATCGAGTGACCAAATTTTTTTGAGAGATTATTACCTCAGGAAAGCGATCTGCCAATCGACTAACAACTGGGTTTCTACTTACTCCTTGGTAAACAGAGGTGTGTAAGAAGTAAGGAAATTTGCTTAAGGTTTCGCCCTGCCCTGCGTTTTGGAATCGAACGTGACCGCATTGACATTGGCTTGGCTTCCAGTTCACATGACAAGCAGAGGGCATCAGCTGCCTCTGTAACCCTTTCCAATCATCCAAGTTCCTCACTGCGTAATGGGACCGAGCTGCCCTGAGCAAGTGGCCTAACAGCTAAGTCCATCGCTGGTTCACTGACCGCAGGTAAAGTGGTGCATTATGTTTCGCTTGGCGAATTATGGTTCACGAGACACACCACTGGGTTAAAGCACGGACTTATATGAACCATTAACACAGAACAATCAACATTTGCGTTAAAGCCCAAGTTTAGGAATGTGCAAAAAGCCACATGGATGTAAATAGATTCTTACTTAAGGAACTTAAAAATAGGGAATAATAGTGCCTTTGTTTTGCAGTGAAGATGCACTTGATCAATTTACAGAGGAGGGGAATAGGTCCCTCACAGGCAAGGAAGGGACTGTAGCTGGTGATTATTTCCTGAACTCCTCATATAAACGTTCAGCTAACTACTGGCAGGGAAACTCATACGACACACTTTTAGACAACTTCACTATAATCCGAGAGATACAATCATATATATATTTTTAAAAAGTTGCTATACATTGACCAGAACAATACAAGTAAGCCCCAATCGATGCAAAGAAAAATCAACAGATCATAAATATCATGTCCATAGCCTAATCTGTAACAACAGTGACACAACAGCAAAATTGTACATAGGAATGTAAACGCTGACATGTTTATATTAAATGAAATGTACATTTGTCTAAAGTATATTCTACATATCTCCATGCAGATAAATGTAAAATATAGTATTGCACGTGAAACACTTTGGTGGATTTATTAGGTACATTAGGCTGGCTTCCTGCACTGCCTTTGGCTGTGTTCATCAAGGCAAATTGTGCAGAGCCAGTCTAATGTAAATGCCATTGGGCTATTATAGACAGGCGTCTCTGAATCTTCCAGGTAATGTAAGGGAAGAATGAACACAATTTAGGGGAAGTATCCCTTAACTAGAGTTTTATTATATATATATATATATGTGTATTTTATATGTTACAAAAATATGTACACACGACTTTTGATTTTGTCATTATCACAGAAAAAACAAATGAGAACCCTTTGATATACCATAGCTACAAATGACCTCAGGCAATGTTTACACATAGTCATTACTTTACTGTGATATTAGTGCACAGTGACGATGCTATTGCTGAAATACGTAAAGCATCTTTAAAGTTTAATCACAAGTCTAACAGTCTACTTTTTTGTGTTAAAATTCCCACAGTAAACGTGCTGTGATGATTGTCCTTCTTCGCTGGCTGTCTGGGCCACCAAACCAAATCCACCAAATAGTCTTCAATCTATTAATAATATTAATATTCCTTGCAATTTGATTTAAAGCCTTTCATGTCAGGAAGAGGTCTCAAAGCGCTTCACAGGATTTACTGTGGAGTGCAGTGAGCACGTTTTTGTTGGCAAAAGCATCAGCCAATTTGTTGCAATTTTGGGAGACGTCTCCCAAAATAGCCAATTTTATGTGGGGTGACTGTTAGGTAGGAGAAAGTCAATTCTGATTTTTGAATAGATTCAATAGAGTCTTTAAAGTGCACCTGAATGGGCACAGACAGGACCTCATTTTTAACATCTAATCCGAAGGTTTGCAGTAATTACCAACGAACCTGATGTGAGATACTCTCAAAAAGCTTACAACTAAATGGTTCCATCACCAACCATCTCCTGGTGAAGAGCCATGGTATCATATAGTGTATTGAAATGTATTGAAAAGATTCATTTTCCTTCTTAGAAGTCGATAACACTCTGAAACCTGCAAGAACCTAGTTTGATTTTTTCTAATTTTTCCTTGCAGTTCACATAGCAAACATCATCAACACTGACAATAATACCCAGTGCTGGACATCACCACCAATCACCCTGTAGCTTATCACCCTTTCACTCTTCCGCAAACAAAGAAAAGGTACTATAGTAAATTATTGCAAAAATATAATATCTATTGCTATTTTAATAAAACAATGTTTCCTCGTCTCCGTGAACCTTTCGTAACTTGCTTCGCTAAAAAAATAAAGAGTGTTAAAAAGGCGGGTCTTAGTCTAGGGACATGAAACAGGGGTTTAAACCCAACTCGACACCAACTTCATAGCACCAGGCTCGTCATTCACATCCCAACTCCAACTCCGAGTCAATGACAAGGATGAAAATGTGGCTTTCATATCAATGTGGGGGAAAAAATTATCATCCGAAATATTAATCCAATCGCTCAAAGCGCTTTTACAGAATACACTGCAAATTGCAGTGAGCGACCAATTTGATTTGGGGGATTTTAAAACCAACTACCCAACTGGCTGCATCTTCTACAGCCTCAAGTTGGAATAGCAACAGTGGAAAGTTTTGTTTTTTGGGGGGGAGTGGGGGGTTTGCAAATTAAATGGAAGGATTGTTATTTTTTTCATCTAAACGAGCGATGACTTTGGTGTTCCAAGTCTCCATGTGTTTCGCGATCCAAAGAAAAGCGTTCCAGAATCCGTTTTCTAACTAACCCCTTTTCCCGAAGAGCGGAGTTGTGGTTGGAGAGTACTGTGGTTGCTTTTTTTCCGCGCAGGAATTGGGAATGCAACATTCATCATCATTCTTCACTCACCGTCTTACTTTTCTTCCATGCACCCTCCCCATCACCCCATCACCCCTACCTCCACCCTTCCACAGGAACTGTGCAAATAGCGTCTCACTCATTGTTGGTTCCACATTGGCGAGCTCCTCACTTTTCCACAGTCCGTAAGATTTTCACTTCAAATGGAAAGTTGTCATGTGAACCAGTATTTTTTACATATATATAAAAAAAACATGCGTTATCATGCAGCTAAAACATTTTTTTTGTGTTGTATTCCTGTGTGTGCTGGTTATCTCCTCCCAGGACGCAGAAAAAAACAACCACGAGAGAAACTACCATGCAAAGTGGGTGTCCATCAGTATCGGTCTCTCCAATGTGTGTGTGCGTGTGTTGTGTTGAGGTCGATGTGGAGTGGGTGAGGGGGTGGGGGGTTCTATTTCATTCCGCTTCTCAGCACTTGATTCGCGGCTATGAGCATCACGCTGATGATAAACGCTATGGCGAAAGCACAGATCAGGCTCTTCCTCAAGCACGTCTGTTTGATTTGCTGCGTTGAACACGCTGCAGGTAGAGAGAAATATTATTATTGTTATTATTATTATCGTTTCCAAATTCAGTTCATCCACTTGATCTAAACTGTGCTGTTTTGGTTGGTTAAGACTCCCAGTGGTACCACAACGCACCATCTCCCCCCCTTCCCCTTCAAGCTTTGGCTATCACAATTGGCTGCCGCGTTACGTTAAATTCACTTTACAGTATATTCTGTGAAGCGCTTTGAGACGCCTCAAAGACGTCCCTGACCAAAGCAAGTTGTAGATCGGAGCGCCATCTAGCGCCCCAGGTGGGTACTGCCGAACTCCATCCATTCCAGAGGGAAGTGCATTTAATATTTAATAAATATTCAATAGCCTGCTTCCTACATGTCTGTCTATTTACTAAAGGAGGATACTACACATGCAATGCTTCTTCTATTTAAGGATTGAAGTCTTTAATCCTGTAATGAAGATGGGGCACACATTTTGTTATAAATATTTGTGTGTGTATATGGTTTTGCAGTATGCATTTATGTATGTGTTTGTGTATATGTTTGCAGGATGCTTACGTGTGTTTATATTTGTGTGTGTTTTGTGTGTGTGTGTGTGTATGAGAGACACGGATGTATTACGAACATGATTGGGTAGTGCCTGGGTTAGTTAGGACTTACTGTCGATGTCGACGGGACATTCATCTGGATTATCCACATGGCCTTCCTCTTCGGTCATGATGATGTTCTCAATGTCCTTCATCGACAAGTGCTCACAGAACGCCTCGTACAGGAGTCGTTTCAGCTCCTCCACTGTCATTCTCTGCATATCACACTACAGGGCAGACAGAGGCCATCAGACAATATTGGCCAACACACAGTCTCACACACATCCACATCCACATGCACCGACACACACATGCACAACATACACCCACATACATAGACTCACCCACACACACACACACGTAGATTCAAACCCCGCAAGCACAGACACACACAAACATGCACATACACTCACACACGCATATAGATTCACACACATTCACACATACATACAGAGTCTCTCTCACACACATACACACGTACATAGACTCACATAAACATAGACTCTCACATACACACGCACAGTTTTGTTTCATCTTCTGAGAAATAAAGTGTGACTCGTTTTATGTTGTTAATTTTTTTTCTCTTTTTATCGCTAGTTTTTTTTTGTCATTAACGCTTGAGCCGCAGATGGCAGCTGCTCAGCTGAAGCTTCAACCCCTGAGAACACAAACTCGGAGAAGCACCTTTTGTCTCTGTTCAGGGAGAGGTCACCTTGACCAGGTTAGACTCTGATCTGTTCTGAATTTCATCTTCCAGCAGCAATTGGGGCGGTTTCGAACCTTGACTCTTGTTCTCAACAGCGGGTGGAGTATTTCTTTCTACCGCTTGGACCTTGGTTTAATCCACCTCACCCCCAACATTTGTGAAGCCACTTCTTACCTTCCAGAACACGTTATCGAATTCAGTCCCGTGGAACTTTTCTGGAATGGCGGCTGATGAAAGTCTGGGTCCCAGTAATGACACAAACTCCTCAAAGTCTACCTGCCCATCACCTGAAACCAGAACCCATCAAGTTAACTTTGTTTCCATGTTAGTGACAGTTAGCGAGATCAGCTTGGATGAAGAAATTTCCTTCGGTCCATCTGATATCCTCTCCGAACGCCCACTTTACCTCCCCCTCACTACAGAGCTGAGCTGCTTTATATACGAGTCCCAGTGTCCTGGCTTCAACCACTCTTCCTGGCAACAAACCCTGTTTGCAGTCGTTAATTACCCTCTGCGTAAAGAAATACTTCCTGGTGTCTGTCCCGGAAATCTCTTGCAAATAAATTGTCCATTCGCTCCATGGCTGTTTGCTGGGTGTTGCTGTATTCAAATAGGCTGCCGCATTTGCCAACAAAATACAGGGTCACCACACTTTACAGTAATCCCTGCAAAGCACAGTGAGGTATCTCCCGAAGCCACTGTATTAAATGTGAGGATGACTTATTATTATATTGGTGAATCCAATTGCTAATGGCATGTCTGTGACCCCCCCCCCACCCCGACCCCCCCACCATCCATGCAATATCTTTTAAGTCTTTATCAATCGATAGCTTTCGCCCAGCTCCACTGCCTCCGCTCCTGAGAATACAACTCACCAGCACTGTGAATAAACAACAACAACAAATTACATTTGTATAGCTCCTTTCACATCGGAAGGACGCCCCAAGGCTTTGCACAGTCAAGGATATAAAGTTGCATAATTGAACCCAAATCACTCCACGCCAATTGTTAAAGCTTAATCACTTGGATGCTTCACCGTTGCTTTAGTGAGCAGATTTACGATGCGGTTAAACTCATTTGTTTTGAAGTACCTCTTGTTATTGCTTTGCTAGCATGTATATTGAACATAAGAACATAGAACATAAGAATTAGGAGCAGGAGTAGGCCATTCAGCCCCTCTTGCCTGCCCCGCCATTCAATAAAATCATGGCTGATCTATTCTAACTCCATCTACCTGCCTTATCCCCATATCCCTTAATCCCTTTATCCACAAGAAATCAATCAATTGGGACCGGGATAACTTTCTAATTGATCTTCTCACTGTTCCCCTACAGTCTCCAGCCACTGACATGACGTAAAGTATTTTATTCATTCCTCAGTTTGAATCTACAAACAAGCGGAGATCCAGATCAGAATTGCTTGCTAATCTCTTGTTTATTGAATCTTCATTATGAGCAGATTGTCTCCCTACACAGATGGTCTTTTAACCACAGATTGACTGTTATGTTAAAATTCTGATCCATTTTATTACGGACCTAAACTTAATGACATTGCTAGTAAGTGAATCAGAGGCATGATGATTGGCTCGATGAGAACTGTATTGGTTACATGAGCAAATAATGGGTGTTATTATCAATGACCAATTAGGATGTTTTTTTGTAATCAATTCTTTGCTTATGAGGTCACCTGGTCAATGCGTGTTGAGCAATGGATCCTAAAAGCTAATATTAATTAACGCTTTCCTATTTCCACCTTTCTTTAGACCTAAAGTTCAACCAACTTTGACCAGTTTTGATTCAATTATACTTTGGCTCACTCGCTTACAATTATAATCATCCCTGCATTTGATATTACACCTTATCAGATCTTTCATAAGTCTCAAAGCACTTCACAGCATCTGCTGTAATGCGCATGAATGTCCATTTTGCAGTGTCCCACAAACAGCCGTGGAATGAGTGACCAATTTTATGCGGAGGGATTGTTGGCCAGACCCCGGGAGAGAGAAGCTCCCTTCTCTTTTCGAATAGCGCCATGGGATCTTTAACATCCACCTGAACAGGGCAAAGAAGGGGAATTGGTTCAATATCTCATCCGAAGGACGGATGACAGATGTATCTATGTATGTCTATGAAATAACAGGGAATTAATTCACATCAGTCTGAATGTACAGTTTGATGATCAATAGCCATCTAGGGTGTGACAATTTGTTAAATACAGCCTTAATTTAAAAATACAGTTCAGTGTAAGTTTCTATTAAGAACTACTGAAAAGATGAATTCAACATTAAGACTAAATTCAACAATTGGTATGTATCTCTCCTGCGAATTTGTGCGTGAAAAAAAACTTTCCTTGAAGCTCTCCTATTTTCTAGGGCTGGTGCAAATCCTCAGAAAAGAATCCTTCAGAAAGGAAAGAGACGCAATTGGTTTGAAACTAATGATTTTATTAAAGAAAAACTCTGTGATCACACAGTTCACTTCAATTGGGAAGCCTCAACTCATCTTTGCCAGGCAGCCTTTGCAAGATAAATGGGTCAAATTACACAGTCCCAAGATAAAGTATTTAAAACCGAACAGAACTCTTTGTTATTTGGGTTTATGGAACCTTTGAAGATGGATTCAAAACCTTGCTGTTCACACATTCTACAAAGCTGTTCGGAATATTCAATGTCAGCCCTTACCCAAAGACAGGTCTGGTTTTGTTGAATTAACACAGGCGGAAATGTTTGCTAAGCTCATCCACGGTTTATAGTGTCTAATGAGATTCCGAAGCTGAATCAACCATGCACAGAGCGAAGCTGGTTTCGCAGAGCAAAGCAATCATACTATAAGAAGTCATTACAGTAATAAGTGTGCAATATTCCAAGCCAAAAATAATATATAGTGTAAAAAAAATCCCTGGGAACCCTTTGATATGTAATGAACTGCGAACACAGCAATGCAACCAGGAATTTTTCTATCGAATTTTTTCTGAGTTTAGAATTAAGATCTAAATGGAACTAATTCTGAGTTTAGTTAAATAGGGACAAAATGGAGTTGTGGAGTCCTGTAGCATATTGGTTAGAGCATTTGCTTTGAAAGCAAGAGGACCTGAGTTTGATTCCCAGCAGGGCGAAACATTAGGCAAATTTCCTTACTCCACACACTTCTGTTTACCTAACATTAAGTAGGAACCCGGTTGTTAGTTGATTGATGGATCACTTTTATGGGGTTAATAATCCCTTCCAAATTTTTTTTAAAAAAAATAATAATTTGGTTACTCAATCCACAACTGTTTGTGGGACGCTGCTGTGTGCAATTGGCTGCCGTGTTTCGTCCACAAAATATACAATCAATTCACTTTATAGTAAATTCTGGGAAGCACTTTTGAGACATCTCGAAGATGTGATAAGGCACTATATCAAATGCAAGGATTATTATTATAAAATGGTAAAATATTGCAGTCTATGGGTGATTCATCGAGATTTCTCAAAGCAATTTTTTTTTGCCCACGGTGCTATAAATGTCAAATACTTTGTCACCTATTCTTGGAATGATAGTTTGTGATAAGTATCTGGAAAGAGGGTGCATGTCAGTGTTAATACCTCAGCAGATTTTTTTAGAATTGACTCAACAAATGCACAGTTTTATATTTGCCCAGTCAGTGACCTGCTTGGTAAAGGCACCGTCTTGTGGAGAGCTGAGCCATAAGGTATGCATTACCCTCTGTGTGACTGAGCTTCCAGATGTTAGCTAGATTAGCAGTTTGAGCAACACACTCAGTTTTAGCCTCAAGTGGTGTAAAGTTCCACCGAGACTTGATAATAATAATCCTTGAATTTGATATAGCGCCATACCATGTTGTTGAGACATCGCAAATGCTTCACAAAATACACTGTGAAGTGAATTGACTGCATATACTGTGAAGTGAATTGGCAGCCAATTGCGCATAGCAGTGTTCCACAAACAGTCGTGGATTGAGTGACCAAATTATTATTTCTATTTATTTTAATTTGGGATTATTACCTTTAAGACATCCTCCTGACATGAAAGGCTACATAAATGTGAACTGTGTTGCATTGTATTAATAATTTTCACAGTTTTCTACCAAAGTGGTCTCAGAGGCTGAGATCAGGTGAAATCTCTGGTTTCAAGAAAGCGGAATAAAGGCTAGGTGTCTTTATCGGGTCAAGAACACACCAGGACCTGTTTAGACTCTGATTACTGTAGTAAAAGCTTTACATGTTAAGGTATTTTGTTGGTAAGGCTCAAAGAATGAGAAAATAAATAGGATTGTGTTTTAGTCTGAAGAGGGCTGCAGTTCCTATGAACTATGAAGATAGTGTAGATGGGAACTGGCCTGGGAACAATAAAAACACCAACACAATTGTCCTTAATTTCTCCAAGTCGATGAAAGTTAAACAGGTTGAAAGAGTCCTACTTTATTTGATTGCCAAATACAGAACGTCACACAGACACTTGCCCAGAAGTGACATCGGGTCATTAAGCCCTTGAACGCAGAGGAAATGTCAACTGCTAACTCAACTCAGTTGGTGAAACTGTTAATAAGTTAAGGTTCACCTGAAAGTTTTAAGATGATAGCCCATGGATATGGCTCATCTGATCTCATCCCTCAGGAAACCCACCCTACAGTCCTCAGGCTGAGGTTCCCTAGGCTGATCAAGTGGACGTTAAAGATCCTGCCACCCTGTCGGAACAGAGAAGGGAGTTTCTTGGCATCAAGTCCTATCACTGTTAAGTGCTCCGAGATGCTATAAATGCAAGTTGTTGCGATAGGGAGAGCGGTTAGGAGGGGCTGAGGCTTGCGGGGGGTAAAAAGCCTGCAGCCACTAGTTGTGACCAGAGGTCTGTTTGGATGTTATATACAGTCTAGATATCAATTCTATGTTGTTTGCGCGCCTGTATCCTACCGTCCATATCCAGCCTTTGAATGATCACCTCCAGCTCCACCTCATTGGGCATGTAGCCCAGCGATCGCATTGCCATGCCCAGCTCCTGCTTGGAGATAAACCCATTTCCATCACGGTCAAAGACTTTGAAAGCCTTGCGGATCTCTATTGGGAGGGACAAGGTTTGAGTGTATGAAAAAAACATCGAAACTATAATGTATATAATAATAATCCGATATCAATGGCAAGCATAGCTTGGGGCTGGTTAGACTCCAGCAGTTACCCCAATGCACACTCTGGTGTCCCCCCCAAGCCTTGCCTCTTGCCAACCTGCACCTAATCCGGAATTACATAAGCCGGATGCATCCCTCCAGGAAGAGGGCGCATTCCATTCCAACAATCTATCCCTGGAATTTCCATGTGTAGGTGGGATGCATGGAATTCTTAGTTTGGATTGGAAAGCACAGTGATGTGTCAGACTAACCCCCCCAAAAAAAAATTTGATATAGCACCTTATAACGTCATCGAAATGTCTCAAAAGCACTTCACAGGATACACTGTAAAGTGGATTGACTGTGTATTTTGTCCCACAAACAGCCACGCAGTGAGCGACCAATGTTATTTGGGAAATTGTCGGCCAGGACACTGGGATCTTTAACATCCACCTGAACAGGCAGATGGGAGCTCGGTTTAACGTCTAGTCCAAAGGGATGGCACCTCTGTATATAAAGGACATTACAAACTTAAGATTTTTTTTTGGGGGGGAAGGGATAGTTGGAGAAAATTCTGCTAAATCCTTTCCTATTTTTTGCACAATTAATTACAGTGTAAGGGGGCTATTGCCCTCTTAATCTCACGCCTTTCCAAACCTACCTGTGAGACTATTTAAGGAAGAGAAATTCTCAATGCAAGTGAGTGAGTGGACAGCAACGCATCGAGTAGCGAATAACAAAGGCGAATAGCGCATTACACGAATCTGATGGAACTTTTTTTGGGGGGGCGTTTTGTGCGTGTGTGTCTGTCTGTGTGTGTGTGTGTGTGTGTGTGTGTGTGTGGTGGGGGGGGGGGGGGGGGGAATAATTCAAAGCAGATTTTTATTGATGATAAAGTTCCGCAAAACAGTGGAATATATCAGAGATATTAATTAGAGAGAAAAAAAAGCACTGTTGCATTTTCGGACACACACCTGTTCTCAGGTCTGTGAGACGGTCTCGATCTGAAGGTAAAGGTTTATTTTAGCTTTTGATCTTTTTGCAAAGAGGGAAGGGAGAGAGAGAGAGAGAGAGGGCGTGAGGGGTGGGTGGGGGTGGATGGGGGGGGGGGGGTCGTGTGTGCGTTTTATGGCTTGGGACACAATTACACACCTGTGGTCCTCCCTCAGGCTCCATCACCCACCAACCCCCTCCCCATTGAAGCGCTTGGAGGTGAGGCAACTCTTGCAGGTTCATTGATACGTGTGTGCAAACCACAATTAAAACCCAACCAGGGACAACTGGTCTTGGAGCCATCCATCTCACAGGTGTCACGCCAAAACTCGTCCTCGCCCACGCCATCTGCATGTCAACGTGACCATTAGGGTCTCGCATTGAACTGAACAAACCGTGGACTTGTGACAGATTTTCACTCACTGTGATTCTCTCTCTCTCCCCTCTTTCTCTCATCTCTCTCTCTCTCTCCCTCTTTCCTCTCTCTCCCTCTCTCTCTCTCTCTCTTTTCCCCCCTCCTCTCCCTCTATTTCCCTCTCCTCTCTCTATCCCCCCCATCTCTCGCCATTAACCATCTACTCTCTCCTCCTCCATGTACCCATTGAGCTCCTTCTTAGACAGTACTTACTCCTCTTACTTACATTCACCTCCCCCCCCACCCTCCACCTCTCCCTATATTTCTCCTGTTTATATCTCTGTCTCTCCCTCATTCAATTCACTCCCTTTATGACTTGTATCGCCCTCCCAAATCCCAGACCCTCTATCAAACCACCGATTCCGCCTTCAAACTCAATACAAAACCAACACCAGCAAAAGCATCCCCTACAAAAAAATTCAAACCCAACAGAAAAGTGGGGCTTTAATGGGATGGGGGGGGGAGGTGGGTGGGGTAATAAAATAAAATACGCAGGTTAAATAGTTGGAAGCGTTTTGAGTTGGAAGATTGGGTGGGGGGGGGGGTCTTTCATGCATCAGACCCAAACACTGGTACTTAACAGGTAGCACAAGTCTGTGATTAAGATTTTTCTGTGAACAGAAGCCAACATTGACTCACCTTCCAGTTCATCCTCAGGAATATCTATGGGATCTCGGTTGGTGAGGATGTCAGGGATGGTGTATATCCCTCTGTACATCAAGGTGGCAGTCACTGGGTGCATAGGCATGTTATAATCTCTAGGTCACAGGCACGTTTCACCTCCCTGCTCTTCCTTCCTTCCTTCTTCCTTCCTTCCTTCCTTCATACGGTGAGTTCCCCCAAGTATTGTGTTGTCTTGTGTTGAGCTTCCCCTGGTCTATGCCATCTCCTCTGAAACCAGCACTCCTTTAGCCACACAAGAACCACTGCACAGCGTGATTTCTGTGGGAGACATCCACTCGAAGATTCCACTCATCTCCCCGTGATTTGAGAATGGAAAATGAACTGTTTCGTGTCTCTTTCTCCTCCTTGTGTGTTGTCTTTCTCTCTCTCTCTCTCTCTCTCTCTCACACACACTCACACACCCTCTCCTTTCTCTGTCTATCTCCTTTCTCTCGTTCTGTCTCTCTGTCTCTGACACATGGCTCTCAGTCAAGTCAGTCAGTCAATCAGTCACTCACTCAGAGAGTCACTCATTTGCTCTTCTAAGCGACTCGATAACCCAGTTGAAATGCAATTTAAATACGTGTTACACTCAACTACTTTCACTCCCCTCCACATGCAAACACACACAGACACACACACACACTCCTTGTCTCCCTTGAAGCGATCGCCCACTCGATTATGTCTTTGCATCATTTGGATGATTTTTTTTTTGCTCGATAGAGATTTTTTTTTTACCCCTCTTAATTAATTTGGTGTGTGTGTTAAATGGATTTTCTGCTCAAAGGGAGGCGAGGCTGGTTGTTAACACAGATTAGATTTAGTGGGAGTTGATCTGTGGGGGATGGGGGAATAAAAGAGAGTTGGAGAACCATGCAGATATTTTATCAATAAATACTGACTTAGATGTGCAAATGTGGAATGTTTTACTCGTCGTAACTGAAGAGAGTGAGGCAATAACATCGTTTGAGACACGATGTAGACAGACAGACAGACAGACAGACAGACAGACAGACAGACAGATAGATAGATAGATAGATAGATAGATAGATAGATAGATAGATAGATAGATAGATAGATAGATAGATAGATAGATAGATAGATAGATAGAGAGAGAGAGAGAGAGAGAAAGAAAGAAAGAAAGAAAGAAAGAAAGAAAGAAAGAAAGAAAGAAAGAAAGAAAGAAGAGGAAATAACATTAAAGTCGGTGTGTTCAGAGCGACTATCTTCAGAGAGAGAGTGGGGGGAGCACAGTTTTGACTATTCCCCAAACATTACTTAATTCATATGGGGTCCCACTAACCTCCAAATCCCATCAAGAATAGCAATTGAACATCCCGTTCAAGTGAACTGGCATTTTATTTTTGTATGTTTGTATGAGTGTGTTTGTGTTTGTATTGTGTGTGGATGTTTTGTATGTGTGTATTGTGTGTGTGTGTGTGTGCATTGTGTGTGGATGTTTTGTATGTGTGCATTGTGTGTGTGTGTGTATGTTTTGTATGTTTGTATAGTGTGTTTGTGTGTGTGTGCATTGTGTGTGTATGTTTTGTATGTTTGTATAGTGTGTTTGTGTGTGTGTGCATTGTGTGTGTATGTTTTGTATGTGTGTAGTGTGTGTATCATGTATGTTTGTATGAGTGTGTTTGTGTTTGTATTGTGTGTGGATGTTTTGTATGTTTGTATTGTGTGTGTGTGTTGGCTTGTGTGTGTGTGTGTGTGTTGGCTTGTGTGTGTGTGTGTGTGTGTGTTGGCTTGTGTGTGTGTGTGTGTGTTGGCTTGTGTGTGTGTGTGTGTGTTGGCTTGTGTGTGTGTGTGTTGGCTTGTGTGTGTGTGTTGGCTTGTGTGTGTGTGTGTGTGTTGGCTTGTGTGTGTGTGTGTGTGTGTGTGTGTGTTGGCTTGTGTGTGTGTGTGTGTGTTGGCTTGTGTGTGTGTGTGTGTGTGTTGGCTTGTGTGTGTGTGTGTGTGTGCATTGCAAAGTGCATATGTCGACAAAGGGGGAAATGGACACGACAGGTTGAGAGATTCCCCCTCATACGATAGATAAATAGATGGAGACGGTGTTCGGGGGCTGTTCGTGAGCAGTTTGCGCATTTGCAGAGCAAAGAATCGATATGGACGGATCTGTGTGTGTGTGTGTGTGTGTGTGTTTGGAAGATATTTTGTTTTAGGCAAAAAAAAATGAATTGTATTTTTCTTGGGAAGTTTTCTTTTGAGCAAAAATGAATTTAATTGGAATACTGCATTCCACCACCACACACACACACACACACAGACACACACACAAATAAAAAAAACATCTCTATGGGTAAAATCAGGAAGTTTTTTTGGGGGGCAAATTGCAATATTGAATGAATATTATTTCTGAGCCTGAAATTGATTCATTTTATTCTTAAAAGCTTCTCCACCCACCCCCTCCCCTCCCCTCCCTCCTCCAGGCTCCATCTCCCCTCTTATTGACTTTTGATTTCTCCAGAAATTGTCTTTTTTTTTGGTTGGGGGGGTGGGGGGGGGGGGGGGGGGTTGTTTCATCACTTATTGAAAACAGATGTCTTTTTCTTTGGTCGTGTCTTCTGCTAGAAGCGTTCTCCCGAGCCCTGGGATGTTAAAAAGAAAATAAAACAAGATTTTTTTTAAAAAAAGAAATTGTCCTCCTTCCCCCCCCCCCACCCTCCAAATTTAATTCGAGTGTGTGTGTGTGTGTGTGTGTTTTGTTAGTTTTTAAATTAAACTGATTTTATTAGTTTTTAAATTAAAGGTGTTTCCCCCTAGACTGGAGGAAGGATGCCACACAGATTCTGAGACAGAATAGACACTTAATTGGGTGGGAGAATCCCATTCGCTAATTTCCAGCACTATCCTTATTTAATTCATGAGAAAGTCATAACCTTATCTCTCACCAATTCCCGTTGCCTTCCATTGAGGGAGTTGCCACATTGCAAACTGATTATTAGCAGCGATGGCGATAAAATACTAAGAAAGATACAATTCATTGCCAAGGCTCAAGTTAGACGTCAGTTAGAAGTCTAAATGGCAGTCAACGCACCCTGATCAATGAATTAAGACTGATTTAGATTAATTTCTACACTAACTATCTACAACAACAGAATGACATTTCTATAGCGCCTTTCACGTGGGGAGGATGTCCAAAGGCGATGGACAACCAGTGTTTCGGACCCGAGCTGTGGGTCGGGATTGGGGAGGATGGAGAGCAGGGGAGGGAAGGAGGGTGAGCGAAGGCATAGTTGAAGAGTAGGGTCTTGCGACGGGTCTTGAAGGAGGCAACGGAGGGGGCGAGGTGGAGGGACTGGGGGACTGCATTCACTAACTAACTAACCAACCAATGAACCAACCAATTTGTTCAGGGTTTAACCGTTTAGAAATGAACTGAAAAGGGTTTAGTACTGAATGTTCATTCACACTTTGTGTGTGTCGCTATGCGGTTTTAACTGGTTAGACTCCAGCAGTTATGCACACTCTGGGCTCCCCAAGCCTTGGCTCTTGCCAACCTGTGCTTAATACTTTGGATGGGTCCTTCCAGAGTACTCATTCAATTCCAACAATCTATCTCAGACATTTCCATGTGTAGGTGGCGTGCATGGAATTCACAGCTTGGTTTGGATACTCTGAAGCATGGTGATGGGTTTCCACATGTGCCATACACCCAGGTGTTTTGTGGAGGGAGAGCAGAGAGAGACGGAAAGAGAGGAAGTTGTGGGGGGGGTGTTGTACGGGAAGAAAAGGAGAGATGAGGGGATGTTTTTCTTCAACATGAAAAGGATTCCAGTGCCACAGAGTATATTTTATTTATCACCAAAATCTTACATTTATGCTATTTATCAGCACAAGAACCGAAGCCTTTTTAAATACCCGATGAATGATTTATGGCAGAGGTTATATTTTGAGAAATAGCAAAAAATAATCTGATTGATATAAACAGAATTCACACCATGTCTTGCAGAGCAGGAGGAAATTTCACTTTACCTCGAGGGTAATTAACGATTGACAGAGGTCACCAGAAAGGGTGGTTCAGGCCAAGACATTGGACTCATTGTAGCAAACAAAACTTGCATTTACGCACAGCGCCTTTCACGTGGGATTGCACCTCGGAACGTTTAACAGGGGACGTGCCCATAGGTATGATTGAAGAGGAAAGTCTTGAGGTGCGATCTGAAGACAGGCAAAGAGCAGGCGAGGCGGAGGGATTGATGCTGAGAAACAGCTTGATGCTGTGATGGATTATTGAATTTGGAGTTGAGGTGCAGATCATCCATTATCTTATAGGATGGTGGAGCAGACTCAACGGGCTGAATGGCCTACTCCTGTTCCTGTGTTCCTATGGGTGGACGGTAGGGTGCGTGGGTGTTGGGGAGGGGGGGGGGGCAGATAAAATCAGATTCTTTCTCCCAAACTAATCTTGTGATTTTGTGGAATAAAACGCAGAGCCTGTAAGGGTGATGTTGCTTTCTGAACATGGAGCATCTGAAAAGTTATAAGAAAGCATGAATTGTGTCTCTCAGGATTCTGGCAGGAAAGTCCTTTTATAGTCTGAATCACTTCAAGGTCTAAACACCATTTTTTTTTAGCTGTAGGGTAACATACTGAACCTTTTGTTTTCTCTCAGTGGCTTGAAGCGAGTTGCTACAGGTCTCTGCCTACTTTTCCTTCATCTAAGTTCCTTTGACGAGTCCATCATATCAGGGACTTTGATCTTATGGTAGACTGACATTGCAGGGCTTGAAGGAGCACTGCATTGTCAAAGATACCATCTGCTTGGTGAGATGTAAAAGGAAACATGGAGACACAGGAAAATAGCAACAGGAAGAAGCCATTCAACCTATCAAGCCCTTTCCACCAGTTTATTAGATCTTGGCAGATCATGGTAATCCCGATGCCACTTCCTTTCTCCATTCCCTTAATTTCGTTACTGCCCAAGTCCTCGCCTCCTCCCTTGCCTCCTTCAAGGCCTGTCTCACGACTCACCTATTTGACTGAGCCTTCAGTCACCTTCCTATCCCCACCCTCCCTGCCATCCAAACCCACTGATCCCAATTCCCAGTTTGAGTCCAAATCCTTGACTGTCCAGCGCCTTGGGATGTCCTTCCGAACTGAAAGCTGCTGTAAAAATGTAATTTGTTGTTGTCTATTGTGTACTTCCCCCCACCCAATCTAATCTAAAATCTGCTGCTGAGAACCTT